GAATTTACACTTCACCCAATTGCACAAGCAAGTGGCTATCAGGACTCAGTAGCTGAGTGGATAATGCGATAGCATTTGAAGCGAAAGGTACTGGGTTAGAGTCCCAGAGTGAACATTAACTCTGAGATGCAGATACATCTAACTGACGAGTCTTAAATAGGACGAAACACGCTTTATCCTGGATTTCACTGCTAGCTACTATCCATCTTTGCATCTATTAAATTGCTAAAATATCATCAAAAACCCCCTTCTGGAAATATTGGTTGTTGAACGGGATTAAATGATATAATTAATTACGTAATATTTAGTACAAAATATACATGATTAAAACTTATTTACAGTGTTAATTATTATTGGATTCTGATTTCGTAGCTTATTTACAAAATAAATAAACTTTAAGGCTTATAATTATGCTCAGTGGTTGATCATCATATCAAATGATTTGATACAGTATAGACTAGATCTATGTAAATTTGTATTAAATTAGTTGTATTCAGTGTGTTAAGTTTTATACAGTTTCTTAACATTGTAGTGAGTGGGAACATAGGTGGGGACAACGAGAAATTATTTTAATACAAATTTATAGAACATCTTAGTAAAATCTAAGAATCATACAGTAAATACTTCATTTGTGAATGTCAGTCGATTGCCTCAGACTTCATTATTCTTTTGTTTCCACACCAATCATTTTCTGTTCTCGTTCTCGTTTCTTCGATCTTCTTAACCTTCCGCCTCCAAGCATTTCACTTTTCATTGATGACACATACTACTTATATCGGTTGATATCAGTAGAATACACTACAACATTACCATAAACCTCTTCTTGCGTTCTTTAGCCAATACTGGCGAGAAAGTTTCATCTGATTTGTAGGCAGTTTCGAAATCATTGAGAATGTTCTGAGATGAAGTTAATAACAACGACTTTATGTAATTTTTAGCAGTAAGGCCTTGTAGTTTTCTTAATAGGATTACTTCACTGTTTGCATGTTTTCTACAGTTTTCTTAGATTTTTAGTCACATACTGATATTAGTAGAATCATTACTTCATGCCGAGAAACAGTCGTTTCACCTTAGCTCGTGACTCATTAACCATGGGCGTCTACGACCCGGAATCCGGGTGTCAAACCCAGGGACTTCAGTCCCATAAGCCTACCCACAACCTCTAGATCGTTGGGCCGAAATCAAACGGTGTTAATATCCAATTTCAGTCGAGTCGTGACTGTATTTAGAAGCAGGTTACTAGTGGTCTATAATCTGAACAAAACCCTACACTGGTTCTAATAATGTGATCCCTAGTGACCGACTTCCAGATGAAATTGCAGATGCTCTAGTTAGCAGGTACGACCAGTGTAGTTCAACCATGTTGAGTTTGAGACAGATATTCTCCAAAGACAGTCAAATATGGTTATGAAATATAGTGAATCAATTGAAACTATATATCAAAACCGTTCTACATGGGCTCAATGGTCAAGAGGTCAAGCGTTTGCATGTGTGACCGAAGGTTCTAGGTTCGATTCTCCAATGTGGGATCATGTATGCTCATTGTTGAGGTGCCCTTCGTTCAAGTGATGCATCCATTCTGTGTACAAGATTTTAACAGTAGTCCAGCTAAGAACAGTTTATGATTTAAAACTTATAATTATTAAGTTCATATTATTATACTATTTTACCATGATTTATGAAGATATACAGTTAGATAGGCGTGTATTATTACAACTTATGTCCATATACATGTCACTTGAAATGTATAGCACAATTCAATGTCTTTTATTAAACAATTAGTAAATTTTAAGTCAATATATTGGTGAATGGTTGCTCAATTTCCTGGATTAGTTGAAGTTAAACATTAACACAGTTGGAAGCAAGCTAGCTCACTGGTCTAGAGGTTAAATGCTCGGACGCGAGGTCCGGGGTTCGAATCTCATGAGGCGGGATTGTGGATGCGCATTGCTGAGGATTCCCATGATAGGACGAAACGGCCGTCCAGTGTTTCTAAGTTTTCCATAGTAGTCTAGTTTCAATTGACTCATGATTTCAACTATATGCAATTTTCTAAAATCTCCACAAAACCCCCCTTCTGTCAATATATTGTTATTTACTACTGTAAAATAAATAAACTAAATTCATTTATAAATCAATTATTACATATGTCAATCAAAACATGAAAATAAACAAGTTTGGTAAAGGTATTCAATTGATTGATTAGTTGTTTACACAGTAGATTCTATTCTAGAGTAGGGAAATATAAGTTTTATTTATGAATTGACATTTAATTAGATTCAATAAAAGCCATACAATTAAAGGAGATTAGTTATGGATTCCCAATCTAAGTGGAATGAATTATTATTATTATTATTTTTAAGATAATGTAATATAGTTGAGATCATGAGTCAATAGAAGCTAGACCATCATGGAAAACCTGGAAGCACTGAACGGTTTTTCATGGTGGTCTAGCTTCAATTGACTCATAATCTCAATTATATAAAATTACTAAAATCTCCACAAAACCCCCCTTCTGATAATGTAATACTTAAGTGATGATTTGATATTGTTATATCTGAACATTGTGTTTGTAAAGATGTAAAAAATCTATCGTCCAATTAATGTCTGTTTTATATTCATGATTTCGTTATTCAGTTTGTCATAATGATATTACATCTAACCATCATCATCATCATCATCATCATCATCATCATCATCATCATCATCATCATCATCATCATCATCATCATCATCATCATCATCATCATCATCATCATCATCATCATCATCATCATCATCATCATCATCATCATCATCATCATCATCATCATCATCATCATCATCATCATCATCATCATCATCATCATCATCATCATCATCATCATCATCATCATCATCATCATCATCATCATCATCATCATCATCATCATCATCATCATCATCATCATCATCATCATCATCATCATCATCATCATCATCATCATCATCATCATCATCATCATCATCATCATCATCATTGGAAAATTAAGAAAGCTGAACAAGGATTTAACTCTTTAGATGCTCTAAACAGTCAAACAGATTACATTCAGTCTATTGTAAATTGTTTTAAATCAATTTCCACAAATAATGAATCAATTATCTTATTTGTCTTTAACCTAATTATTTTGTACTAGTTTGCATGAATATTTGTTTAATTCAAACGAACCCATTCATTTGTTAGTTGATTAGATCTTTATTAAAAATGAGAAATCATTTTGATATAACCCCCAAATGCCTTGGTATAGCAGAGGGTCGGAAGAGTCCTTTCTCCCCCTCTAAATGCTCGTACATGGCCACGCGTATACAGCCACTGACAGGTAAGTCCTACTGACTGCCCTCACACGGCGGGGGTGTTGTTTACGGAATTGAGAGGACGAAAAGCGAATGTCCGGCGCTTTACCCGGGTTGGTGGACATGGAGGGTCCACTCAGGGAAGTTGGAAAACCCTGGCTCCATTATCTTGAAAGAACAAATAGCATATAAACCTATGGTTGATCATCGACTACCAAGAGTCTGCATCTCCTGGTGTTGCTCCACTTCCTCGTGGATCAAACCTTTAGGTCGAAGTCTCCAGATGTGGCATCCTAAGAAAACCATCCGTTTTGGTCAGGTCACTCGGGGAGTATCATATTCCACACACAAATTAAGTGAATTATGTGGCATATATGTATTCGACGCCCCACTGTTAATATTACTAACTGACATTCATTTATGATTAAGTGACAATACTAAGACAATCCGATTAGAATGTTCAAATATCAATAAAGTTTGATTATTTACAAATTTACATTCATAGTAATAACAAGAACATACACATAGTTACTAAATTATAGATATAAATCGACATGATCACATTCATATTAAAAAATTGATCGAATTATTCAATGTTATTGTATCATTTCTATTCTTTATTTAGTCTATTAAGAATATTTTCAAAAATTTTGATTGACCTCAACAAAAATATTCAAATATTACAGTTACAGTTTATTATATGATGTAATATTGTTAAACAAAGAAAAATTTAAATAATTTGATGATTAGTCATTTGAAGCTAGACTATCATGAATAACATGGAAGCACTGAATGGCTGTTTCATCCTATTGTGAGACCCCTCAGCATCCATATTGAATATAAGACAAGTACCTACCTCAGACAATGAATCAGTCATTGCGAAAGATCATGGATAGATTGAAGTTAGACATTGACATCGTTGGATACCAATTCGGTGGTCTAGAGGTTAAGTATTCGTGCATAAGACTGAAAGTGCTGAGTTCGGGTCCCCCATGGTAAATCATAGATGCACACGACAGAGAAGTCCCATACTAAGGCTAGACGGCTGTCCAGTACTTTCAGGTTTTCAATAGTGTTCTAGCTTAAAGTGATTCATAAATTCAACTATTAAAAATTTTAAATAAGACAAAGTAAACTTCACCAATCTTCTCTTCTGTATACAGAATTGACATTGATTTAACTCAGTTTATTTAATTTAAATAGACAAATGCGATAATTGAGAAAAGTTTATATAAATCTCTATAAGCAAATAAGTCAAAACCTATATCTGATGGAAACATATGAAAGTACGTAATACCATAGTTATTCACTAAGTACAATGTGAACATAAAGAAGATATATAAGTCTTTAAAATTATTAACAAGTAACGAATGACAAATTTATTTTGGAATAGTTGGATTAATGAATTGATCTAAGTTAGACTATCATTAGAAACCTGGAAACACTGGATGTCCTAGTATGGGTCTCCTCAGAAGTGTGCATTTATGAGTTCATGCTCAGGAACTTGAACCCAAGATCTTCGATCTCACGAATGCTTAATCTTCAGACCAATATGTTGGCATCTAACGGTGTTAATGTTTATTTTTATTATTTTTTTATTATTACAATTACAAAGTCATCTTATCAATTGACATTATTTTCTTACAATTTCATTATTCATAAATTTTAATGATTTTTTTGTTTGGTAGAACTTTCAATGTCAAAGTGGTTATCAGCGACACTCCAGTGTTGAAATTGAACAGATACTAAAAGCATAGTGCTTCAGTTGTATACTGTAGTAAGTATATGTGCAAAATATGGTTTATTTAGGATAAATGATTTCATTTTATTAATAATTGATAAAGGTTATGTGTTCGCGCTCGAGACTGATAACTCCTGGGTTCGAATCTCACGAGGCAAGTTCGTGGATGCGCACTGCTGAGGAGTCGCACAATAGAACAAAACGATCGACCAATGCATCCAGGTTTTTCATGGTGGTCTATCTTCAATTAACTCATGAATTCAAGTATAAAATTAATTAATTCTTAGCAACTGTCTCTCTATCTTCAAATATTATTTTGTTATCAACAGTTAAGCTATAATTTGCTTTATTACCAGTTGTGATTAGGCTTCAGTAGTTCAAGGTACTCTACATAATATCGTGAAGGCAAAGTCGAGTACGTACTTGTTGGTTATAATTTGTGCCAGAAAATAGATATTCTTTTTAGCATTAATTGTTACAAAAGTTTTTAAACTAGATAATTCATGCTTATTCATCGAATAAACAAAAGTGGGCTCAAGTGATATAACCCTATTTCAAGTCCTGAAGTTGAACACACAAATAGGAGATACACTGAAGCATTTATACGTTAATCAGAAGATAGGTTCCTACTAATGGTTGAAGTTTGGTTTCATTTACTAACGAATGAGACACATTCCATACTTGAAAATATAACTTTATATTTTAAGAGAGGAATATATATTTTTGAATGAGTGCGTAAATATTCATGATTAGGTTTTAACGCACAAACGTTCCTTCTTACGTAAGCTTTTGGTTTGATCTCATATATGGGAAGCTTGCAGTTCAGTTTCAAAATTGGACAATCTCATAACATAATAGTGCTCCAGTTCGTTTGAATTGATTGTCTGAATCTTTCTATCGTTGTTTATGACGGCAATGGGTTCGATTCCTGGAGTGAACATTAACTCTGGGGATACTCGTACATTCAGCTGACAAGTCCCAAATAGGAAGAGATGTGTGTCCTTGATTTCTTGGCTAGCCGACATCCATCACTTTTTATAATAGTATAATACTGTTTTACTCCAACTGAAAGAAAATAACTATACCTCCTTGGTAAAGTATAGGTTACAGTCAAATGAATACTTTAATGAATCACAACTACGATGTTGAGAAATGCAGTTACTTGTAAGAGCTATTATGAATCAACGTTCAAATTGACATCATCTCCTAAGTTATTGGTTTAAATGTATACCACATAGATTGTTTGAAGAATTCATTGATAATAAGAAAGGAAACTCTCAAGTAATTATTGTGATTTGTAATAAAAAACCTTCTTACTAATAAGTTTGAAAAAAGAAGGGAAAATAGTGGTCGCAGACAAAAAAGCACGAGTTTATCACTTTCTGGACAGGTTCGTGTAGTTACCTACACACATAGGTTATAAATCTTACTTAATTTAACTGAACTACTATTAAATATATAAGTACTACAGAAAACAACATAAAAATTTTAATATTTCTCTTTTCTACACAGCCTGTTCAAAATAGAACATTTAACTATCTTAAATTCATTTTGTTTTACTACACAACTGACAATCTAGACTGTAAATAAAACCTCTGTAGAACAGTTTATAAAATTATGGTCTAATTTTTGGAAAGCAAATGCTTTAACCATAGAAATCATCGATTGTTTTGAACTTAAAAACTATTTAACTGTCAAAGTTGTTTACATACACCAAACGTTTTATAAACGGTATTACTTAGATGGAAATTGTACTATCCTAATTCTAAACATTTTAATATATATATATTGCGGAGACTCAGAGTATTCTTCTTTTCATCCACCTGAAATGTCAATAAATACACTCAGTTTTCTGTATATAAAAAAACCTTGGGGTGTTCAAGTTGTCTCGTAGATTTAGGAAGATTTTGGAAGAGGTTAGGAAACTGATTCAAGCATTCAGTCAGAAGTTTTATCAGTATATATATATATATATATATGTCATGTTGAAGAGGTTACGAGTTCACCTAATCTGCGGACGGAACAAAGACTAAGTGACACGATGACTAATCAGCTAACTATTCCGACGAGTTCCAGTGCTGCCAACTAAAAAGAGAACTTCAAGTTCTGAAGAGCAAAATATATTTCATAAGCAACTAGAAGCATGAACAACAACAAGAAGCATAACTTAAGTGTATATATACAGCAAAAAAGTGTCCTTGGGAAGCGCTACAAAATATCATACTAAAAGATACAACGAACCAATAGCGTTTACGATTCTCCAAAATAGGGAAATATGACATGAAGGTAAAAATGGGTATTTTGGCATGAAAACAAGAAATTTCAAAATTTTAAAATAGAATTACAAAAATAAAACATTTCTTCAAGTGAATTCTTAGGATATTTAAGATTCCTATTGCGAAAATTAGTACATCACATGTAAGCGAACAATTGTTTTCAATTAGATCGTCATCAGGCTTTACTCTAATATACATGAATATTTTTAGGAAAATTTTAAACTACTAGGCAACTTAACCAACGAATGAGTGAACATCTACCAGCATGGTTTGGAAAGGGCCAAATAAAAACAATACGCAGTTCTATCTTGGCACATCTAATTGATAGTGGTCATATTGTCGATAAATTGAAATCATTTCAAGTGATCTGTCGTATACCTCCATCATTTCCCTACGAAGTTCGCTCCCTTCTACTTCATATAACAGAAGCCATAGGAATTCGTACATTCCATCCCAATTTATGTGTACAGAAGAAATTCGTAACCCCCCTATCACTTCCATGACCGGACATAACTTAATAAATGACATTATTATTATTTGTAAAAATTTTATTTTGGTTATCTTTTTGTTTGTTTGTAATTTTCTACCTCTTTCCGTTTGCATTCTTCACTATCTAATTACTTACATGCTTCTTATTACGTAATGATTTTAATGTTTTATGATTACTATTCTAGTCTATTTACCCGCGTTTGACCTCCTATTTCCAATGTTTAACTAATAATAAGACTTCTGAATTCACTTGGTATTGTTTGTTTGGATCTTCCCATCGATGTGTTTCGGACTGCAACTGGTCAGTTTCTAATTGGCATATGTGCATACTGTGCGTATTGCCTCGATATACCTTAATTCACAAGCATGACGAGTCCCAATTAGGACGAAACGCGCGTCCTCGATTCCACTGCTAATAATAAGACTTTTGTTATCATAAATTAATATTCTTACTACTATCAGTACACCTGTCTTCCCACTATGAACTTGTACTTTTAACTATTATTAGGCTTGGTAACGTATTCTATTTCATTGTGATTATTGACTCAAATAGCCTTGATTGGTCTAACATTTTCATATAAATATTCATGTATATTAGAGTAAAGCCTGATGACGATCTAATTGGAAACAATTGTTCGCTTACATATGTTGTTCAAATGTAATCAGACTGTCATCATGTTTCTTAAAAACTTAATTCATTTTACAACTGATTTATTATTAGATTTTGTTTTTATCTGGCCGTTCCCAAAGCATGCTGGTAGATGTTCACTCATTCGTTGGTTAAGTTGCCTAGTAGTTTAAAATTTTCGTATAAATATTCATATCTAGTAGAGTAAATTATCAATAGGGGTTTAGTGGAGATTTAGTATTTTCATTATTGAAAGCATGAGTCAATTGAAGCTAGACCACCATGGAAAATCTGGAAGTACTGGACGGCCGTTTCGTTCTATTATGGGACTCCTCAGCAGTGCGCATCCACCATCCCGCACTAACGAGATTCGAACACTGGACCTACCAGTCTCGAGTAAAGCCTTATGACGATCTAGTTGAAAACAATATTGTTCGCTTACATGTGTTGTTCTAATTCTGAGGATCTAACCTCCCTAACAGTATGACAGTTCAGTCGACAAGATATATCTATAATCATTTTAATTCATTGCAATTAATAACCTATTAACTACTACCTTTTTCATTTTTATACTAAAAAAAATGTAATCCACTAATCATCTATTTTATGTCCATTCTTTTCTATTCCTATCAGACAATAAAATTAAAATTTCAAATGAATTTAACTAATTTTCAATATGAACTGTTGCATCAATTTAAATTACTTGGACAATTGATGGCTCCATTTGAAGATGGCGGTATTTTAAATTATTTATTTGAACAAATTACTATTAATAGTAGTAGCTTGCTGCCTTATAATAATAATAATAATAATAATAATAATAATCTAATAACATTATTAAAATTTATAGAAATTAATGATACTTACAAATTTGTCAGTAGTATAATTCAGCATATGTTATTTGATAGCATACAAAATATGAATGTATATAATACTATATTAATGAATCATAATAATAATGAATATAATACTTCAATAATAATAAATAATAGTAATACAACAATAATAACTAGAAAATTTATTATATTAATTATTATTGAAATTTTTTTATTTTTTATTTCTTTTTTATTTATTATTTATTATTTTATTTTATTATATCCATCTAATTGTTTTAATAAAAAATCTTCATTAAATTATTTAAAATATTTAAAAATTAATCAAGTTTTAAAAGATTCAAAATATAAGATTGATAATAATAATAATAATAATAATAATAATAATAATAATAATAATAATGTAAATAGTATTATGTCAGGTAGTTTGTCGAATAGATATATTCAAAATGATGAAATATCAAGATATTCCGATGAATGGATGCTGGGAACTGAAGGAAGTATTTCTGTGAATTCATCAGATATATATATTAATGTAAGTGATGCGTGTTTCTGTGTTTCTGTAAAATGCTTGTTAAATAAAAATCTCAGTATTATTTTTGTTATATATTTTATACTACTTTTTATTAGTTAGTAGTTTACATTTCTTACAACATACTGGGGATTGTAGTTGTTTCATATTCCCATCTCTTGCAGCTTTTTCCGTCGTCGTTTCCAGTTCTCCTATGTATTTCTGCTTAACGGCTTTATTGTTCTTCTTCAATTGTTTATCTACTTCTGCGTACCTTGATTGTGCCTTGACTTTTTCTGTTTGTGTTCCACTGTTGTTAATTTCTATTTTCTTGTTCTTCCTTTTTTAAATTTTGTCCAGGGTTCCCATGGAGATCCATTCCTTATGATGATGCTTCTTACGACGGAGAACCAACTGATACGTTGAATTTAGTGCTTTTTTATACCTTTCCAGTTGTCCTCTATACTAGGTATTTCTACTTTCAGTAGATCCTGTAAAGCTTGGAACCTGTTGTTGAGAGCTATCTTGAATTGATTGAGCTTGTCAGTATCTCGAAGGAAGGCTGTATTGAACCATTGTAATGCTGTTCCCTCTGTTGTCCAGTGTTTCTTTACCTTTAGTCTAATCTTGGCCACAACCAGCTGGTGACGATCTGAAGCTATGTCTGCTTCTCTCCTCGTTCTCACATCTTTCATTGTCCTCCGGAAGTTCTGTTGATAAAAATATAATCGATCTGGTTCTCTGTGGAGTGGTCCAACGAGGTCCATGTAGCTTTGTGTATGCGTTTGTGTGGGAATATTGTGCAGTCTATAACCAATTTGGTGAATGCAAATAGGTTTGCAAATCTCTCCCCATTTTCATTTCTCTCTCTTAGTCCATGTCGTCCAATTATATCTTCATATTCAATGTTGTTCACTCCCACTTTAGCATTTAGATCTTCCATCAGGATGATGAGGTCCTTTTTTGGGTACTTCGTTATTTTTGATTGCAGCCTCTCATAGAACTGATCTTTATCTTCGTTGTTGCTAACATTTGTGGGTGCATAACACGGATAACATTCATTGTGATCCCCTCCTTCTTTATTTTGAATGATGCTTTTTATAATTGAGGATCCATGAGATTCCCATCCTACAAGTGCATTTCCAGGCTTCTGTTTACAGTATCAATGCAACTCCCCGTGTGTTGGGGGTATTTTCGTCTTCGTGACTAGAGTACAGCATCGTTTTTCTCGAATTTAACCTTTTCTGTTCAGCTTGGGTTGAATGGGTTTCCGAGAACTGTCAAGTTGCATCTCTTCATTTCCGTAACTATTTGACTGGTCCTCCTGGTCTCCCACATTGTCCGTATATTCTGTGTACCTATAATAATTGTTGCTCAGGTTGTTAGAAGTGGCGTCGACCTCTTGACTTCTGAAGGATATCACCTGTTTAGCAAGTTTGTTTTCCACAGGCTGGGGTTGCTGAACCTAGTCTAACACTCCTTTTTTATCTGGAATTTTGACCGGCAGTAACCCTAGAATAGCTACAGGAGGAATTTAAATACTAATACCTTTTGTGTAATTCATCTTTGAATAATTATCAATTTGTGAATAAGTAATAGTATTGTTTAACGTCTTGCAATAATTCTAGTAAATTACTAATCAAATATAACTGGATCTCATTTGAATGAATCATTTATTCTGTGAAAAGGATTGTCTCGAATTTTTATTTTGTACAAAACTGAATATACATTGTGAATTCAGACTTCTTAAAAGATTTCTATTCCAACTATTTGGTTGATTATTTTATAAAACACTAGTGTTGTTGTCTTGAAGCAAAGCAACTGAAGTTTGTCAACAAGTGAATTACAGTTATCCGTCTTTATTCATGGTGTAGTGTACGAGAACTCAAATGGAGTGAACTAATTCATTGCTTAGTGCAAAAACACTTAGTATCTTCATAAAATATGAAGATCATACACTAAATACATAATTTGCACATACCCCATCAGTTGTCTCCTACATACTTCATGATCCTTGCTATTCTGTTGCTTTTCAAATTGCTCTTTTTTTCCCTTCATGTTCCCTGGAATTCAATCTTCTGTTGACAGGCATTCAACTTTATACCACTTATATCTGTCAGCATAAGTAGCTTACACAGCAATAGTATCAATTCTAATATTACGAATTTTTTCACTTATTTTATTTTTGGGCTTAGATTGTTATTATGAATAGATCAATGTTAAACCACCATTGAGAACCTGGAAAGACTGAACAGCCATTACATCTTAGCAAAGAACTACTCAGAAGTGCGCATCCACTATCCTGAACGTACGATTGGTTGAAGTGATGGATAAACACCACTGAATGTCAACTCAAAAGTCCGGAGGTTGAAAGTTCACGCGTGAGACCGAAGATTCCGAGTTCAAATCCCATGTACAGGATACTAGGACGAAATGACTATTCAATGCTTCCAGGTTTTCAATATTGGTCTAACATGTCTTCATTCATGATATCAATCTAAGCTCAACAATCTCCACAAACCTTTTCCTGATAAGTATTTCATTTTCTAAATATATATAGGATCCAATGTACAAACGTCAATCATCTAATCACTCTTCAACAAATTCCATCATTTCAACAACATTAACTAATCCAAGTCAAATACAACAACCACTTAATCAAGATCAACTTTATTTATCAATGATTAATCCATCCCAATTCTATACCCAATTTAAAGTATATTTAGTTTTTAAATTTATAGTCTATAGTCTAGTTTGTATCAATATTTTACTTAGTCTAATTTGTTTATATGCAATGGATAGTAGTATGATACAATTTAAATCTAAATTTACAGACAATACATTAAAACAAACTCAAAATACATTTGAAAATGTAATAATGAATGAAATTGTATATAAATTACCTGAATATTTACAAGAAATTATAAATCAAGGTCAAATGTACACTAATCAAACATTTCAAAGAATTGAAAAAGAAATTGATGTAAGTTTTGTTAGTTAGATCTAATATAATTGAGATCATAAGTCGATTGGAGCTAGACCATCAAGGAAAATCTGGAAGTATTGGACGGCTGTTTCGTCCTATTGTGGGCATCCACGATGTCGATTCGTGAGTTTCCAATCCAGGACATATCAGTCTGACGCACGATCGCTTAACCTCTAGACCACTGTGATTGCTGGTATCCAACGGTGTTAATATCTAACTTCAACCAATCCACGAAACTGAACGACCATTCATCAATGTCTTCAGTGAGTTGATATCTCACAACAGACCTAGTTTAACTTCACTGATTACTGCTTCTCACTAGAACTCCAGGAAAGATGAATAAAACAATTCAATTGAATTTAGTATATCAGAAGGAGGTTCTGTGGAGATTTTAGTAATTTTGTGGATTGATTGAAGTCAGACATTAACATCATTGGATGCCGATCGGCTGAGTTGTTCTAGAGGTTAAGCACTCGCACGCGAGACTGATAGGTCCTCAATTCGAATCTCGCGAGGCGGGATCGTGGATACGCACTGCTGTAAGTGTCTCACACTAGGATGAAATGGCCATCCACTGATTCCAGATTTTCTATGATGGTCTTGCTTTAATTAACTCATGATTTCAACTATAAATTTAGTTTAATTAATTTTAACAATGAAATAGAAATTATTTTATATTTATCATGTGTACTTTTTATCTCTTATATAAATTTGTGAAGAGTATGAAAAAAGGTGCTAATAAAACTGTACAATAACAAATGAAAAATATTAAATTAAACAAAGTGGGCATCCTGTAAATCTTTGCAAAAATCAATATAGATTAGGGGTGAGTTGAAATGATAAACGCTTACTAATATCAGTGTGTGCTAAGAAGATAAATGTAGAAAATTTGAATTGAGAAAAACTCTAAGAATACTGGAGGAATTTTTAAAAGCATAGAATTCAGATCAATTAATAATCAATAGACAAATAGATATTGATCCAATTTATGAACTCGTATAGAAAACGTCACCTAATTATAAGATCAGAAATTAACCAACGACGATTGTCAATGTGATTTCCAAAACATATGATGATGATAATGATAATGATTAAAATGTACGAAGACAGCCAATCACCAACAAGGATATCGAATAAAACCAATTTGGCACTGATGAAATAGCTTGAATGCATAATTTTACATAAAGTAGGTACTAGAGACGTTGTACAGAATGATAATGAAAGTCCCACAAGTAAATCATATAGTCCGAAGAATTCCAGATAATTAAAATTAGAATCACACTGAGATGGATAATTTGATGAGTAGGGAGAATATATTCTTGAATACATTAGCTATTACAGTTTAATATCAGATGGGTTAAAGTGTAAGCTATCTGTTTTTGTGAACTATCGAATTCAAAAAAAATGACTTTAATTAAAAGTTAGAATTCATTGTGTTATTGGCTTTGCACAGTTCATAATGTAAAACATAATAAGCTTTCAAATCACGTGTGATAATCGATAAAATTCCCTGCATAGTTGCATCATGTAGATTCACCGTTATTTTAATTCCTAAGAAACAAAGCATTCTGAACAGAGCAAACCACCGATGGAATAACAAGGTTGGATCATATTTTATCACGAAATCATTAGTCTGACAAACTGCATTATGATAATCCACATACGATAGACATTCAAATGGAATGATTATGATTTATTATTAGCTTGTCTCAGGTAAAGAACTCAATGAATAATGCTTACCACCAGATCCCGAGAGGTCTGTGATGTATATATGACAAAATAGAATTTACAAAATTTCAAGGTATTGGCAAGACTACACACAGACTCTCAAGCTAAAATGTCTGTTAAGACAAGAGGGGAGATATATATCATCCATCAATCATGTAACCTCTAATTGAACAATTTATATATGATGGAACTAGGATATCAGTGCTATTAGTTTTGATTTAGGGTCTTAAAAAGATATAGTACATAGGATTGATAAACATTTATTGTATCAGGTAACTAGGTCAACTATTGGACATAAATGGCCGTCACTTCGATGTGAAACGCTAGTCGGGATAGAAGTAGGTTAACATAGAAAAAGCTAGATGTAACACAAACACAGTGTGATATTTGAAATTTAAGTCACACAGAGTGTTAGAACACGCTAAGTCACTAGGTGCAAAGTACCATGTTGGAAATCAAGTATATTTGCTATCTATGGTTAGAAACTTTGTATGAAACATGACAGAGAACTAACCGTAATGATATGGCTAAAATTATTGATTATAGTCTTTTAAACCATGAGTCTATTATCGTTCCGTAATTATCATTCTTTAACATCTATTGTACGATTTGAATGATGCTTCATATATGCAGGTTCTACTTGAACAAAAATCATTATCATTATATGCCTTTTTATTGTTTTTGTTACGGCTTGTACCCCGTTAATATATCACGGGGTAATATCGCCAATTAGACAAAATCAGAACTCCGCCTGTAGCTCCTCCGGGGGCTACTGCCGGTCCCAAGCCCGGGTAAAGGAGGAGGATTGAGCATGGGGCTAGCGACCCCATCCCGTAGAAAACCAACTCGATAAAAAACGCTAACCAGACAAAATTAGGCCAAAAATGTCGCTGTTGGCATGGGAGACCAGACATAACTTAAGTATAGTAAATCGTATAATAGTAGTCAATAGCTTTAATGAAAGCTTATAACAAAAGGAATATGAATATACATATAATTTAGTTATTCAATAGTTATACAATAAAAATATATGTGATAAAAGTTCATACATATAACCTAACAATTACCACCCATTATTTTTTGTCCATATGTAACAGTTTTGAAGCAGAATTTTCATTACTGTCGTGCTGATACAATTTATGGCAACTTAGATCGATACTGATTCATCCCGAACCCTACTCTATTTATAGCTAACTGAATGACATGTTAAATTAGATAATCAATTTCTGGACTTGGTAGAAATTGTCTAAATGAAAGTATAAACGACAATTAAATTTTTTCACGATTAGAATAAGGGTTTGTAGAGATTTTAGCAATTTTTAATAGTTGAATTCATGATTCGATTTAAGCTAGACTATCCCGCATGAGGGAACATGGATATGAACTGTTGAGGAGTCCTATACTAGGACGAAACGACCGTCCAAATTTTCATTAGTGATCTAGCTTAAATTGACTCATGAATTCAATTATTAAATATTTCATAATGGTTATCAATATAATTCTATAACTGAGTACCTTTCTTCTCTTTTAATTAGAATCAGTTATCGATAACTGCTGAAGAAATAATTCAATCATTGCTTGAAGCATATCAATTATCACCGGTGATTAAATCAGCTGAATCAATTTCACATAGTATCAATGAAACAGTGACAGCTAGTGAAATTATTTATGTAAAACAGAAAACACTTCAACAAGATGTGAATAGTTATATTGGTGAATTACGTGGTTATGCTAATATATTGAATAAAACATTAGATTCAATATGTGAAACATTCAATGAAAGTACCTTAGAAAAAGTAGCATGTAGACAGTTACAAGTAAGTTAATTTGGTCAGTTAAAAACTATCATCAAATTATATTACCGTAAACACAATAAATAAGAAAGCGATTAATCCTTGAAAATGATCATCTCGAGAGCTGTTATATATGTGTGGAGAATTAACACTTTACTGTTGTTCACAATATGCAAGAATATCTCATATAGAGGTATTTGAGAAAGAAACTAGTTTAAAATTGATCTTCGAAACCCGAGAACGATATACAAAAGCTTAAAGTACAACTGATAGAGTCCCATTACCAATGGCCCTTATGTGAGAAGTTAATAATGTATCATCTATGTGGATTAAAGGCTTTATACATGGAGACGAAGTCGTTAAGATGAGATTGATTGATCTATTCTTAGAATGACCTATTCTAAACCGTTTCTTCTGTTAAGGGAATGTATCATTTCTTCAATTACGAGTTATCTGGAAGAAACGCCTAACAGTCATCAAAACCTAGTTCACTTAAATGCACAACTTCTCCCTCGAATCATGAGTAGACACTTATATAAGAAATTCATTTGAGACTATTTGTTTGAGTCCCGGAGCAAACATTAACTCTGGGATGTTGGTACATTCAGCTGATGAGTCCTGTGTAGGGCGAAACTGTCATCCTGGATTCTAATGTTAGACACCACCCATCTTTGCTTATAATGATTGATATAATAATTAAGTGAAGTGGTTTCGTAGAAATTATCATCAGTTCACTAATGATTTACTTCAAGATGAACTCCTAAAAATCTAGCAAAACATTTTAACTCGTTGATTTCAAGTATCTATGTGGTGAAATCGTCTTTGTTACAGACATTGAATATTAGTTATGTTATCCCACAAATTGATTCAAGTTGAATATATATGTTTTCAATCAATTCATTAGTCGAAAGATCTCTACAAAATCCAAAAGACTTGAATTTATTCAAGACATAATTGTGAAGGATTTCACAGTAGAAGCATCATGTACTGGGATAAAACTGATGTTTACTGATCCTTGATTTTCAAAGATCTATATATTATTATTATTACTGTAAAAAATTATCAGAATAGAGGTTTGTAGAGATTATAGTGATTTTTATAAATAGCTGAATTCATGAATCCATTTAAGCTAAATCATGGATCTTTTGTGCACACAACTGAGGTGTCTCCTTGTAATGAACAAGACTGCGAAAAGGGACAACCGAATGTATTTGAGCACTCACTCAATTCTGATAAGCATACAGTAAACAATTAATTTGCAAACTATCAATCAATTGTCTCAATCTTGACTGTCACTTCTGCGAATATCAGTTCATCCTTTCTGATTTCATTGTTCATGCATTTTCATACCGATTGTGCTTCACTTCTGTTCTTTCCTTATCGATCTTCTGCCAAAATACATTCTATATCTGACCACCACCACATAATACTTATAAAGATATAAGTTACCCACATCACACCTTACTATAAACGAAATAATCACCTAATATTCCCAAATTTTCAAAGATCATAAAATTCAGATCAATTTTTTAATCAATTCAATTATTAACATATTTTATAGTTGAAATCATGAGTCAATTGAAGCTAGAACACCATGGAAAAGCTGGAAGCGAGGCGGGATCGTAGATACGCATTGCTAAGGAGTCCCTAGATAAGACGAAACGATTGTCCAGTGCTTCTAGATTTTCCATGGTGGTCTAGCTTCAATTGACTCATGATTTCAACTATATAAAATTACTAAAATCTTCACTAAACCTCCTTCTGATATTAACATATTTTTTATTATAATAATAATAATTATTATTATTATATCATAAATTAATCAATAATTATTATTATTATTTTTATTTTTTTTTTAGTTCAATAATTCAATTTTATTTATCAATGTTGATACAAAATTATTTGAATTTGAATCTAGTTCAATTTTAATATTTTTAATCAATAATTTAAATATTAATTTAAATTTAATAACCGATCAATTTGATCTGATACAAAATTTATTAAATAATAAAAAAGATGAAGTCGTTCAAAATGTAAGTTTTATTTTTCATTTAGTATTACTTGTTTGAATCTTCTGATTGATGTTTAGAATTGCAACTGGTCAATCACTTATTGGATAAGCAAGTGGCTATCAGGACTCAGTAGTTTAGTGCATACGCGATGGCGTTTGAAGCGAAAAGTACTGGGTTCAAGTCCCAGAATGAACATCAACTCTGAGATTCAGGTATATCTAGCTGACGGGTTTCAAATAGGACGAAATGCGAGTCTGTGATTCCGTTGGTAGCCACTATCCATCTTTGCTTTTTAACTCTGATTGAATGATCTATTCAGTGTACAATATACCAAAGAATCATGTACTACCTATTTATAATTTCATGAAATAATAAGCTGTTATTCACTTGGATTGTTTTTTGAAAATCATCCATACAAAAATTTATTAACGAAACAAATAATTTAATTATTGAGTTCATGAATCAATTAAAGCTAGACTATCATGGAAAACCTAGAAGAACCAGAAGGCCATCTCGTTCTAGTATGGGACTCCTCAACAGTGTTCATCTACAATCCCACTTACGAGATTCAAACACAGGATCTTCAGTCTCACACGAGTGTGCTTAAACTTTAGACCACTGAGTTAACATCCAACGATGTTAATACCTAATTTCAATCAATCCACAAAACGTTCATTGTTAAGGAGTCCAATATTATGATAAAACAACTATCTAGTACTTCAAGGTTTTCCATAATATACTTACGTTCATGAGTCGATTAAAGCTGGACCATCATGGAAAATCTAGAAGCACTAGAAGACTATCTCGTTCTCTTATGTAACTCCTCAACAGTGCATATTCACGATCCCGCTTCGCGAGATTCGAATTCAGGACCTATCAGTCTCGCAAGTGAGCACTTACCCTCTAGACCGGCTAGTATTCAACGGTGTCAATGTCTAACTTTAACCAATCCACGAAGTTAAGCAACCGTTCACCAATTGTTTTCAGTAAGTTGCTATCTCACAACAGATGTGGTTTAAACTCCACTGGTCACTGCTTCTCACTAAAAATCCAGGAATGATCTCTTCCAAGTTTTCCTTGGTACTCTAGCTTCAATTAACTCATGCTTTCAAATATGAAGATAATTTTTTAATTTTTTTTAAAAAAAGAAACCTGGCAACAATTTTTTTTTTCTTTTTTTTTTCAAATTCTAGATGAAATCATCATTTGATTTGAATTATTATTTTAATATATTTACATCACTATGGTTATTATTACAAGAAAATATAATTGATCAATTAAATTCTTATTTAACTACTGATAAACAAAATGAAATACATAATACTATAAAATTAATTAATGATTTAATTTCTATAATGAGTTATATAATGATTATTTTATTATTATTATTAATTACATTTTTATTAATTTATTGTATACTTTATATAGTTGATATTTATAATAGAAATTTATTGATTAAACAATATAATATAAAATGTAAGTTATCATAAAGGGGGGGGGTTTGTAGAGATTTTAATCATTTTAAATATATAGTTATGATCATGAGTTCATTGAAGTTGATCGTGGAAATTTTAGGTGGATTGGTTGAAGTTAGATATTAAGATGGTCTAGAGGTTGAGTGCTCTGACGCGAGACTGGTTGGGCCTTGGATTCGAATCTTGCGAGGAGGGATCGTAGATGCGTGCTGCCACTGCTGAAGAGTCCCACAATAGAATGAAACGGCCATCCAGTGATTCCACGTTTTCTATGGTGATCTAGTTTCAATTGACTCATGATCTTAACTATATAAAATGTTAGTTGTTGTTTTTAATGTATAGATATTATTTGTTTCTATGGGAAAGTGAATTTGTAGAAAGTGTTCTAATTTAATAATTGAGTTGCTAAGTCAATTAAAGTCAGACTAGTCTGACCTAGTCTGTTGAGAGATTTCAACTCATTGAAGACATTGATGAATGGTTGTTCAATTTCGTGGATTGGTTGAAGTTAGACATTAACACCGTTGGATGCCAGACGGCTTAGTGATCTGTCGGCCAAGTGCTCGCATGCGAGACTGATACGCCCTAGGTTCGAATCTTGTGAGACGGAACCGTGGATGCGCACTGTTGAGGAGTCTCATACTAGAACGAGATGGTCTTCTAGTGCTTCTAGGTTTTCCATGATGATCTAGCTTTAGTTGACTCATTAACTTATTTATCAAAATCATTTATTTTGTTAATAAATTTTTGTATGGATGATTTTCAAAAAAGCGTTCCAAATGAATAACATCTTAAAGATTTAAATTAATATTTCCTGAGATTATAGTAACGTACATAGCTAAGAGAATGACTTCTAATAGATAAGTAATAATAGAGTATCTTGGTAATATGGAATTTTCTACATTGATTGATTAAAAACTGAAATAATGATACTTTGCTGAAGGAAAACACAAGTAGAGACAACCGAATGTATTTAAATATATAATAAGAGAACATCTCACTAAAATCCGAGAAGCATTCAATAAATACTTCGTCTGCAAACTATCAATCACTTGTGTCAGATTTAATTGTTCTTTCAGTTCCATACCATTGATTCTATGTTCTCGTTATCGTCTCTTCGATCTTCTTAACCTTCTGCCCCTGGGTATTTCTTTCTCGATTGATGATACATACTACTTATATCTGCCAACATCAGCAGTACACGCCAAAATAGTACACTATTTTATGATTTGGTTTTAATATAAACTATGAAATGAAAATTGATTTTAATTTTCAACCTAGTAGTTGATTTCTTTAAAAGTACGTTTTTGATAAAACCAGATATTACATTAAAGAACCATCTCTTTCTGATTACTTCTCAAGAAGAGAACCTGTTAGTTCATGCAAAGCGTTATGTTTTTTTTAATAACCAATTTACTATATTATCCGTAACGGTTGATCGCATACAACTATTTAACACTTGGATCCTAATACACGGTGACTCAAAACTGATACAACAATATCATTTGAAATGCCGGACCACTCAGTGAACCAAATAAGAAATCATACTTTAAATAGAAACAGTATATAATTAATGAATAATACCTGAGGTATAGTGAAATATATAAAAAGCAGCCAATACGGCTACTGAAAGTCTATAATAAGGGTAATATAGAAATGCAATAATATAATTATCTTAATTATAGAAGGGGTTTTGTGGAAATTTAGTATTTATCAATGTTGAAAGCGTGAGTCAATTGAAGCTAGACCACCATCGAAAACCTGGAAGCACTGCTTGACGGCCGTTTCGTCCTATTATGGGATTCCTCAGCAGTGCGCATCCACGAACCCGCTCTCGCGAGATTCGAACCCAGGACCTACCAGTCTCGAGCCGCAGCCCTTAACCGATAGACCACTGAGCTGGCATCCAACGGTGTTAATGTCTAAGTTCAACTGATCCACGAAGTTGAGCAACCATTCACCAATTGTCTTCAGTGAGTTCCTATCTCACAACAGACGTGGTTTTGAACTCCACTAGTCACTGCTTCTCACTGGAGCTCTTAAATATACTTCTCGAAGTCACTAGTGAGCATATGATTATATTAATTATCAGAAGGGATTTTGTGGAGATTTAGTATTTATCAATGTTGAAAGCGTGAGTCAATTGAACATTGATATAATTATCTACTGATTTCACAATAAAACTACAGATAATAGTGGCCGAAAAAATAGTTCATTAAGTGCCAGCTTTTCCAATATTCGTTAAGTTATAACATATTTATCTTGTGATCACCTTAGCAACTAACATATATATATATATATGTACTAACATTTAAGCGAATTAAGCTTACAAAACAAATTATGTTATATTTTTGTCTTCTACTTTGATGAATATTCCAGTGAAATACGTTATTAGCCAGTTTAAAATCACAACAATTCAGTATACTGTGTTTAAAATGATACTCATCATTGATTTTTATATTTACTAAGACTATTTAATAATCAACTTAAAATGATTTTAATTTTTCTAAGAAAATAATTTAATTTTTTGGCATAATTCTCAAAATTTCAAGAACCTACTAGTATGTCCAAATTGACTAGAAGAATTAAAAAAGACGTCGACAAATTTCATCAATATAAATGTTTCAATTGTATCAATACAATTCAATATGTAAAATTTGAATAATGCATAGTTATATCAGAAGGGGTTTTGTGAATATTATAGTAGTTTTAATAATTGAGATCATGAATCAATTGAAGTTAGGTCGCCATGACAAACATAGATGCAATGGATATCCTTTTTCGTCTTATGATGGGACTTCTCAGCAGTGTATATCCACTATTCTGGCTGACGGGGTTCGAACCCAGGACCTAACAGTTTCATGCTCTAGTACTTAAACTTTAGACCACTGAACCGATATTCAACGATGTCAATGTTTAATTTTCATCAATCCATGAAACGCTCATTATTGTGGAGCCCCACAATAAGACAAAATAGCCATCCAATGCTTCCAGGTTTTCCATAATGAGTGATCTAACTTCAATTGGTTCATGATCCCAACTATTTTTTTTTTTAAAATGACCATCAACTATAAACCTTCAATACAGTTGATAATGCATATATTATTTGATTCATATTTCTTTTTGTTTATTTATTTATTTTTCTTTCTTTCTTTTTATTTCTTTACAAAAAACAAACAAACACACACACACACATTTCAGATGATACATCTAAAATATTTACCATACAAATTCATGGTAAATTTCATAAAAAATTATTTTTATTACAATTAAATCGTTCTATATATTTACCACATATAATAAATAAAAAACATTATAAATATATAATAATATTTATAATAATAATAAATATTATATTTATTATAATATTATTATTATTATATATTATATTACCATTGATTATATTAATGAATACAGAATTATGTCGTTATATTAATACAGAAACTGGTATAATCATAACAGATTTAATTTTAAATTTATATTTAAAATATCAATTATCAATTATAATTAATAATAATAATAATAATTTAATCAATAATTTAATCAATTTTATTGATTTTTCTATACCAAATAATATTTATTCAACAATACGGTATAAATGTCAACGTACAATAATCAATAATAATAATAATAATAATAAAACTAATTATAATTATAGTTTAATTAAATTACTTAATTATACACAAATTATTGATTTTAATAAAATATTATATTCATCAATTATTCAACAAAAAATCAATGATGCAGTAAAGTATGTAATAATTTAATTGATTATTATTATCATTTGTTATTAATTGATTGATTATTGATTGATTATTTAAAATATTGTATACTATTTATTTAATTTACTTACTTACGCCTGTAACACCTCGTGGAGGAGTATAGGCCGTACGCGAGCATTCTGCATCTAGCTCTGTCCTGGACAATCCTTTCCAGTTCTTTCCAGTTGTTATTCATCCTTTTCATATCTGTTTCTATTTCTCAGCGTAATGTGTTCTTTGGTCTTCTTCTTGACGATGGATGTAATAGTTTTTCACGTTTCAGCTCCGTACAGTAGGACTATCTTGACGTTCACATTGAAGATTCTCACTTTGATATTGATCCACAGTTGTTTTGATTTCCATATGTTCTTCAATTGTTGTATACTATTTGGCAATGGATTAATGGATGACATTATAGTTCTATAGATTTTTCAGTTATTGATCATATAGTTTAGTAGTAAAGTTTCAAATAATGAGGTTGTAATGAGTTAGGATTTGACTCCACTTATATTATCCTCTCTATCCTTGTATGTAATAAAGGACTTAATCCACATTTATGAATAAAGGAGTAAAAATAAGTCATTTATATTTTGTACACTCATTGATCTGGAGAGGAAATCAGAGGGATGAAGCGAATAGAAAAGAGAGTAGCAAAAACGACACACATTGGAGATGGTGAGTAAGCCAACTCGATTTAATCAAACGTGAATCAATATTTATAGTCAGATAAGAAGTGTACACACAATTCGTTATAAATGTCAACGTACAATAATCAATAATAATCATAATTATAATTTAATTTAAATTACTTAATTATACACAAATTATTGATTTTAATAAAATATTATATTCATCAATTATTTAACAAAAAATCAATGATGCAGTAAAGTATGCGATAATTAAGTGATTTTCATTATTATTTGTTATTAAATGATTGATTATTGATTTATTGATTAATGAATGATATTGTGTTTTTTTAATTGATTGATTATTCAAAATATTGGATACTATTTATTAACTTAATTGCTTACGTCTGTTACCCCTCGTGGAGGAGCATAGGCTGCAAACACTAATATTCTCCATTTAACCCTATCCTGAGCAATCCTTTTCAGTTCTTTCCAGGTAATATTCATCCTTTTCGTATCTGCTTTAATCTCCCGGCGTAATGTGTTCTTTGGCATTCCTCTTTTCCTCTTCCCTTCCGGATTCCAAGTTAGGGATTGCCTCGTGATGCAGTATGGTGATTTCCTTAATATTTGTCTTATCCACTTCCAACGTCTTTTCTTAATTTCTTCTTCAGCTGGAAGCTGGTTTGTCCTCTCTCATAAAACGCTGTTGCTGATGGTATCAGGCCAGTGAATATTGAGTAATTTGCTTAGACAGCTGTTTAAAAATAATTGTATCTTCTTGACAATGGATGTAGTAGTTCTTCACGTTTCAGCTCCGTATAGTAGGACTGCCTTGACGTTCGTATTGAAGATTCTCACTTTGAAATTAGTTGACAGTTGTTTTGAGTTCCATATGTTCTTCAATTGTTGGATACTATTTAGTAATTAATTAATCGATGATATTATAGTTCATATAGTTCAGTAGTAAAGATTCAAACAATGAGGTTGTAGTGAGTTAGGATCTTACTTCATTTAAATCATATGAATGATTGTTGTCAAAATATACATCCTGTCTATCCTCGCATGCAATTAAGGACTTAAACCACGTTTATGAATAAGGCAGTTAAAATAAGTCAAATACGAGATAAGATTTTGAATACATATATTTTGTACACTCATTGATCTGGAGAGGAAATCAGAGGGATGAAGCGAATAGAAGAGAGAGAAGCAATAACGACACACATTAGAGATAGCGGATAAGCCAACTGGATTTAATCAAACAATAATCAATATTTATAGTCAGATAAGAAATAAGATAGAGACATGTGATGAATAAGATAAAAAGTGTATACACACATACGCTCATATAAAAAATAGTCAGAGTTAATAAGTGAATAATTAACAAGCTCAAAACGGAACTCAAGATGCCCTGAATCTAGAATAAAATATATGGGGCTTAACATATCAACCGTTTCTACAAATTAATCGACACGAGAGTATATCGTCCAGAGAGTATTAATTCTCTCAAGATTACAGATGAACCTTGTTAACATATGCCAGATAACATGAAATTTCGGCCTAAGGTTTCTTAAGGTTTCAATAACAGTTCCAACAGGTCTATTCTTCATAGGATCAACAATCCGTCATTAGTTTATCTAATTAAATAGTAACAGTATAAAAATGTGTCTGGTTGTATACTTGACTGTCATAAATTTAAAGTTTTCTTCGCTCTTGATCTACGTATGTTTATAGTCGTGAAATAAAATATACGGTTATGAAATCATGAAAAGATAATGATAAATCCAGTTCTATAGAAGAAAAAAATGTCGGCAAGAAATTTAGAGTTGGCGGGTGCCTGTCAGACAAATAGAAATAGAGACATGAAATGCCATTAGACATTGAGTATTTTGCATGGACAATTGTTCATAAATACTTGTACCTGGCGCTTTAACCGGGTCGGTGGACACGGAAAGTGTTATATACTAGGGAAGAAGTAAGTACGGATAACTTGCAGGACCTATTATTGGACTATTATTCTATGTATATTCCTATTGTATAACTATTCAGTAACTAGATTATTTATATCTATATTCATCTTATTACAAGCTTCATTTTGACTTATTGATTATTATTATATGATTTACTGTCCCTAAATTATACTCAGTTTATTGATTATTGTCTCCCAAGCTTACAGCCACATTTGGCTTGGTTTTGTACAAATATTATTTTCTATTTTATGGTGTGATGTGGCCTGTCTGTCTGATATATAAACAAAGTATGCTTGAAATAAATGATTCATATTGCCGAGGCTGCTATTGGTGTTCTGGACTCAAGTGGACGGGCTAGGCGGATTAAGGACCAATAAGGACGCTAGATCACTCATACTGATTGGACTTCCTTGATTGTCACCGTGTTAAGGTCGGAGAAGTCGTATTCTTTTGGCGGATAATTCACGCGAGTTACGTCCTTGTTTAATTTGTAAGGTCATAACGAATTAGCGACGACCTTGATCAAGACATAACAATTGGCGACGGCTAGGTCAATTCATAACAGAAAGTTCACCTAGGGGAGTTGGAAAACTCTGATTCCAAACCAATGGTGCACATGGGTTCTAGTATCCTGATGGAACAAATGGCGTGTGAACCAATTGTTGGTCATCGGCTACCGTGAGACTGCATCTACTCACGATGCTCCACTACCCTGTGGATCAGATCTTTAGGTCAAAGGCTCCGGGTGTGGACCCTTAAGAAAACTGTTGTATCCCGAAGAGAATTACGAATGGTAACTTTAGGTCTATTTATGGATCAATGTAATATGCCTACTTCCTATTATACAATTATTACGTAACTGAACTATTCATATTCGTATTTCTCTTATCATTAACTTTATTTTGACCTTTGACTTATTATCATACGATTCTTGAGTTATCGTCAGTTTGTTGATTACTATTCACAGTCACATTTGGCTAAATATTGTACAAATGTTATTATCTGTTTTATGGGTCGATATGGCTTGCTCGGTTGGTATGTAAACTCAGTATGTTTGAAATACAATGACTCATACCACTGAGGCTGTTAATGGTGTTTTGGGCTTAACTGGCTGGGCTAGGCAGATCGCAGGACCGGTTAGCACTCTAGTCTGCTCGTACAAGTTTCGTGTCATTGTTCTAATCGACAATTCGCTGCTCCCTGTTTGGCGGTTCTATCGAGCCACACATCAACTAGTCATCCACTCGGCCACAAGTATAACAAAAACCACCTGCTTCGGTTTGAGCACCTGGGTAGTATCACAGACCTCACACAAATTTGTGTGGCACATATATTTCTGGTGTCCTTTTGTACCAATATTTATGTGTTTAAATAAATAAATGAACAATTAAGGTGGAAAAAATCGAATTCATTTTATTTCGTGATTTCTCCATAACTGTTAACAACTACATTCACAATGAAGTGTAACACTGGTATATAAAATAGTGTGAAGTGACTGATATCGGTAACACATTATTTAACTGGAATTGTTTATTCGTTACTACTTCATTGATATGTAAAAAAAGGGTGTTGATTTGTCTATTGATAATTTGTAGGGAGTGCCAAGAGTCAATAATATTACTTACTTACTTACTTACTTATTCATGTTACCCCTCATCGAAGAGAATGGACCATCGAAAGCCATTCTCCAACCAACTGTTTTGGTTTCTACTTTCCACTTGTTATTCTTTTAATGTCTGCTTCTTATTCCTAACGCAATGTGATCGTTGATTTGACTCTCATCCTTTTCCTATCAGGATTACAAGTTAAAACTTATCTTGTGTTGCAGTTAGATAATTTCTTCAATGTATGTCCTATCCATTTCCAACGTTTTTCATAGTTTCCTCTCCAACTGAAAGCTTGTTTGTTATCTCCAATAGCAGTTTGTTGATGATGGTATAAGGCCAACAAATATTGAATACCTTTTTTTAAATACTTGTACTTTTTTGATTATGTTAGTGGTAGATCTCCAAGTTCCAACTCCGTACAGTAGAATTGTTTTGAAGTTTGTAATAACTATTCTGACTTTGATGTTGGTTGCTAGTTGCTTTGAGTTCCATACATTCTTCAGTTGTAGGAATGCTGCTCATTCTTTCTCAGTCCATGTCTTCATATCTTCATCAGATAATATACCTGTAATCAATGAAGTACCAAATTATTATATTGTCTAGATCTATTACAATTTTTAGTCATATTATCATCTATTATTCATTGACTTTTTAGTTTGTGAACTTTGTTTTTTAAATAGCTCATCTATAGATAAAATCATTAATATGAACCTTGAGGAAATCATCCCGTCCGATTTAGATAGTTTGACATCTATTGCTAGAAAATTATCAGTTTATCTAGATGGAAAGGACTATAAAGTAAGTTATTATTAATACTAAGTATGAATGGCTGATTCTTATGATTTGTTTTTGCTCTGTGTATTTCTTTAACATAAATAAATAACCTTATTTCAACTATCAGGAATATTGAGTTGTGATAGAAACATATGGGAGTTCCAAGATAAGATATTTATTATTGAGGGACTTAAGAAGTGAACGACGCTATGAATGATTCAGACTACCTGAAAGCATGACCTCATTTTTCAAGTGATAACCGTCTGAAGTGGGTCGTAGACATCAATTCGGAAGTAGACTTGGATGAACTATGTTTTAAGGCTTCCTATTCAGCGATGCGAAACCGTGAAAGTCAACCTATTTCTATCTTTTTCTGTTTTTAGAATCCAAAATCGTTGCAAATGCTAGTTTTTTTATGTAAAAATCTTGTCGTAGGCACACACTTGGACAGCTACCAGTACGGCTTCACCTTCCATTCATGTTTGTTTTTCAAATGACCTGGTTGACATGCTAAGAACTGAAGGGTTATTGAAATCATTTTAGCTTGATCGCGTTATCACATGGATGCCCGATCACTACATCAGAGTAGCATCTGAATTCAGTTCATGGAAATGATTTTGTTCTGTACAACCATGTTATTTAACATTAGTTGAATAGTATTATTGTTGTATCTATATTTCAGTCAATGTGAATACCAATAAAACAGTTTATAATGAAGTTAACTGAAGTATATCAATAATGTTTAAGATGCTTGCTGTTCATATCAATAATTAGACTATTCAAATATAAAAATATAAATCTAACCAACTGATCAGTAAGCAAAACCTTAAAATATTAAATAATTAAGGTATCAAATGAAAAGAAATATTGAAATAAGCGCTCGCGCTCGAGACTGATAGGTCCTGGGTTCAAATCTCGCGAGGCGGGATCGTGGATGCGTACTGTTGAGGAGTTTCACAATAGGACAAAACGGCCTTCCAGTGCTTCCAGGTTTTCAATGTTGATTTAGCTTCAATTGACTCATGATTTTAACTATATAAATAAATCTGTTTGGTTGGAATGACAACATTATCACATAGTTGAAACATTTACATTTCATACTATTGAACTGAATTTTCATATAAATGGAAAATTGTGAGTAACTAATATTTTCCCAATATTTATTTTAATGTTTCCGCTTGAAAAAAAAACTGAAGGGATAAAAGATAATTCGTACGATTAAAAGGGAATCAATTATTGCTAAATAAGTACCCTTAAGAATATTGTTTCTGAGAGTTTTGTGATTTTCATTTGATAATATCTAAAGTTATCAGAGGGGGTTTTGTGAAGATTTAAGTAATTTTTATATAGTCGAAATCATTAGTCAATTGAAGCTAGATCACCATGGAAAACCTGAAAGCACTGGACAGCCGTTTCATCTTATAGTGGTACTCTTCAGCAGTGCGCATCCACGATCACATTCAATTTCATGGATTGGTTGAAGTTAGACATTAACGCCAATAGATAAAGCGCTCGCGTGAGACACTGATAGGTCCTGCGCTCAAATCTTGCGAGGCGGGATCGTAGATGCGCACTGTTAAGGAATCTTACAATAGGACGAAACGGCCGTCCAATGCTCTCAGGTTTTCCATGATGGTCTAGCTTCAATTGGCTCATAATATCTAAGGTTGTAATTGATAAATCTTTGTTGTCATATTTTTTATTCTATGTGTGGATTAAGTTGAATTGCATATTATGAAAAAAACATGAATTCCGGATCCAAATGTTAGGAACTAACCGAATATTTCAAAACCAAAGACTATCAGACCAAATTCGATTCGGAATAAATTGTGAAACTGTTGAATAAATCATTTTGTAATAGTAATGTATTATAATTTTTAATCCAGTAAATCGATTGAAAAATTACAGTTGATAGTTGTGAAAAACATAGTAATTATATATATATATATATATATATATATATATATATATCACTGGTCTATTTATGGCACAGTATTGTAGACTTCTTGCCTCAACAATTGTTAAACCTTAATATGGCTTATCAATTGATTCATTTGTTCACTGATTGTTTACCCAAAAACAATTAATGTATATATAGTATTAATAATTTATTGAATACCATGGAGCATAGGATATATTTTTCGTCTTAATACAAGACTTCATAAAAATGATGCACTGCAACTAAACTAAGGATCAAATTCAAGATATTAAGCTTTTGCAGTGAATTCTTAAGCTTTAAGCTAATGAGTTGGGACTCAGTGGTTTACACTTTTGATTTCAATTAGTCACCATTCAAAGGTGTTGGTGAGTAACTGGTTGAACCCTTCTCACTATAACTCCTGGAATTCTATTTAGAAGTTAGTCATTGGTGAATATATGATTGAGGTTTATACGGATTGTCAAACATCATAGTTTATATCATAAACTGATCTTAGTTGAATAAAGATTAGGAATTGTTATCAAATGTCTCATACTAGAACGAAACAGTTATTCATTACTTCCTTTATTATTTTTATACATCTAAACTAATTATACTTATATTTGTCTTCTAATTAGCTAATTGTGAAATGAATATTGAATAATACATGTTTATTTTCATATAGGTAATTTTAGGTAACTAATAATATAATTAACATGATATTTCCGCGAGACTATAATTTATAAACGAACCAATCAGATTTAAGATAAAAGGTCTCAGATTTTGGCACAAAATTCGTTCAACCATTTGTCTAAATAACTTTTCAGCATTTTATCTCATATAAATTCGTGATGAAAACGATAAATGTAATTACTAACCTTAATCATCAACTGTAAATCATAATCCTTATTCTTTAATCTGTTTTATAACCTTTGCCTAGACCTGATAAGTAGATGAACATCCTCAAGGTCGTCACTAACAAATAGTTCATAAATTATAGTCTCAATGTTGTTTCTCATCTGATGTGTTAATTAACAGTTTAACAGTAAATGGCTTCTTTTCTAATAACGTGATAATCACACTTCATAAGGTGTAAATTTCTTCCAGTTGGTGCAAAGCAATTTTTCTAAATACTTTTATGCTTTAAAAATAATGATAAATTTATAATATCCTAATTAGTGGATAATCAAATTTCTGACTTTTCATGGCTTCAGAGATTCAAAAACTGAATTAGTATATCAGTTAAGTTCTCGGGCGCGAGACTGGTAGGTCCTGGATTCGAATCTCGCTCGCGAGGCGGGATCGTGGATGCGCACTGCTGAGGAGTCTCACAATAGGACGAAACCCTCCGTCCAGTGGTTCCAGGTTTTTCATGGTGGTATAGCTTCAATTGACTCACGCTTTCAACTATGAAAATACTAAATCTCCACAAAAAACCCCTTCTGATTATTAATTATGTTTCTTATACACTGAAAATTGTCTACGGTTTTTCTAATGAAACAATTAACTGAGATGTATTTGCAATGAAGTATCAGGCAAATTATTAGTGGCCTAGATTTCCTATCTGATAATAAAATCAGAAAAGACAAATTATTTTTCAGAGACTACTTTAATCTTTAGAAGTTAATCGTTTCAGCTTAATCATAGTTTGGGTTCCTTTGAAAACAGAAGTTCGACTGACATATGTCTCATCAGTATATTGTTTTCTTTTTTGACTATGAGATAAACCTCTACTCACTTTCAGTCATCATCTCACTAATCTATCAAAGTGGTCGCTATTAAACCATTTTATTTAATAAAACTCAACGATTTCCATAACATTTTACTGACAGTTATAATTTCTTCACAAGTGACTAACTTCGAGAGAAAATCGCTGGAGTTCTAGCAGGTAACCGTAACTAGTCAAGTTCAGGTGTAAGGCTGGTACCCAACGAAGACAATGGAAGATGGTTGCGCAGTTTCACTGGTTGATTGGTGTTAAACTTGTACACCGTTGGATGCCGACTTAGTGGTTCAGATGTTAAGTGTCTCAGGGAGAGATTATAAGTCCTGGATCCGATGTACGAATGAAAGGTCGTGGATGTCCATTACTGAGCATTCCATTACTAGGACGAGAATCGGTCTTTCAGTACTACTAAATTCTTCCGTACTGGTCTTACTCAGATCAGTCCGATATATAAATAAGATTCAATAATGCATTCAGTCTTTTTCTGATAATAGTCTTCAGTTTTTTAACAATGATAGGGAACGATATACTAGTGCAAAAGTACAAACGGAATGGACAAATGTTTCTTCACTCTATTCTCCTCATCAATTTAATGTTTGGATGAAATCTATCATTTTACAATAATATAATTTACTTCATAAAGTAAATAAGACTGAAGTTCAAATTAATTGATCTAATAAAGAAATCATGAAATAATTGTATAACGACGAGTCAATCAGAATGAAAAATGTAACTTTCAAGATTTTGCGCGAAACTTAAATATTATGCATAATGTACAACAAAAGTATATTTGTACAGTACTCTGGTCTTGAAGATGCCAAATGTTCAACTCTTTCTCTGTAGATTATATATAACAGTTCTCATCATTATCCCTAAATCCTAACCCTAAACAATTGAACGTAATCAATAACAATCTAAGGAATTCTTGAAGTCTACTTGAATTATTACAAGAGTTTGAGGTGGCAGATATACGTATATTTTTTATATACGCATAACTATTTTATCGACTAACAAAGAGATTAACTTGTAGAATACCTTAATGTATTCACCGATTCTGTAAAGTCTATTGACACATTGTCGTATTAGTGTTTTCTTTTCCATAACCTATCCATTTTTGCAAGCTGTCTTGTGATTGGTTCAGAACTGACTTAAAATTCATAGTGATCATTTAGAGCTCATCATCATAATACTGACTTATTAAAAACCATATAATCTACCAAACAGTCACTAGAAAGATATATACAGTTATGTAAAACAGAAATACTGTGCTAACTGGATAATTGACTATTTATCTAATAGTAGATTTTATCACTAAATGAAACCAACTTCAAAATCACTCGAGATTGGTTAGAGTATTAGAAAGATGTTTTCCATCTTGCCATTACTCAATTGACGTACATGAAACTAAATTCAGAATTCTTTTTACACTCGTTCGATAACATTAGCAACAATGTAATGAGCTTGAAAATCCCCTAATAAGGTTGTGAAAACCCTTAATCAAGGCATCTGATAGAAAGAATAATCCTTGATGGAAAGATTTCATTGAAAATTTCAAAATAATTATTCATTAGCATCAATTTTTGGTGTGAAGAAGAACAAAGATTTCAGCAGAATAATATGAATTTATTTCATATTAGAATGAACATTTAAAAGTGTCTGAGACAACTATCATCTTCAAAAGTTCATCGGTAAACAGCGAAAAATTAAAGATAACAAATTGAAAGTAGCCACAGTAGATAAAATTCCTATCGTTTTCAGGAGTGAAAAACGCTCCCGGTACAGACAAGTGAAGGCTCAAAGTCGTACTAATTAAACTTCACTGTAGAGCCAAAATAACAATTCATCATATGAACATGTTCAAAAAATCCCTTAATTAAGAAGCCTAGAGATGTTGATTAGCGCAACTCATTAACGTCGCCTTAACACATGATATTACTCATTACCTTAAAGCTCTTGGAGTGATTAATAGACAAGAAACTCCTAGTACTCTGAATTTTTCTGAAGCTACGAAGATCATATATCAAAAACCTGACTTATGTCTGCAAGTGAAAAATGTCGATATTTCCTTCTTTTAATAACATGAATACCATCATAACGTTAGGTCATTTTTTAGCCTCTCTTACAGTCTAACAATTTTGTTTTTAAGTATCTGAGTTTGACATTATTCTACGTTTGTTTGTCACCAACGTTTATGTATTACGTAACTAATTGTTTCTAATTATTATCAATGTCAAGATTATTCTTCTGTATATTAGGTTTATTTACAATAATGTATTTAGTTAGGTAGTAGCTTGTTTTGGAAACCAGTACGCGCGTTTCGTCCTATTTGGGATTCGTCAGCTGGATGTACCTGCATTCAAGAGTTGACGTTCATTGTATGAGTAAAACCCAGTACCGTTCGCCTCAAACCTCATCACGTCACCCACTTAGCTACTGAATCCTGATAGCCACTTACTTGTGCAATGTGGTGAAGTTTAAATTCACATGATATTGTTTGTTTGATTCTTCCCATTGATGTTTATGACTGGAATTGATCAATCTCATCTTAGCGTATGCGCGTACTATGCGGACTGCCTCGATATTGCTTTAAATAACAAGCTTCATAAGCAAAGATGGAAATTGGTTAATAGTGGAACCTAGTACTCGCGTTTTGTGCTATTTGGGATTCATCAGCTGGATATACTTGTATCCAAGAGTTGACGTTCACTCCGGATCTCAAACCCAGTACCGTTTGCTTCAGACCCCATCGAATTATTCACTTAACTACTGAGTCCTGATAGCCATTTGCTTGTGCAATGGGATGTAGTTTTATTCATTCTGGCATTGATTGTTTGAATCTTCCCATTAATGTTTATGACTATAATAGATATAATTTAATATCTTTCAAATATTCTTATTTATACAACAACTGCTGACGAGTCCCAAATAGGACGAAAAGCGCATCCTGAATTCCACTGCCAGCTACTATCCATCTTTGTTCATAAAGCTTGTGACTTGAGGCAATATCAAGACAATCCTCACAGTATGCACATATGCCAATTAGAGGCTTACCCGTTGCAGTCCTAACACATCGATGGGAAAATTCAAACAAACAATACTAAATTAATTTAAACTTCTCCCCATCGTACAAGCATGTGGCTATCAGGATTCAGTAACTAAGTGGATAATGCAATTGCGTTTGAAGAGAAAAGATACTGGATTCAAGTTGTGGAATCAACATCAACTCTGAGATGTATGTACATCCGATTGAACAGTCCCAAATAGGATGAAACGTGCGTCCTGAATTTCATTGTTAGCCTTTATCCATTTTTGCTTAAAATGTTTTATGTTTTATTTTAAATTCTCTTCTTTTTCTTCTTTTTCTTTGTTTTTTTTTTTAATAAAAAAATTTATCATTTAGCCAACTATTCAAGAAATTCTACATTTTATATCTATTCAATCAAATCTAATAAATTATTTAAATGAAATAAATAATTTTCAACAATCTTCAAAAAATTTTTTTAATTTAATTAATATTATTGAACAAATTAATAAATCATTAATTAATTATGATCAAATTACTAAATCAATTAAACCATTAATTAATTTATTTGAAAAACTTGAATTTAATAAAAATTTAACAAAACAATTTGATCAAATAATAAATGGATTAAATAATTTTAAAAATGTAAGTTATTAATAATATTAATTAATTAATTATTATTATTTTTTTTTTATTTTTTATTTTTAATTTTAAAAAAATAATTGTAATTTAATCATTTATAAGCAAAGATAGATATTGGCTAGCAGTGGAATCCAGTTTGATACGCGTTCCATATTATTTCCGGATTCATCAGCTAGATGTACCTGTATCTCAGATTCGTTGATGTTCACTTTGGGACTTGAACCCAGTACCGTTTGCTTTAAATGCCATCGCGTTATTCACTTAATTACTGAATTCTGATAGACACTTGCTTGTGCAATCTTTAATGATTATTGTGGTTTGGGTTACTTATATTCATATAAGTAGTATATGATGATAGTCAGGCGTAGAATGTATTTAGGCAGAAGATCGATAAGGAAAGAACAGAAGTGAAGCACAATCGGTATGAAAATGCATGAACAATGAAATCAGAAAGGATGAACTGATATTTGCAGAAGTGACTGTCAAGATTTAGACAATTGATTGATAGTTTGCAAATTAATTGTTTACTGTATGCTTATCAGATTTGAGTGAGATAGTCTGTAATTTGTGGGTAAAGAAATTCGATTGTACCTAATCGTGTTCTTGTTTACTACACCATTATTATCTAGAAAGTATTTGGTAGTTATTTCATAACTGTATATGATCACAATGTCATCAAAGATGAAAATTGATGTCTTTAGTTTAGGTGATGACAGATTAAACATCATACAACTTGATCATTATCCACATATACACAAGTGTGTTAAGTGTAAAATATGTCTTTATTAATGATATTGAAAGATTGATGAACAAAATCATAAAATAATTGAAGTTAGATATGTAGATCACTAAATGTGGTGAACTCACTGGTTTAAATGTTGGTTTCCTGCTACGAGACTTGAAAGTACTGGTTTCAACTCATTGTTGTAATCACAAAATATTCAAATAGATTTCTATCGAACAACGGTTCAGGTGAAATGAACAGATTGGATAGAGATAGGGTTCAATTACTTGTCAATAAACATCTGCCATGTAGTAGCTAGTTGAACAACATATTTTTCTGTTCAGGCTGTTTTGAGTAGCTTATATATATATATATATATATATATATATATATATATATATATATATATATATATATATATATATATATATATATAGCGCAGCTGATGTCGATCTTTCTTTACACGAGCCGCACCCTTTCTGAATCATTGGAATTGATTTTGTGACTTGTTTCCAATATATGTTAAGCTATCATCAACCGGGAATTATGGGACACGTTTCAAATACTGTTTGTATTACTCAAACCTCACATTCAAATATCTAGATGATTCTCACACATAAGTTGCATTAGAATAATGAGCGTTGATCTCATTGACAATATTCTGTTTTTCATCTTTTGAAAACCGATACTTAACTATCACTAATGCTGATCTAGCCAGAAAATACACTCTTATATTACGGGCAGTTTAAAGATCCCCATAGAATATTCGAAAATGAACAATAGTTGAGCGAACAATTGTTTTCAATAACTTCATCATCAGGCTCTACAGTTATAGGTCTATAATTATAATGTTTCACAAAGGCCTAAATGAGGCATGTATTAACTAGGTTGGCAATGTTATATATTAAAAGTGGTGAACGTTTGCATCCTATATTATGCTCATCCGAAATTATGACTTGTACCAATAACCTATCGCTACATTTTTGTATTGGCTAACAGTTCCGTCAAGAGACAATTTATTTTTTCAGTTTAGGGTTGTTGGTATTGCCTTTTTAAAAATTGAGATCATGAATCGATTAGTAAACACTAGAAGAACGTTTATTCCTAATATGGGACTCTTCATCAGTGTTCATCTCTAATCTCGCACATGGGACTTTAACCATAAACCTTCAGTTTTATGCGAAAGCTCAACCTATAAGCCACTGAAACGGAATCCAACACTTTTAATATCTAACTTCGACTTTAGATTACTAACTTGATTGACATTCTTTCAAATCATACCATTCTAGTAACCACTCTTTCTAGACTATTTTATCATATCAGTCATCTTTTCCCTTTTTTATTTGTAGCTTTCATCTGATCGTCAAAAATTGAAAGAAACAATACGTCCAATATTTAATTCAACTATACAATCATTATTAAATCAAACAAGTCTATTGTTAAATTATGAATTTGAACAACTTTTCGCTAATATATTACCATGTGATAATTTAAACAAAATTTTAATGATTCTTTTAAATCTATTCTGTGATAGTACTCATAGTATAGTACTATGTTTAGGTAGTTTTATATTCATTATATCTATATCCTACTTTTTATTGATGATTACATTATGTATATTTGTTATATATTCTAGGCGACATATTGAATTATTAATGTATACAAAGTGGGAAAATATCCCATTCTATGATTCAGTTAAATTATGTTATAATCTACTTGAATATAATTAAAACAAAAGTTCTTATAAAGAGTTATTAGTTTTGGAGTTCATATGAAATCATTCAATATAATTATAATAGAAGGATAAGGTTAAGAGATTTCTCGAATGACCCATTTGAAAATTCATGATCTTATTCAATTAATTAGTTATTCACCTTAGACGATGGATAAAGGGTTGAGAAATATTATGAATTGGTTTAAACTAATTATCAACACCGTTGAATGCCGGCTAGCTAAGTGGTCTATCGGTTAAGTGCTCTGGCGCGAAACTGGTAGGATCTGAGTTCGAATCTCACGAGGCGGAATCATAGATGCGCACTGCCACTGAGCAGTCCCATAATAGGACGAAACGGTCGTTCAGTGCTTCCAGGTTTTCCATGGTGATCTAGCTTCAATTGACTCATGATTTCAACTATATATAAAAATTACTAAAAATCTCTAAAGAAAAGACTCATATAAAAACGAGGTTAAGAGATTTCTCGGTTAACCTTGAAATTTCATGACCTTATTCAATTAATTAGTAAACAACTACAAATATTAATGACTGATTTGGAGAGCTAATATTTATAACTTAACATTCAGAACTTAAGATGGAGTTATTAATAAGAAGTTGTGATCAGTGGAGTCCAACCCATTTCGGGTGTGAGACAGTTATCCATCTTAGACAATGGATAAAGGGTGGAGCGATATTAACACCGTTGGATGACGGTTCAGTGGTCCAGAGATTCAGCAGTTTTTCACGATACTCAAGGCCTTAGGTTCGAGTTCTGATGGAGAGATTATAGGTGAGAACTGCTGAAGAGTCCCATACCAGGAAGAAAAGGCTGTCCACAGTCTTCAGATTTTCAGTGTTAGTCTAGCTTACAGTGCCCCTAAATGACTTGGTACGGCTGAGAGTGGGAAGAGTCCGCTCTCCCTCTCGAAATATTCTCACATGGCCATGCATATATATCCTCTGACAGGGAAGTCCTAATCACTGTCTTCTCGTGTCGGGGTTGTTGTTTACGAAATTGAGAGGATGAAAAGAGAATATCCGGCGCTTCAACCGGGTTGGTGGACACGGAAAGTCCACCTAGGGTAGTTGGAAAACCCTGATTCCAAACCAATGATGCACACAGGCTCCAAGATCCTGAGGGAACAAATGGCGTATGAATCAATCGTTGGTCATCGGCTACCAATGGACTGCATCTCCTCACGATGCTCCACTGTCTTGTGGATCGGATCTTAAGGTCAAATGCTCCAGTTATGGCCCCCTAAAAAACCACCTTGTTCTGTTTGGGAACCCGGGCAGTATCACAGCCCTCACACAAATCGAGTGAGATTTGTGTGGCGCATATGTATCTGGTGCTTCCTTGTACCAATATTTATGTGTTTAAATGCATAATAAATAAATAAACAAGCTTACAGTGACTCATGAATTCAGTTGTTGCAATGAGTAAACAATAAATTTTAATTACTGATTCGTTGAGCAAATATTTAGAATCTACCGTTCAGAATTTAGGGTTGGTGTTGCAGTTAGTATTAGGAATCTGGGTTTCGGATAATATTGTAGCTTGCAGTGTCGGATGCCTAGCTTCTGGACAGGTTATTCTTCTTGAATCATGTCTTGACCTTGTTAATTATTCACTTGTTAATCTTGACTGTTTTTATATGAGCGCATATATGTGGATCCTATTCATCACATGTCTGTAACGTATTTTTATCTGAGTATAAATATCAATCAACTCTTGATTAAATGGAGTTGGGTCACACGCCTTCTCCACTGCGCGTCACTTTGGTCCTCTCTCATCTCTCCTCTTCGTTTCTCTGCTCGTTTGGCTGGATCAACGGCTATACAAATTATATGTATTCGAAATCCATTCTCGTATTTGACTTATCGTAATTCCGATGTTCACCGTCGACGAAATTTACAAGGATAGACGACATGTATATTTCGATAGCAATCAGTCAATAACAATCATTCATAAGATCTAATCGGAGTCAGATCTCGAGTCACAAAAAGCTTTATGGTTAATGAGTGTGTCCATATATTTTAACTTTAAACTCTTCACCGTAATTTTATATTTTAACTATGAACACAAATCCTAAATTTCATATCCTAATCTTAAATTTAAATCATAAACTATGTATTTTTATCAGTAATTGTAAGTCTAGATGGTGATCCTCAGGTTTCAATGCTAATCTTAACGACCCAGTGATTTTTACACGGATAAAAATATTTTATTGAATGGATTTATTCATAATAAAGTGGAATTGCAACAGCTAGACAGTGAGATTATTCATATCATGAGTGTAGTTGGATGACTTTGATGTTGGTTGAGAGCTGTTTTGAGTTCCATCTGTTCTTCAGTTGTAGAAATGATGTCCTCGCCTTTACGTCTGCATTAGATCCTCCACGTTCCTCGATGATGCTACCCGTATACGTGAAAATTTTCACATCTTCCAAAGTTTCGACATCAAGTGTGATTGGATTGGCGTCCTCCTTGTTGTATTTGAGGAACTTGCTTTTCTCTTTGCGTATGTTGAAACCTACTACTGTGGAGGCTGCTGCTAAACTGTTTGTCTTGACCTGCATTTGTTGCTTTGTATGGGATAGAAGGGCCAAGTTATCTTCGAAGTCCAAATCTTATAATTCATTGGGAGCTATTCATTGTGTTTTGTGCTTCCCGCAACATGTCGCGGTCTTCACAATCCAGTAAAACACCACAAAAAAGACTCAAGGGGAGAGTAAGCAACCGTGTCTGACTCCAGTCCTTAATTAGAATGAATCTGTCAACTGTCCTCTATGCATCACTTTGCACTGTAGTCCGTCGTATGAATTGCGTATGATGTTGACAATTTCTATATGTACACCATATTGTCGAAGAAGACTCTATAGGACTCTCATATCCATACTATCAAAAGCCTTCTCATAGTCAAGGAAGTTGATGTTTAGTGACGAGTTCCACTCAACTGATTGTTCAAAGATGATCCGTAGTGTCGCCATTCGGTCTGTGTATGACAAATCGTTACGGAATCCAGCCTGTTGATATCGAAGGCGGGTGTCTACTGAATCTTTTATCTGGTTCAGTAACGTTTTGTTGAAGACCTTCTCTAGTACTGACAGAAGTGTGATTCCTACGTAGCTCTTACATTTGCTCAGATATCCCTTTTTGGTGTCCTGATGAGGTATTCTTCTTTCCAGCCCATCGGTACTTGGTCTTCCTCCTAACGTTTCTGTTTAAAAAGTGGAGTACGATAGCAGTTGCTTTTATGTCTGACTTCAGTGCTTCGGCTAGTATATTGTCAGATCCTGCTGCTTTCCCTCTCTTCATTTTTCTGATGAACATGTTGATTTTTTCGATTAGTGGTGGGATGGCATCTACAGTATAGTTTGTAATTGCAGCTTCGATGTTGATTGGGTCTAGTGCAACTGATCTATTGAGGAGTTCTTCTTTCTGTTTCTTATACTAAATTAAATCAAGCTGATTTATATCAATCATGGCATCCATATTTTTCTTTACTCAAAACTACTGATATTATTTTCTCAACTGTATACTTGACTTTGTAAGCAAAGATAAATAGTGGCTTGCGGTGGGATCTAGTACTTGCGTTTCGTCCTATTTTGGACTAGTCGGCTAGATGTACGTGCATCCAAGAGTTGACGTTCACTCTATGACTCAAATCCAGTACCGTTTGCTTCAAACGCCATCACATTATCCCCTAGCTACTAAGTCCTGATAGCCACCAGAGTAAACATCAACTCTGAGATGCAGGTACATCCATCTGACGAGTCTCGAATAGGACGAAACGCACATTCTGGATTCCACTGCTACCCACTATCCATCTTTGCTTATAAAGCTTATGACTTCAGGCAACATCGAGGCAGTCCACTCAGGATGCATATATTCCAACAAATGACTGATCAATTACAGTCCTAAATAACAATCGGAAAATACAATAATGATATTGATGATAAAGTAAAATTTAAGACCGTAATAACACGAAAATTCCATAGCTATTTCATTTCTAGTATCAATCAACAATTAAATGAAATGTATATATATTGACAAATATAACCGATTTAAACAAACAAATAAAATGAAAAAAGAAACAAAACAAACAAACAAAAACAAAACCAAAAAAATAAAACTATGAAAAAAAAATAGCAAAAAATTGAATATCACATGACATTGAACATTGAACAAAAAAAAATGACAAATCAATATTTTTTGTTTATTTTTTGAAATGAAACCAAAACAAAAACAGGATCGATAATTTCAATGAGATCACATATTGATTAACACACAATAAGAATGTTTATATTATTATTATTATTATTATTATTATTATTATTATTATTATTATTATTATTGGCATTGACCAATTGGTCCTCACAACAAACAATGAAAGAGATGAAGATAGGCAGTAATGGCTGTATGAAAACTTTATCTATATATGGCACATTCATTAGTCACATTTAGTTTGCATTGGTATTTATCTTCTGAAGAGGTGATAATTTAACACACACACACACATACATCACATAAACGGCAACATAAATTATGACAGGAAGACAAAACAAATAATAGATCAAGCAGTTTAATTTGTTGTTTTTGTTTTTGCAGTAATCCTTAGGAAACTGACTATTTAGTTGTGGAATTCGTTGATGTCTCGTCTGCTGTCGGCTTCTCAGCGTTATCAGTCCCTTCTTCAGCCTAAAATTAGAATTACATCAAGTACTTAAGATGCAATCTAGTTACGTAATATATATATATATATAATTCAAATGTCCAAATTTAAACATATAAATACCATAACAGTGAGATTTATCATTGATATAACAACCAATCGCGATTAGGTGTTTTTAATACAAATGAGATTATCTCCATATTGATATTATGACTGGAATTTGATCAGTCTTGATTGGCATTAGTACATCCAATATGGATTGACTACATACTAGCCATTACGACCTAAGTTTACATAGAAAAGATGAATTGTGGCTAGAATCGGAATTTAGGACGCATGTTTCGTCTTTCTTGGGACTCATGGGTTAGATACAACTACATCCCAGAGGTGATGTCGTTTCAGGGCTCAAAATCAGTTCCTTTTGATCTAAACACTAAAAAGTTATCCGCCTAGTATTTTAGTCCAGATAGCCACTAACTAGACCCCGGTCATGGATTTCACTACCAGATATTTCCCATTCAATGGATTTAAACATATCACTTTGTGTCTAAATATTAAGAAATTGATTATGGAATATACCGTTTTACCAAATGGAATAACTTATCTACTTTCCTTTCTCGGAACTAAATATACAAATAATTTCCTTTGAATGTGCTGAAGAGTTTAATGACTAGCATTTTGTCCACAATATTGGATTAGCATGCAACAAATTTAGTGTCAGTATTATGGATCATGTCAACTAATGGTTTGTATGTCTAACCTCAATCAATTCATAGCAATATAAATTCATTTTACGATGATGTCAGTAACTAACTGCCCACATTGGACTGAAGGTCCTGAGTTTGCTCTACATTGATATTGCTGTGGATGGACAGAACGAAACACCTGTCCAGTATTTAGTAGTTTTCACTAGTCGTTTGGCTAAGATGATGTAAACTATGAAATCTAACTATCTCCATATACACTCTTTATTAGGTATCATCTATAAATGAATGTTATCACAGATGAATCACTATTGTTTCTAAGATGACTAGCTGAAAAAGCTAATAAATATTCTTAAATAGAATTATCTTATTAATATATTGAATTCAATACAAGCACTGAATAATCAATACGACATCTAACAGTATCCATATAAAGAAATAGGATGAAGAGGACTTTTAATAAACTTACTTCCTTTTCTTTCAATTTAGGGATTAAAACAACTTTACCGATATTCCTTCTTTCTTGTAAACGCATCATAGCCTCTTTTGTCTGTAATTAGAAAAAAAGTATTATTTAAGAATAAAACTAGCATCAAGATATTTCGTGTATAATACTAAGGAGTCCCATACTAGGAAGAATACAATTTTCTAGGTATCTATGTTTCTTATAATTTCTCATAAACATTTCAATGAAAATCATTTACACTATTAATTTTTTAAAATGCTTGTTATCGAAATGTTCTATAAAAGACAATAGAAGATAGTTGCGCAATACAGTGGATTGGTTGAAGTTAGACACTAATATCGTTAGATGCCAACTCAGTGGTCTAGAGGTTAGGCGTTCACGCGTGTGACTGTAGGTCCTGCGTTCGAATTCCGTGTACAGGATCGTTGATGCGCATTGCTGAGTAGTCTCATGCTAGGACGAAACGGTCGTCCATTGCTTCCAAGTTACCAATGATGGTCTAACATTGATCATTTCATGATCTCAATCAAAACTTAACAATCTACCAAACCCCATACTGATAATTAATAAACTTCATATTTCCAATACATAGGTTACGTTTGTCATAAGTAAAAATCATTTGGAATATCAGTGAAAACTTGGAAGAGCTCTATAACTATTTTTCAAAGAACTAAGGAGTACACACTTATGACATTACCTGGGATCTAACCTAGGATCTTCAAGTGTTACAGCAAACACTTAGCCATTAGAATCACTAACTTATCTTCGAATAGTAATAATTTCAACACCAATCAACCAGGGTTATATAATTCAACAATTATCCAGTTTCATAAGAAATATATATTTTACTTTCGATATACTTTTAATTTGACCAATCTCCAGAATGTATGAAGCTTCGTAATATATGTTTGCGTCACAGAACTTTACCATAATAATAATCAGGATATGTTTACCATATATCTCTTACGGCTTTAACTATAATAACTACGTATTTGTGTTGGTTGTTTGGATCATCGCATTCATGTTTAGGACTGCAAATGGTTGGATTAAAATAACCAATACAAAAATTAATTGAACTTCACTCCATTGAACACACTAGTTGCTATCTGAACTCAGTAATTATGTGGGTAACGTGATGGTGTTTGAAGCAAACGTCATTCAGTTAGAGCTTCGGAATGAACATCAACTCCAGTTGACAATTCCCGAATAAGATGAAATGCGTGTCCTAGATCCCATTGCTAGTCACCAACATCTCTGCTTATAATAACCACAGTCTATTTTCGCTAACATAATTCACATAGTTCAGATAATCTTCGTCTTTTTATTGCACTATCGAGACTAGATAATAATTGATTTTTGATACGCATAATCACGCTTAAAAATAAAATGCTATTTTCAAATCAAAACTGAAGGCAAATCATTAAATTAGAGAGAATTAAATAGGTATCTTATCTATGATAGATGCCATCAGCAACAGCTTACTGTGATAGAAAAGAAAATCAGATTCCAGTTGAAAAGGAAACTAAGAAAAGACAATGGAAGTGGATGGGGTATATATGATGGAAATTATCAAACTGCATCATGAGATAGGCAATAACTTCGAATCCTGAAGGTAAACGGAAAAGAAGAATGTCACACACTGTGTTGAGCATTGGAAGCAGAAATGAAAAAGATGAATAGCAACTGGAAACAACTGGAAATGAGTGCCCAAGACAGAGTAAGATGGAGAATGCTTGTGGGTGGCCTATGCTCGTAGACGAGGGGCGATTGGCGTAGTTAAATAAGTAATTAAGTAATTTATGACAATTGTTATAATCATTGAAAGGATTCATTATAAGCAATCATAGTTATGGCTTCTTACCTCATCTAAATACCACTGACTATCAACTAATGGATCAATTTTTTGACTATCAATTAATTTTGTTAATTCATTCCATACGTCAACAATGAATTTATTCATATCTGTTTGAATAGGATCACGAGAGAAGAGAAGTGATTTTAATGAAAATCCACCTAACAGTAAATTTTCATCATGTAGTCTCAACGGATTAATACGTTCTATATGAAACCACTGAAATAATAGAAAATTTAGTAAGACAAAATTACTAAATTGAAACAATGAATTTTTCCAAGGAAAGATGGATGTTGGCTAACAGTGGAATCCAGGACGTGTGTTTCGTTCCCTTCAGGACTCGTCAGCTGGATGTATTAACATCCCAGAGTTGATGTTCACTCTGAGATTCCTGGATTAAACTGCTTACCACTATCCACCTCTGCTTATAATGCTTGTGGCAATATCATAGCAATTTACACAGGATGCACATTCTTTGTTCTCCAACTATATTCTCTGTATTGAAAATTCTAACGTCTACCATTAATATTACTACAAATATTCTTATTATTTTGACATTTATCTTGATAAATCTGCCTAGCTATGTTGTAGTGCAGAAATATGACAGGATGTACATTTGCACTAGAAGATTCTGGATTCGATTTCGCGTGCATGGTGGTGGATTCGCACTGCTAAGGAGTGCCATACCACGAGAAACCGGTCGTTCAGTGCTTTCTGATTGTCAATGGTGGTATAACACTGGTTGGTTCATGATTTCAATCTCCACAGTCCTATATTTACAAATAGATTTTATGTAAATTATGACTAATTGACCGTGTATAATGTATATTTACACAAGTTTGTCGGTTAAATGAACATATAAAACAATTTGGACAGAGTTTCAACTCAAATTGTCAACACTGAAACAAACTTACATGTTTTGCTAAGTTTAGAAAGTTTTTCCTGTCTCCAGTAACTAAGTTTGACATACCTTTGTAAAACAAAAATACAAAAACAAGAGAAAATGAGATTTCCTATTCGTATTGTGTTTTGCATTCGAATCCTTATGTTATCTATAGTTCAAACAGTTCATATTGACAGGATGAATTAACGGTTTACAGTAGTTTTCGGTGGTATTAATTGTTTACCGATATCTGTTGAGTTTGAAGTCCCCCAAATACCAGAACCAATAGCTCTTCAGAATTTAAAAGAAAATAGTTTTTTTTGTGGGAACGAGATTTGTTCATCAAATTTCTTTTATGTTTGAAGTGACAGCAATTGATTTCGAACTTCTGTATAAATATCAACACTGTAGTAATCCAAGTATATCGGATTAAATAGTTCTTAATGAGACGAAAGTTTCATCTTAGAATCTATTGCTAGATAAGACCTATCTTTCACTTACACTGTGATATTTTAAAGGACAAAGTAATATAGAAGCCAAAAAGTGAGGCTTATGATTAGGTTACACTTATTTTGGTTGATAAATAATCTGTACACTTTCTATTTCATAATAATAATGAACCTTGTTAAGTGAAAGTCACCGGATAACAAGACCTCACAAAACCCACTTTAACTGGCTTGACTGATATCAAAACTATATTTCTGTATAGAGTTGTGAAGATTGTTGAGATTTGATTAAATTTAAGAGTTCGCGCGAGAGACTGAAGGTCCTGGGCTCAGATCTCGTGTACAGGATCGTAGATGAGCACTTCTGAAGAGTCCAATACCAGTAAGAAACGGCTGTTTAGTGATCCCAGGTGGACTCCAGTATCCTGAGGGAACAAATCGCGTATGAATCAGTCGTTGGTCACCGACTACCAATGGACTGCATCTCCTCACGATGCTCCATTGCCTTGTGGATCAAATCTTCAGGTCAAAGGTTCCGGGTGTGACCCCTTAAGAAAACCACCTGCTTCGGTTTGGGCACCTGAGTAATATCATAGCCCTCACACAGATCAAATGAGATTTGTGTGGCGCATATATATCTGGTGCCCATTTGTACCAATATTTATGTGTTTAAATAAATTAATTAATAAATAAAAGTATCATGTAATAACACATTAATTTACCATAAATTACATGCTTTCCTAAAGGTTTTAATATTCCATATAGTTTATTTGTATCTGGTCCACTTATACAATCCAATATTGCATCAATTCCATTAGGATAAAGCCTATTGAATATAATATGAGGAAGAAAAACCCATAAAATTTAAATAATAAAACAACACACAAGAAAAATGACAATTCCTAATTTGAACTATCATTATTCCATCAGTAAAAAGATTCATAAAAAATGTATTTATAGACTCTGAACAATATTTAGTGCAAAAACCAGTTATATTTATTATCTTTCTACGGTCTCAATTTCATTACAACTCCAACATTCGAAGATTATTATAAACCGAAACGGATAGTGGCTGGCAGTGGAATTTAGGACGAACGTTTCATCCTATTCGAGGCTCGTCGAATGGATGTACCCTCATTTCAGAGTTGATATTCACTTCAGAACTCGAACCCAGTACTGTTTGCTTCAAATGTCATCATGTTATCAACTTAGTTATTGAGTCTAGATAGTCATAAGGAAATTAATACAATTCTCAGTGATCTGATGTTCCCTTCACTAAGTATCATGATCAGAGATGTTATCAGTGACTTATTTGGATTTCTATTGATATCCTGTGGGACTGAGACTTGTACACTGATTGTCTGCTTACTAGTAACTAATATGATTCTTTATCACTCTATACAGTTGGTTGGATTATATTGATCAAGTAGCAGTGTCAACACTAGTTCAAATGATTTGAATACCTACAACAAAAAACATATGGAGTTAAACATACTTTACATTAGCTATCACTTAAAAAACAAACTGTGCGATGTCCAACAAATATGAACATGATTTAAACGTTACTTGTGACCCAATATCAGTAAAATTATTAACTTTCAGATAAATGTAAATGAAGATCTTATGTTCAATGAATAGAATCTGAAACACACTTTAGCTCATTAAGTGTTAAATGGTGACCGACTTGGTTTACAAAAAAAACTGATACGAATTGAATACTGAGCAAAAGTTAAGATAACCTAATAATCATTTGGTTTATATTACTAACTGACATTGATTTAAAAAAAACACTGAAAATCAGGGAACTCTGAACAAACGTTTCGTTCTAGGATAAAACCCCACACCAGCGTGCAACTATAATCCCACTAAAGATCGAATCCACGAATTTCAGATCTGTCAAAAAGCACATAACCTACGGGTCACATAGTCGCCATTCAATAATTTACATTTCTAACCTTAATCGACTTAGGATATTCAACAAATAATTTATAAAATTCACTGACATCTTTGATCTAAAACTTTATAGCGATACCTCTGTACAATGAAAATTCGAGGTAAATGTGAAATTTCTGACCGTTACCTGTTTAATTTGATAAAAAGCAGAGTTACGAACGTGATCAACTTCATTTAATTCAACTTAATGACTGCGTGCGTGTTTGTTTAGAACAGGACGTTTACGTTATAACTAATCTTATTTGTTAGGTTACTTAAACGAATGTAGAAAGCAACTATTATTTCAGTTTAATTTATAGCGGCTTGAATTATTGTCTTGCCGATACTTTGACTGAAATTTGATCAGTCTTGGTCTGTATATATACATTCAATGTGGATTGCTCCAATATAGCCGCTATGATACAAGTTTGTATAGAATATACGGAATTCAGCTTGCAGTGGAATGAAGAATGCAAGGTTCATCTTATTTGAGACTCATCACCTAAATGTGCTTGCCAAATCCTAAAGTTGATGTTCACTCCAGTAATCTGATCCAGTGTCATCCCAAATGTGATGAAATACGAGTCCTGAATTCTACTATTACCTACATTCGATTAAGGAACAACAATTAATGACAGTATTTACGAAATTTTCTTTGAGTAGGATATTCAGTAACTTACACTACACCATATAACTATTGAAAACCATTTTGTTACTTAAATAGATAAATATACATTTGTAAATCAATGAATAACAATAACATAGAAAGGAAATAATGAAACCCACTAACTTTTTAATTTCTGTTACACAATCTTGATCAGGTTCTAATAATATATCATAGATGTTTGTCAACTTTTCATGTTTTGCCTTAGAAGCAATACCAATTAAGGTTACATTCGGTATTAGTTTCATTAACTGTCCTAAAGCAGTTCCCTTTTTGAATAACAGAAAATAATAAACATATTTTTTCAAAATAAGAAATTATCATTTTGAAAAAATAAAAAATAAAACAGGGACATTGAAAAGTAACAGTAATAATTTGGAGGATTATGTGTAAAGTGCTTGTAGTGAAAGGTTAATTACTACTTTACTTACGCCTGTTACCCCTCGTGAAGGAGCATAGGCTGCCCACCAGCATTCTCCATTCAACCCTGTCCTGGACAATCATTTCCAGTTCATGCCAGTTAACATTCATCCTTTTCATATCTGCTTCTAATTCCCAGCGTAATGTGTTCTTTGGCCTTCCTCTTTTCCGCTTCCCTTCCGGATTTCAAGTTAGGGCTTGCCTCGTAATGCAGTTTGGTGATTTCCTCAATATATGGCCTATCCACTTCCAACGCCTTTTCCTAATTTCCTCTTCAGCTGGAAGCTGGTTTGTTCTCTCCTACAGTAGGTTGTTGCTGATAGTATCCGACCAGTGAATATTGATTATTTTGCGAAGACAGCTGTTTATAAACACATGTACCTTCTTGAAGATGGATGCAGTAATCCTCCAAATTTCAGCTCTGTACAGTAGGACTGTCTTGACGTTCGTATTGAAGATTCTCACTTTGAAGTTAGTTGACAGTTGTTTTGAGTTCCATATATTCTTAAATTGTAGAAATGCTGCCCTCGCCTTGCCAATCCTCGCCTTTACATCTGCATCTGATCCTCATTATTTATCAACGATGCTTCCGAGGTACGTGAATGTCTCCACATCCTCCCGAGTTTCTCCATCAATTGTGTATGAGTTAGTGTTCTTCGTGTTGTATTTGAAAATCTTGCCTTTCCCTTTGCGTAAGTTCAGGCCTATTGATGCAGAGGCTGCTGCTGTATCTGTCATCTCCGTCTGTATTTGTTCGTGTGTATGAGAGAGGATAGCTAGGTCATCTGCGAAGTCCAAGTCATCTAAATGATTCTGAGATGTCCTTGAAGTGAAAGGTACTGTGTTCAATTCCTAATGTGAATATGAACACTGGGATAAAAGGAAAACGTTCGAGTGGCTAGTCTCAAATAGGTTGATACGTTTGTTCTAGATTCCGCTATTAACTATAATATATCCATTCTAGACAGTAGGAATTTTTTACTGTGCAAAAATATTGTAACTATTAAATGGTTGTATATCTAACACTCAACATATGTGGGCTTTTATTATGACTATCTGTTTATTGATATTATGTATATGTGGGTTACCCATGAGATATTACTAAGTTAGTCTATGGGAAATTAATTGATTACATTTTGATAGAAGTGTTTAATATAATTTTAAGATATTACTTATGATTTGTACCTTATTAAGAGGATTTTCATCCAATTAGGGACTTGTCAGCTAAATGTACTTGCTACTTTGATGTTCATATAGGGACTTGAACTTAGTACATTTCACTTCAAATGTTTGGTGAATTATTCACTCTGAAGGTTAGTTCAGACAACCAATTATTTGTTCAACGTGTATGAGGTTTATCCCAAAATTAGTAAGGACTTCATTATCCCGTTGCTGATATTTAGGACTGAATTTTAATCTGTCTACGTTGTCTTCTTTGAATGCTGTGTAGATTCCCTCAACATAATCTTTTTGTAACAAATATGTATTTTAAAAAAAGATGAATTGCCCTAGATTTCACTGTTTGCCACGATCTAACTATCTCAAATAATGACATAGCAAAATGAATATAATGAATCAATCAACACAGAATGAAATGACGACAAAAATTGATGAATAAGTCAGTCCTGAATATCAACAACAGGATAAATTATACCTTGAATCAATTAGTCATTCAATTGTTTTCTGTAACACATATCTTTTTAAACAATATTAAAAAAAGATATGAGACAAGTACTAAACAGTCAAATGTACAGCCACAAATCAACTTCATCTAGTAATACTTCATGTGATGACTTAATTATTGTGGCGCCGGTGGTAAATTCAATCAACATGCTGTTGAAGTCATTTAGCAGCATGAAGTTAATCCAGATAGTTTAATTATAAAGGCCTCATAGCCAAATACTTGAATTTCTAAGAATAAACATTATTGGTGAGATCATAATTTATGGACGACCTTTGAACCATCCTAAATTGATTTAGAAAAGCTTTAAACACTTACTAGTATCAAAATAAAGCTCTAAATTAATGTAAAGTGTTAAGTTCAGAAGTTAAATGTTTAGGTTAGAGACTACAGTTAGTGTTTTAATCACAAACTGACATCAACTATAATGTAACAACAAGATAATGATATTTAGCCATATGAATGAATAAATTACGTGCCAAAATCTGATTATCTCTACCTTAAATCAGTCATGAATTCATTCATAAATCAAGTTCTCACCATAATAATGATTAATGACATTTGTATTTTATGTACACACATGTGCGGGATCGTGGATGCGCACTGCCATTGAGGAGTCCCATAATAGGACGAAACGGCCGTCCAGTGCTCCCAGGTTCTCTATGGTGGTCTAGCTTCAATTGACTCATGATTTCAACTATGAAAACAAGTAAAATTATCATAATGCTACTTACAATTCCACCACCAGCTGAAAATATCAAAATTATATCACCAGAATGAATATTAAGTATATGATAAGTTAATATATAAGCTGGAATATAAGCAAAACTAATAATTGCAGCTTTATTAACATCTAATGTTTTAGGTCTTGGCAATATAATTGACTTAATCATTCCAAATTCATTTGACTCGGTACATTCAACATCTTCAGATTGTGTTGTTGAATTTGTTTGATCTGTATTAATTTTTTCTATAATTGGTAATACAAGACGTTCACTCCAAGCACCATTGTTAAGTAGAACTATAACTGGATCACCAACCTAGAAATAAAATAAAAGAATAATTTAATTAAAAATTTTTAAAAAATATAATGAGATGAAGGATTTGTTAAAAAACCGTTCCATTAAAAGAGAGTTTATATTAGGAGTGAACTCAGTTAGATAGCCAATGAAAATCAATGAGTACTAGGCAAATCTTTCGTTTCAGTTAGGGACTTGTCGACAACGAATGTTTACAACACGATAAGGTACAGAATTGACTAATGTTTTAACTATTAATTATTAGGTGTCATCACAGTTCCCTTAAGCTAATGTCTTCTTCAGGAGTTTAGAAAACGGACGTTTAGTGATGTGCTCTATCCATGTATCTCAGACTACGATAAATACGAAGATCCAGTGTACATCAATTCTGAAAGTGACCACTTCACGAAGAGAATCCATCATCTTAGTAAGTATATCTGATCTTTGTGCATTGTAATCAAACAAAATCGGAACATGTAAATGTTTCGTGTTTAGGATTATCATTCAAACTGTACTATATTTTCAATTAAGAAAATTGCACGTGACTACTGAGATTCGATGAGGTTACAGTTTATAGAAGACTTTTGAGCAGCGCTAAAATGATCTTTGGATGCCTAACTACTTACCAAGGTTAAATGAAGGTTATCAATTAGTGTTAGAAATTCAGATTAGGATTTAAAGTTGAACATTAGGGTTAAAAATTAGATTGAATATTTTCATCACAAACTGACATCAGCTATAATGCCAAAATGGCAATAAGCCAAATGAGTGAATGAATTTTTGCGCCAAAATCCATGACCTGATATCTTAAATATGATTGGTTCGTCCATAAATTATAGTCTCGTCAGTAATCGATATCAATTGAAGTTTATTCAATTATCAGATATCAACACATAAGCAAAGAGCGAATACACTTTTTGGATTCTATTTTCGTTTGTTATATAGTCAGTAATGAAGACCTAATCATTAGTGAATTGAGGTATTTTTTTATCATCCCATACGGTAGTGCCGAGTAACAGACAATCATTTAACTTAATGACCACTTTTCAAATAATATTCACTGATTATATGTGCAATTAAGAAGTGCACCATGTAAGAAAAAAACTCATGCATAATGGATATTTCAATAAAGTGCGTCAGCTGAAAGGATTTTGTCTTTAAAACACCAAATTCAGATTTTTGTAAGTTTGAATTGTGACTAGTAAAAAAATTCATATATTGAACAATTTATGGAATATCTCGGACTAGCCACAATTCAAATATACTAGACCATATTAGTGAAACTAGTCTGTAGCGACGCATCCACTTAAAATATACATACACCAATAAAAACTCCTCTAAATGCAGTCCAGAATATCAAAATGTGGAAAACCCAAACCTTCATAAATAAGAACAATTGAATAACATTTTAGAGTAGACGTTTATACAACTCATCAATTTTTGAGTAAGAAATAATAACTATCCCACATCCTCATAAAGTCGTTATGTATGTCTGAACACTGATTACCACGACGCGCTATGCTGATTCGTATTGGTGATGGTTTGAAGAAAGTTAGGGGCGGTCAAACAAAAACGTGGTATCAGTTCTTGAAGTCACTAACGTCTACTATGAGCCATGTTGGTAGATGCGGACTACTTGGTTGGGGTCCGCGTGACTATCGTAACCAACGGTTGGAGACTCTGAGTGGTATGGCTCAGAATCGATCACAATGGCGTAGGTGTATACACTCTTTATCTTCCTTTAAACCTTGAGATTAAAATGGCTTCATAACTTTCTTCCTTCCTATACTATGTCCTTACATACAACCTATCTTTTACATACTGTCACCACTAAATCAACTACTTCTATGAATTTGGTGTTCATGTTGTTGTGCTAACGAGGTATGATATCTTGGACCGATGCATATATGTGCCTGGTCCTACATTGTAGCTAACTGACATAAAGCGGATGGTGAAAATATTAACCGTTTTAAGGTTATGATGTATTTGTCAAAATAGGATCATGAATTAGAACTAATATTTTCATCAAGAACTGATATTAGCTATAATTCATGAATCCTAAACTAAATATTCTACTCTTAGTCTCAATGTATGGAGCGGATCTACCAGTTTTGACTACCTCATGATTGACTTAATAGTTTTTGTTACCAAGGTCGTTCGATACTACAACTTAGCGGTTTCATGCTTACAAACCTTTCTTCTAAATACAGTATCCATATAGTTATATGATTTTTAGATAAAATTAATTCATTCATAAACGAAAAATTAGGGTAATTACTAATTAACTCATTAACTATGATGTAATCATCATAGACAACATGAATATTGATGCTAGTTACTCTACAAAACAGGAAGTGAACCTATGGAATGATGACATCTATTGTGAATTATATGTGGATATATATATATATATATTAATATAAATCGGTTTGATTCATGTATAATTCTTTTTAAATTACAGTTAAGATTGGTTATTCTGTCTGAAAGAGAACAGGAAGTGAGTGAAATAACTATTGTATAAAATATATAAATAAGAATAATATGAATTTCTCCTATCTTCTGTTTAGATCTGAATCTCAATAAAAATGTTTATACTGTTTCCTTTTATTATAAGCAGAGATGGATGGTGACTAATAGTGGAAACCAAGATGCGTGTTTTGTCCTATTTGAAACTCGTCGGATAGATGCACTTGCATCATTGAATTGATATTCATTTCTGAACTCGAACACAGTACCATTCGCTTCGAACGTAATCGTGTTATACACTTAGATAATGAATCAAGATAGCCGTCAGCTTGTACAACGGAGTGTCGTTTAACTCAACACCATTTCCATTGAATGTCCTTTCGTTTCACTTCGCTTTCTCTTCTTCATTTCATTCTCTACAATTCTCTGATTGTCTGTTCCGATCAACAAGTATATAAAATATATGTATTCAAACATCTATTCTCGTACTTGAATTATTTAATTCCGTTATTCACTAACGCGGATTATGTCGATAACTATATAAATGGATAACCAATGTACATAGTTCAATACTAATCATTCATATGATATAACTGAAATCGGATTAAAGGGTTATTAACTTTCATAATTTCTTAAATTTGTTATATTTTAACAGATTGAATAAAACTGAACACATAAATCATCTTAATTAATTTTATTATAATAATATAGCATAAATTCTTTCTCTAGGTCTCATTATCAAGTTTTGATTTGATAATTTTGAATAATCAGAATAGGGTTTTGTGGAGATTTTAGTAATTTTATATAATTGAAACCATAAGCTAGACCACCATGGAAAACCTGGAAGCACTAGACGGCTGTTTCGTCCTATTATGGAACTCCTCAATGGCAGTAAGCATCCACAATCTTGCCTAGCGAGATTCGAACCCACGACCTATCCGTCTTGTGCACTCAGTGGTCTAACGGTTATTTATTCTCTGAAGAAGTGGTTTACACTGTGTCACGAAACGTCAGAAAACCTAATTTTTCTACTGATTAGGATATTACAAATATATTGTTTATTTATAAATTATGTCTGATTATATAATAAATTATATTAGGAATTCTTTAGTTTATAATATTGTAGTTATTTTTCATTGAATACCTTATTACCCTCAAGTGTTTATACATTCCATTAAGTGTTTTCATCAGATGATGGAAATAAAAAGAGGAGAGAAAAGAGAACATAGAGAGTAAATGGAATAACAACCGAATTGGAAGACGAAGAAGAATAATGAAGTATGTAAAGGATAAATAAAGGAAGATGTGAGAATGATGTTTGATTTTCATATTTTACAAAAGCATTGTGTGATTTTATATCAAAAAGTAAAATGATTTTTCCCACCAAATCTTCTTTTACTACACAACATCTGCATGTAGTAGATCCCAGATATGACATTAGTTGGGAGTTCATACTGTCAATCAACACTATTTGACCATAGATAGTTGGTGTCTAATATAAGTCAATTCATGTAAACATTACATTGTTAAGACTAAAAATATTCTTCCTCAATACATTTTCTAATAATAGTTCATTGAAAATAAAAGAAAACACTTTATGATTGAGGTATTCACCATGAAGTGGAAATTCACCTTTACATTCAACATTCATCAAAAATTAATGTTACTTAACAAATAGTCATCGCATCCTTACTTGTGACTAGCTTTTTACTGGGATTTCCCCAAAGTTTAGTCATCCAAATTGCTTTATAGTGATTGATATATTTTAGGTGAGACAGTAAGTAACTATACTATATCGAATAAGGATTATACTTTATGGCAACTGGACTGAATTTATCAAACGTATTGTCCAAAGATACTTGAAGTTCGATCCTATAAGGATCAACAATCTTTCCAATAACCTAGGGTTACAATTATTCTTCAGATAATCTCCTGAAACTATAGAAAATCTCAAAAATCTGACTTAAGATATACTTATTGTTTCATCAAAGTTGCAACATATAATTAGAACTAAACAATCTTTAATATTTAGGCTAGTAAGAATAAATGAGTATGAAAAGCTGGTGCATCCAGAACGAGTGTTTTTCCCCTATTCGCAACTCTTCAGCTGTTTGCATCAGATTCCAATTTTAAAGCTCACATTGGAGCCTCTAGCTTCAATCTACTGAACTATTGAGTCTAGATACCTCTTACTTTTTCCAACAAATAAAATGTTTAAATTACTATTAGAAGATATTCTTTTGGTGTTGTTTACTTGTATCTTCCCATTGTTATTTAGGACTGCAAATGATCAGTCACTTGTTGGAATATGTGCATCCTGTATTGTCTTAAATTACAAGCTTTATAAACAAAGATGGATAGTGGCTAACAGTGGAATCCAGGACGCGCGTTTCATCTTATTTGGGACTCGTCACCTGTGTGTACCTGCATCTCTGAGTTGATGTTCCCTCTGGAATTCGAACCTGGTGCCGTTCACTTTAAACGCTATCGCGTTATCCACTTAGCTACTGAGTCTCAATAGCCACCTGCTATCAGCTCTGAGATGCAGGTACATCCAACTGACGAGTCTCCAATAGGGCGAAATGAGTGTTCTAGATTTTACTGCTGACTACTGTTCATCTTTACCTAATACTATTAGAAGAGTTTAATTATAGAAGCAACCCGCTAGGGATGGACAAATGCCTTCTAAGAATGGATAAACTTTAGTCCTGAAGATTAGAAGCTGGATGATATAAACCACTTTGTATTAATATTCTTAAAAATCATAATAGTATAAACTTCAGATGATTATTTTTGAAAGAGTTATTACTATACTACTGATATTACTAGATAGTGTCTAATAGAGAATTCAATACAGTCTATTAAACGTTTTATGCTTGTTCTGGTTTCAGTGTACTTATATATTTTTTTTAGTATTCTTAATAAAATTCGCACTCGTAACTACATTTCTCAAACTATAAAACTTCATCTATTTTGACAAAATGCACAACAACAAAAATTACAAGTTATTTGTGCCTGTTGCTCCTCGTGGAGCATAGGTCACAAACTGGAGATCTTCAACTAACTCTGTACTAGACTCTTCTTCTTTCTGTTTACAATTGCTATTCATCCTTTTTATATGTTATTTAAATTCCCAGAACATCAAACGGAATACTTGTTCTTTATACATAAACTATGTACTTAGGACTGAAATCATGGACACGTTTTTCGTTTCAAATTCGAACTGTAGACTGTAGACTGTACACGCTTCCTGAATTCTAATATTGGTCAAATAACAAATGTACTAAAAACTCATAGCTCAAACCTTTACCGTATAATTACCCCTAATAATTCACAAATAACGTAAAGCATTGATCAATCGGAGTCCGAAACATTAACGAATCAATACTAATAGAATACTTCTCTTCAATTATCTGATAAAATAAACAATATGCTTTAAAAATTCCTATTTGACAGAGATGAGTAATCGAAATAATGACAGTACTCACAATTTAAAGGTTCTATTCATCACAGAATGATGTTAGCTCAGATGTCAATAAAAAATCAGTTAAAATCTGAACAGCCATGATATCCTTAGGTGGAATTCTTCAATGTTGAACAATAAATACTCCATCAAGGATTGAACCTAGGATAGTCAGGTATTGCGATAGATACTAAACTATTAAAACTAGTGAGGTTCAATTCAACATTACTATTCCAATTTCAGTCAGTTTATAATATAGAGCAACGATCTCTCAACAACTCAATCTATGACAAATACAATCTACAAATTAAACCAATCTTGAAAACTAAATGTTTGTATATTCATTAATAAAAATAGTGAAATCATTTCAACATTACCTTATAGGTTGTCACTTTTTCACCGACTTCACTAATAATTCCAGTACATTCAGAGCCCAAAGTGAATGGAGGTTTCATTGCTTGATCAATTAAACCTTGTCTTGTCATTATATCAAGAAAGTTAATACCACTAAATAAATTTTAGAGTTAAATAAAACCAAAAAAATATCAGTTTATTGGTTTTGTGGAAACGATAGAATTTTTATAGAATTCATATCTTAAATCGATCTTAGACTACATTGAGAACCTGGAAGCACTGAAGAGGTATTTCATCCTTCTACGGGACTCTTCAGCAGTACATATCCACGACCACTCATATAGAAAATTAACCTACTAGATACATTAGAAGCTAGTCCTGTTGAATGTCAGCTTCGAGGTCTAGAGTTTAAGAGTTTGCGCTTGAGACCAAAGATTCTTGATTCCATTTCGAGATATGTGGTCTTGGATGTACCCAGCAGAAATTTCCCGTACTATGCCGAACTGGCAGTTTAGTGCTTCGCAATTTTGAGTGATAGTCTATCTACGATCAGTTTGTGATATAAAGTCTATAAAAACAGACATTACTAGTTCTTACTAGGTAACAATAAAAATAGTAATGTCGATTTTAATGTCAGATATAATATACAAAATATCTGTATGATTCTGCAAGTTCAATTAAGACCACAAATAGTATTTAGTAGTTTGATATATAAGTCTATCAACATTTTCCCCGTACAGATGTATTAGGTGGAAGTAACTACATAGAATTCATAGTGTGAAACTATGATTAACCCAATCATTTGACTTAAAATTTATCTATCTAACAGATACAGATTAATACTAAGTACACTAAGTGATATTTAGATACTAACTGATGTTATACTTATCCGACACTTAATATTGAAAGACGTTAATAAATCTCAACGTGGTAGCTACTCGAAGACTACTGGTGCTGAACATGGAATTTGTAATAGTCGTCATCACTATTCCGAGTATTGCCAAATTGTATCTCCTCATTTCCGTTGCTATTTGACTGATCTTCGCTGTCTCCCACATTGTCCGGACATTCCATGTACCCATAAAGAGTGTTGCTCTGGTTGTTAGGGGGTGCATCAGCCTCGTGACTTACGAAAATTTTTGGCTTTCATCATGAGGCGACATAATTATTCCTTCTACTCCCAGGGCAAAGTTTAAATGGTTTGAATTATTTTTTTCTGGTTAGCGTTTTTTTAGCGAGTTAGTTTTCTACGGGATCGGGTCGCTAACCCAATGCCCAACCCTCTTCCTTTACCCGGGCTTGAGACCGGCAGTAACTCTAGAACAGCTACAGGCGGAGGAAGGCCAAAGAACACATTACGCCGAGAAATAGAAGCAGATATGAAAAGGATGAATATCAACAGGAAAAAAACTGAAAAGGATTGCCCAGGACAGAGTTGGATAGAGAATGCTGGTGAACGGCCTTTGCTCCTCCACGAGGGGTAACAGGCATAAGTAAGTAATCATCACTATATCAGTATGGTCATTATAAACGCACTGAAATATAATTGTATCTCATGATATTCGTTATTACATTTTAATTTCTCATTAGATTATCGTTAATTTCATTGATGAAACATAAAACACTGGTTTACATATATAAATATACAATCTTTCATAACGTGTCTATTCACTAAACTTTATATCAACGTTATTACTGGCAATTATAAAGTATTTCATCTTAATTTGCCTTGACTGTTGAGATTTATGAACGTTTGCAGAAATTAATTAGACATTTTCTATGAATGACTTGGGATTTGAAGTCAAAAAAAAACAAACAACAATTAACTGCGTAAATAAGCAAAGATGGATAGTGGGTAGCAGTAGAATCCAGGATGCGCGTTTCATCTCATTTGGGACTCTTCATCTAGATGTATCTGCATCTCATTACTAACTGCGTAAATATTTATTCATTAATTTACATGGCATTTTTCCTTAATTCTTTACCCTAATCATTGTTTAGTTTCTTTAAAAATAAATTATTCATTCATATTATATGCATTGTGATTGACTTATAACAATGTAAAATAAAACAAATTCACCTTTCAAATAGCTCATAGTTATCTGTATAAGATAGTTATATGAAAACATTCAAAAGGTATACTCAAAAAAAGGACTTCACCTAAGTAAATCAGTTCATTCCATTTGGAGAAATAATTTTATCAACAAAAAAACTACAATATCATTCCTGAGATGGATAATCTCTAAAACTTTAATCAATCAATTTTGATGAAATGATAGTGATATCATCATTTACAAAAGTCACTTATCACGAGCTGTCCATCTAGCCACTTTTCTAACCACAGAGTTGGTAAAGCAATGTAAATGTAACACCTATGTAATCTGCTATCTAATGGTGAGATATTGAAAGTTTTAACTAATTATCTACCTCTTCACTGATATATTATATATCTTAAATTCAACAGTGTATGTAAATATAGGAAATACAAGTAACCTATTCTAAAACCCGATTACTTAAAAGCACAGTCTTTGCCAATCAATTTAAAATAAATAAACATGCTTAGATTTCAGAAAAAAAATCTACAACCCTATCAAATGTTAAGCGATTCCCCCACTGTGAGACCTCTATGTCTCGCGTTCCATTCCAGACGGGGTTAGACACTGGTGATAAACCCTCATACTAAAGTGAAACAACTGTCCAATGTTTCTCAGTTCTCAGTAATCATTATAATAACATCCATTCATGATATAAATTATAAAATTCAATAGTCACTTCATTAACAAACTTATCAATCAATGAAAATAAACTTGAACTTTTCTAAATGACTACCCTAATGTAAAAATATAATTGAAAGCGTGAGTCAATTGAAGCTAGAACACCATGGAAAACCTGGAAGCACTGGACGGCCGTTTCATCCTATTATGGGACTCCTCAGCAGTGCGCATTCACTATCCCGCACTCGCGAGATTCGAACCCAGGATCGTGGATACACACTGCTGTGGAGTCCCATAATAGGACGAAATAGCCGTCCAGTGCTTCCAGGTTTTCCATGGTGGTCTAGCTTCAATTGACTCCCGCTTTCAACTATGAAAATACTAAATCTTCACAAAACCCCTTCTGATAATAATAAAAATATCATTGTTTACCATGCTTGTACATCAATTGCAACTTCATTCTTTCCTATTGGTTTCACTTCATTCATATCTATTCTAATATGTTTTGAACCACCAAATGCTCCAAGTGTTACACATTTATAAGTTTTAATTTCTTTCTCTGAACCATTAATATTTTCTTTTGTCAATTCTGTAGTTTCCAAAGTTTTATTCTCTGTTATCCCACTATTAACTTCTGTTTCTTCAGGCATTCTATTTGATGATTTAACTAATTCCTCCAAAAAGAAAAGTGATAAAGAATAAAAATACTAAATTATAAACAGATGGTTTATTATTTGCTAACAATCTATCGATTTAAATAGATTTGATCATACAACTATAGTAACTCAGTTACATAGTCATAGAAACTCTAAGAATATGATGTTCATTCATTCCTTCCACCCCTTCTCCTCCTCCTCCTCCTCCTCCTCCTTCTCATATATTTCTATCAAAAATAAAGGATAATTATTATCGATCCAAATATATCCTATTCATGATTGGTAATTATTAATAAGCTTAAAGAGTATAGTTGATTACTAATAATATATATATGTATATATAAACCAATAATAAGTTTGTATATATAATTAACCAATCAAAAAATGGTTTATATTTATGGGCAAACCTTAGTTACAATGGTAATAAGAAAGACAGAAGTAGAAATTAGATTCATGGCAAAGTTTGAAAAATTTCCCAGATCTCAATTTGACCCCCTCCTTTTTTTTTAAACCATTAGTATAAGATAGGATAAGAAAGATGACCTAAAAACAGTATTATTATAATAAGTGTGATAAGAAAACATATGGGAAAAGAATGTTTTTCTTTTTAAGGTCATTTCAATAGTAAGATAACAGAATGAATGACCTTAATGTTTGTTAGCATAACATTGAAAAAAATTTGTTTTTTTTTTTGGGAACAGAGTTTTGTTAATCAAATTAATTTAGGGGTATTTGTTTTTGCAGTGTTGTTTGAGTTAGATAGTTAAATTGCAAAGATTTTTTGTTAATGATCTAGACAAATATCATCAAGAGACTGATCTATCGTAGTCCTAAATAACAATGGGAAGATACAAGTAAACAGCATCAAGTGAATTTAAACAAGAAGATGGCTATCAGGAATTAGTAGCTAAGTGGATAACACGATAGAGTTTGAACCGAACGGTATTGGGTTCGAGTCCTAGAATGAAAATCAACTCTGAGATGCGGATACATCCATCTGATCAGTCCCAAATAGGACGAAACGTGCACCCTGGATTCCACTGCTAGCTACTATCCATCTTTGCTTAAGAAAGCTTGTAACTTAAGACAACATCGAAGCAGTCTGCATACGATGCACATATGTGAACAAGAGACTGATCAACTGCAAGTAAACAACACCAAGTGAATTTAAATATTGAAGAAAGATGAGCCAGTTAGCGTACGCCGTTCAAATCCGTTATCGCACAGCGGAACTTCATCCAGCCTGATTGAGCAGAGGACGGGTATAAGTGATTAAGAGTTCCATACTCACTCACTTGATAGACAAAGGACATCAAGTTGACTTAAATATAGCTTTTAAGATTAGCCGCCATATTCCATCAAATTTAAGATATAGTTCGCTAGTTTGTCTTTTGGATTTTCTTGAAGTTAGCGGAATCCATGGTCACAAAACCTAACCATTAAATGTACAAAAAGTTCTGACAAACACTCGCTACTTTGGCCATCGGCATATGAGTGATTTCTAGATAAACTTTAATCCAAAGATTTCTTTCAAATATGTTCAAATAGTTTTCGAATTTCTTTCATCTTTGTATTTTTACATATTCACAACATCGGTCTCTTGATCGTTATATAACTATTGTATTACTGACTTTTTATTATGTTATTTTATCGATTCCTCTTATGTATTATGCAATGTAACAACTATTTAAATTGTAAGTTAGACAATATATGTTCATTCCTAAGTAGCATATACCACTATATTTCCGATAAATAATATAGCCTTTTAATTCATCAATTCATTGCACAAGCTAGTGGCTATAAGGACTCATTAGCTAGGTGAATAACATGATGGTGTTTGAAGCGAACATTATTCGGTTAGAGTCCCTGGGTGAACGTCATCTCTGGGATGTAGGTACATCCAGCTGACGAGTCCCAAATAAAACGAAACGCTTATCCTGAATTCCACTGCTAGCCACCATCCATTTTTGATTATAATGCTTGTCAATTAAGGCAATATCGAGACAAATTGAATTGGAACATTATTATCTGTATTTTCTCTTATCTTGTAATTTGTCTACTTGACCTTTGATTTCTTAGACATAATGTCATAACAAGTATGTATATGATTGCACAAGTATATGAAATCATCCTGATAACATTCTTCTCATCGCATTATGTAGATCCTGAGAAATTAGAGTCCAATTTTTAGCCAACTATATCACAGATGATATAAATCGAAAATTTATCATGTTACAAATCAAAGAGTATGATTACTAGCATTGGATAAAATTTCACGATTAGGCTCACTGATTAAGATTAGTAATTTGAATATAGATTAGGATTAGAGCTAAAAGATAATACTAGTAATGAGGATTAAAAACATACTGCCACCTGACTAGTATATTTTAAGAAAAAACTAATTGAAAAGACATTAATACTATTAGATTCTGGATTAGTGATCCAGAGGTTAAATGCTTGAGCATGAAATAGAAGGTCTTGAGTTTCATTTCCATGTTTGGGGTTATGGTTGCACACTGCTGAGGGGTCCCATACTAGGACCAGATGGCCATTGAGTGTTCAAAGGTTTTCAATGGTGCTCAAACATTGATAGATTTATGATTCAGATGAAACTCCATAATATCTGCATCCCTATACGTACAACTGTAAGGAAGTATTCCTTACCTATATTAGTCTAATAATAATAGTTTCATTCAAGTCATACAAGTCATGATTATAAATATAAATATATATATATATATGTTCGGCAGGAGTATGTTTCTGTCACTCATCTTCAATTACGAAAGCTTCTCATCGATTCGGCCACTACAGTTATTTCACTCCACCAATCATTAATAAGATTCATTATTTCCAATACACTGATCTGTTGTATTTTCGAAGGATCGATAAAGAGGAACATACAACAGTAAATTAAGTTCTCCAGTTTTAATGATTAAGTATTTAGTTTCACAACAATCTATTATTTTACTTACTTAAGCCTGTTACTCCCAATGGAGCATAGTCCGCCGACCAGCATTCTCCAACCCACTCTGTCCTGGGCCTTCCTTTCTAGTTCTATCCAACCTTTGTTCATTCTTCTCAAGTCTGTCTACGTTTCTCGGCGTAATGTGTTCTTCGGTCTTCCTCTTCCCTTTTGACCTTCGGGATTCCCACAACAATCTATAAACTCTTCATAATACGGACTAAGTGGATAAAGCTAACCTTCATGATTATTTATTTCAAGCAAACTTAAAACAGATAATAATTGCAGATTTTAAAAGTAGGGTGACCTTTGTATTTTTGTAAACCACCAGCTTTTGCTGTGTGTTAAAAATGGAATATATCATTATATCGTGATAAATAGTTAAATATGCATCTTTAACTTTTAATACTATCACCAACAAAATGAATGTTCAGTTACTTGTCTAACGACGTCATTAGTAGAAACTTCCGGTAATAATTAAATTGGATAATTAGATTTCATTAGGTAGAGTATGAATGGACAAATTTGATTGCTGTTTAATTATTTCTGTTTTAAATGTTTGTAATTGATGTTTCATTTTAAGTTAAAAGTACTTCGCATTAAACTGTCTGACTTTTCTATAGGCAAAGATGAATATTAGGTAGCAGTGAAATTCAGGATGCACGTTTCGTCCTATTTGAGACTGGTAAGAGAGATGTACCTAAATTCCAGCGTTGATGATCACTCTAGGACTCGAACTCACTACCGTCCGCTTCAAACGCCATCGTGTTATCCACTTACCTACTGAGTCTTAATAGTCACCTGTTTGTGCAACGGGGTGAAGCAAACAACACCAAGTGAATTTATTAGAGATTTATATGCAAAAGCAATTTATATTTATCTGATAAGTCAATCGGTTACGGGCATATTGATTTTCTTAGGAAGATGGGATCGATGAAATCCGAATTCTTTAATGGAAAAACACATTCAAACTTGACATTAATTTTCTTTGGTCTTAACAATTTGACACAAGACGAAGAACATCGTTAGATAATGGTTGGAAAAAGAAAAAAACAGATTTTTTAAAAGTAACTATTATACTAGGATTAGCGTTTGGAATGTAATCCATAAACGTATTTCACCCTTCACGACACCAATGCCTTTTTGTTTTATCTTTTCGATCCATATTCTCATTCTGCTTTCTTTACAATTACAATTCCAACTACGATATTTCGTTTTTTTGTTTTCCATCTTGTTATTGTGATGTCGTTGTACTAACGTGATATGCCATCTTGACTCAAAGTATATAAACACTTAACAGTCTTTTAATTGGTTATCATTGACTGGCTAAGGAAATTTAGACAACTGACAGTATTGAATGAACACTGACTATTCCAATCGATATGATTATCTCAAACTAATGAATATTATCCCTTTAGTAGAAAGCATTTCCATTGTGCATAATCGTCATTATTATTATTATCATCAATATTATTACACTGTACATATATTGAGATATATAAATACATTTATAACAACTAATTAAATATGTTAATTGTAATTTAATCCCATACACATCAACAAATGCAAATGAAGACAGACAGTGTAGCAGCAGCCTCTGAATCAGTAGGCCTCTTTACACACAAGGGAAAGAATAAGATCCTCAAACACAATACAGACAACACCAACCCAGTCAAACTTGATGAGGATGCTCTCAAAGAGGTTTAGACCTTTAAGTACTTGGGCAGCATCATCGATGAACAAGGAGGATCTAATGCAAATATGGAGGCGAAGATAGCAAAGTAAATACAGCATCCCTACATCTCAAGAACATATGGAACTCAAAACAACTGTCAACCAATATCAAAGTCACAATCTTCAATATGAATGTCAAGACAGTTCTACCATACGAGGTGAAACTTGGAGAACTATTACAACCATCATCAAAGAAGTACAAGTATTTGTAAACAATTATCTACGTAAGGTACTAAATATTCATTGGTCGGATACCATCAGCAACAGGCTACTGTGGGAGAAAACAAACCACCCCCTAGTTGAAGAGGAAATTAGCAGGAGACGCCCATGACAGAATTGGATGCTAGTGGGAGGCCTATGATCCTCTATGAGAAGTAACAAACGTAAGTAAGTAAGTAAGTAAGTATGTAATTATCAAAGCAATTTAAATTCAATATGAACACAATACTTAATTGGTATATTCATTATTATTTTATACATTTACAATAATGATAATAAATATTTGATCAGAATGATTAATTCATTCAAAATCAATTCAATTTATACATATCAAGATGTTCAGTATATTTTTTATTTAATTCATACATATATGAAAAATGTTTCAGATAATCGAATCCTCTAATTGGTTCTTCCTAGAAGAAAAAAAAATTTGAGAGAAAATAGAAAACAAAAGAAACATTTTAGGGATTTCAAGTAGTTATGTGGTGTGGTCTACTGATATCCATATAAGTAGTATATGGTGATGATCAGGCATAGAATGTATTTTGACAGAAGACCGATAAAGGAAGAACCGAAATGAAACTCAATTGGTAGGAAAATGCACAAACAATGAAATTAGAGAAGATGGATTGATATTTACAGAAGGAACAATGAAGATTGAGACAATTGATTATTATTTTGCAAATTAATTGTTTACTGTTACTGGTTGTCAGATTTTAGTGAGATGGTCTGTAATTTGTGTCTAGATACATTCGATTGTTCCTAATCGGTGTTTTGTTCATTACAGTAATACGTTACTCAGGATATGTAAGTTATAATTTGATCAGTTTCTGCTAACACAATAGATAAGGATAATCAGATGACATCAGAAATAAACCGCTACGTGGAAAACATTTAGGTATAGGCAATATGACTTGAGCATCAAAAATGAAATCGGTGATTAAAAAGATGAAAAAAATAATTATTATAAATTTCCAAATGTGAAGAAATCTTTTGCGTGCTCGCATGTCAGGATCATCAGTTCTGTAGTGCTGTGTTTCGTTAATCGTCAACTTCGATAACCATTTTAATATAAATCTTAACGGTGCATAGAATCAGAAGGCAAAGAGAAGCGGTAACTACAGTTTATTGTCATATTGCGCAAGCCATAAAGTCATAAGCATATGAACAAATATCAGCGAGCGAAGCAAAAATGACACGCATAGGAGATGGCGGGTAAGCCGACTCGCTTTAATCAAGCGTTAATCAATATTTATAGTCAGACAAGAATAAGTTATAGACATGTGATCAATAGGATAAAAAGTGTAGACACGCCTACGCTCATATAAAAAATAGCCAGGGTTAATAAGTGAATAATTAACAAGGTCAAAACGGGACTCATGATGAATGGGTCAATTGGCTTGTCCTGAAGCTATAATATGGTATATGGGCTTAACATGTCAATCGCCACTACAGAAATACAATGAGTGAATCCATCTGCTTGATTATGGCCGTTACATTCAAACACCCCTTTTATTGGTTATGATAAACGTGTGAACTCAACCGAGGTAATGTGCATCTACTTACGTGACTTAGTTCAACAGTAAATAATTTAATGTACTCAAGTCAAAGCTTGTTTCAGCTTCCTCAGTTTCGTTTTAACTATGTCCTACATCAACCAATATTATGCACCATGGTAGGAAGTGGTTGAGCATACGTAACACATGAGTCATAGAGTATATATATATATATATGTTTAATAAAAGAGGAAAGAATAAGATTTCTATGTACTTAGTAGACATTGCCTATTCTGACTGAATTGATGTATCTCATATGATTAAAGTACATGTTACAGTCATAGATGCTATAAATCACTAATTAGGACTTAGAAATGTAATGTTGATGGCTTAGGTTTCTAAAAACATAAGCATTATTCTTGTATGTATTTTTTTATCTTATTGGGACTAATAAAACTTATAAAATTTAGACAATAACATTATTGAACATTGAATAAGTGATTTAGAGATTAAGCACTTGCTGCCAAATCTGAGGATCGTTAGTTCAACACCTGATGGTGTCGGGGATGAGTAATACTGAAGAATGCCCTGAAAGGGCGATCATGAAAGTTCCTTCGAATTTAGTAGAAATTATCTTTGCCATCATTTGTAAGCCTTTTCTAAAAATGAGAGAGTAAGTTAGAAGCCTATTGTATATATTCAGTTAAGTTCAATAATTTAGAAAAATAAAAAATTCATTGCATTATTAGAACATAGGTGTCTTAGATATTAAAGTAGTTAGTGAGTAGCTTATTACTAATATCATCATCAAAGATGTCGAATTCTACATTAAAAATGATCCCTGACTGATATCAGTTGACGTTGCATCATAAATTGTCTACATGATCAAATCATATCATCATAAGATCTTGATTAGATTGATTTTCTCTTAACAAATAAAACATCTCTAACGGTCAGATTAAATCTTTATCAAAATTTTAGACTATTGTTAATTTCATGAGAACTCTCATCAAAATTTGAACAAGTAGTTTCACGGTATTTTTGCGCCGAATTGATGTAAAACATTAAGGAAGAATGTATTTGTACAATCCCAGCGAATTTTATTTGAAGTAAATCCAAAGTTTACCTTGGCATTTTTAGCTGACATTTTACAAATACATTCTTCCTCCCCAATGTCTTATTGTTAACTTTAGTTCTGACACTATTCTGCACTGTTTTCATGGTCACATAATAGTAGTTATAAGACACTATTGTAATGTTTCGATCTTCTGTTAAACAAGTATTCAGTGAAGTGAAATATAGTGTCGATTATTGTTGATCTGACAAACGTTAATTCTCAATTCGGGGTTGTGGAGAATGTTATGTTTTGATTGAGATAATGAATCCATTGATGTTAGACCACCATTGAAAACCCAAAAGCACTGGATGGCCGTTTCATCCTAGTATGGCACTTCTAAGTAGTACTCACCGACGATCCCGCACGCAGGATTAGTACCCGAGACCTTTAATCTCGCGCGTGAACGCTTAACCTCTAAACCGCTGAGCTTGTAACCAACGGTGTTAGTGTCTAACCTCCATCGATCCATGAATGGCTGCGTAACCATTCATCAATTGTCTGAGGTACATAACTATCTCTACCTGACACGGAATGGACTCTACTGGTCACAGCTTATCACGGGAACTCCATGAAATCATCTTGGAGACAGTCAGTATGTGATTGTGGAGATTGTTAAGTTGTTGGTCTAATATCAATCGATTCATGATCTCAGCTGAATATTAATTCATCTATTTTAAACACAGATAACTATAAATCTACTAGCTGAAAATAGTTCACACTTAACAATGTTAAACATTTAAGAAGTGAAAAATATAAATACCAATATACTAATCATAATCATTACTTGTAAAAATATAATCAACTGTTCTGGTTGTTGCTTTTGATTTGTTGATTGTTCATTTGTAATATGTAATAAAGCAGGATTAAGATGTTGTATAATACATAGATTTAAATATAATTGAAAATGTATTGGATGTAATAAACATACGATTATATAATTTACAATATTTATCCAATCAAAATAATTCCAATAACATTGATTTGTCCAACGTAAATAGATCTAAATATATATATGAAATAAATAGCAGAGCAGGAATAAATCATGGTTGTATATTTAATAGTTGAAATCATAAGTCAATTGAAGCTAGACTACCATGGAAGATCTGGAAGCACTGGACGGTCGTTTCATCCTATTGTGGGATTCCTCAGCAAAGCGCATCTACGATCCCGCCTCGTGAGCGGGATCCGAACCCAGGACCTAGCAGTCTCGAGCCAGAGCACTTAACCGATAGATCACAGAGCCGGCTGGCATCCAACTGTGTTAATGTTTAACTTCAACCAATCCACGAAGTTTGAGCAACCGTTCACCAATCGTCTTCTGGTTATAATCATACGCTGGTAGGTCCTGGGTTCGAATCTCGCCCACGAGGCGGAATCGTAGATGCGCACTGTTGAGAAGTCCCACAATATGATGAAACGGTCGTCCAGTGCTTCCAGGTTTTTCCATGGTGGTCTAGCTTCAATCGACTCATGATTTCAACTATTAAAAATACTAAAATCTCCACAAAACCTCTTCTGATCATGTTTGTATTTTTTGTTTAAACATTCTCATTAATGTTTAGGAGTGTAATTGAACAGTCTCTTATTAGCATATGTACATTCTGTGTGAATTGCCTCAAGTCTCAAACATTATAAGCAAAGATGGATAGCGGCTAGCAGTGAGGTCTAGGACAAGCGTTTGGTCCTATTTGTGATTCATCGGCTTGATCAATCTGCATCCCGGAGTTGATAATCACTCCAGGACTCGAACGGAGTACTGTCTGCTTCAAACATCATCTCATTACCTATTTAGATATTGAGTCCAAATTCAATTGCTAACCACCATCCATCTTTGCTCATAATGCAAGAATGAATTAGTTGTAATATGTTACTTGACAAATGAAATTATCTACATTGATAGATCGTTAAATATTAACTAATTTCATTTTTGTCTAGTTTATAGCGATGGTTAAATACAATCGTGTGGTATATGCTACTTATCTAGGCAGATACAAGTAGTATGTAATAACAAAGGGAAGTAGAAAGCTTGGCAGCAGAAGGCTATGAAGGTTGACTTGAAAAGAGCAGGAAAGGAATTGTGAATCAGAAGAATCATACAGAATGTGAAAGAAAAATGATGGAAATTTGCAAATGAAGTATTTAATGTATGGTTTTTATATTTTACCAAGATACTGTGTACTTTTTTATTGGAATGCATCTGGTTGTCCCCACCTGTGCTCTTTACAGCCAAAACTCAAAGGAATAAATAATCAAGATTAGATCTTATATTGATGTCTAGGTCCTTCTTGAAAATATGTAAAAGATAATGAAATATACGGTAGACTAAATACAATGAAAAATAAAGTTAAAAGTATTTTAACGAGTCAATCAGATAAAGGAATATACAAATGAAAAAGGAGGAATGACAGACGAGACTGAAGATAAGGATTGTAAACTGCAAGATATGTACACAAGTTTAATTAAACTAAAAAGTAGGTAGGGCGTATTTAACAATGTTGTGTTAGATGAACCAGTATGTCACTAAGCTATTCAACTGTGATACAGTAAGAGTCTGAATGATAGTTCATTTGAGCTCTAGTTGCATTTTATTGCCTTTGAAAAATATGGGATATTCAAAGCTACAAGAACTATGATCCTTCAGGATACATAAATCATATCCTGATCAAAAACCTTGCATCTGTACCAATAAATTCCAGTCCTTGTTATTTAAAACATATCAGTAAGTCGTCAGAAAGAAAGCGCTTTAAATTCTTCAGCGTTTCATACTTTATTCCTTCAAGATCGTTTACTTGCTTTCATCACATGTTATTTTCTGGGGGCACAAAACTGATTTTACGATTCTAAATTAATCAGGTAGAGAGTGTGATTTACCATTCAAATTGTTGAACAGATCAAAGACTAATGGAGAATTATCACTGAAATGACTAAACAGTCATTTCATTAGCATCATACACATCTGATTCTGCATGATTCAGCTCAGAGACGGACTGAATGTTGTGAGCCATATATATCAATTACAATCTGACTATTATTCGTTTGTTTAATTATATCCATAACTATTCATTAATCTTAATATCAAGTGTGTTATTTTCAATAAAAGGAAAAAGCGTCTCATCCAACTTGCTTCCTTTCTTACATTGAATGAAGAGAAGAACAGTAAAGTTTGCTTGAATACAATGAAATTATGCTTCAATCAAATGTAAACAACCGATTTATTTATAATAAACTATGCTGTTAATAATAAGTGATTGACATAAACATCATTAATAAAGATAATAGAAATATAAGAACTAAGACAAAAGAAAGGATATGACATAATTGTCTAGTTAAAATCAATTCATAACTAATTCTGTTGTGTTACCTTAGTCCTACGATTATCGTGAAATACAATTGCCAATTTAGATAAGCTGACTTATACGATCAAATTAATGAACTTCTCAGAATCAATTAGATGATTTGGACTTCACAGATGACCTAGCCCTCCTCTCTCATACACACGAACAAATGCAGATGAAGACAGCAAATGTAGCAGCAGCCTCCGCATCGATAGGCCTCCACATTCACAAAGGAAAAAGCAAGATTCTCAAATGCAACACGGAGAACATCAACCCAATCACACTCGATGGCGAAACCCTGGAAGAGGTGGAAACATTCAAGTACCTGGGGAGCATCGTTGATAAACAAGGAGGATCGGATGCAGATGTAAAGGTGAGGATTGGCAAAGCAAGGGAAGCATTCCTACAATTGAAGAACATATGGAACTCCAAACAACTCTCAACCAATTTCAAGGTCAGAATCTTCAATACGAACGTCAAGACAGTCCTACTGTATGGAGCTGAAACGTGGAGAACTACTACGACCATCATCAGGAAGGTACAAGTATTTATAAACAGTTGTCTACGCAAAATACTAAACATCTGTTGACCGGATACTATCAACAACAGCGTTTTATGGGAGAGGACAAATCAGCTTCCAGCTGAAGAGGAAATTAGGAAAAGACGTTGGAAGTGGATCGGACATACATTAAGGAAATCACCAATGTGCATTACAAGGCAATCCCTAACTTGGAATCCGGAAGGGAAGCGGAAAAGAGGAAGGCCAAAGTACACACTGTAGTATCAGTTTATTTGTTAAGCCCATATACTTCATTCTAGCTGCTGGCCAAGCCAATTCACCTGTACATTGAGTCATCTTTTGATCTTGTTAATCATTCGCTTATTAACTTTGACTATACTTTTATATGAGCGTATATGTGTACACTTCGTATCTTATTCATCATATGTCTGTCACTCATTTTTGTCCGACTATAAAAGTTGATTAACGCTTGCTTAAATTGAGTTGGCTTCCCAGCCATCTCCAATACGCATCATCTTTCGCCTCGCTCTCGAGTTGGCTTCCCAGCCATCTCCACTATGCGTCATCTTTCCTTCGCTTACTTACATTTGCTAGTGTGCTCACTGCCTTCTAGCCTATGTTATTGGTCAATAAAAATGTAGTTGCTGCTTCCCTTTGTCTTCTGATATTATACACCGTTTACGATGATATAATAACGGTTATCGAGACGATCGATTAACGAAGCACACCACTACAACACTACACCGGGAAATAGAAGCAGATATGAAAAGGATGAATAGCAACTGGAAAGAACTGGAAAGGAAGGCTCAGGACAGAGTTGGATAGAGAATGCTGGTGAGCGGCCTATGCTCCTCGACGAGGGGTAACAGGCGTAAATAAGTAAGTAAGTATTCATAAAAACGTTCGCTTGTCTTTCCTCATCTTTCTTCCTTTATTAAAACTTATTCTATTCTATTAATGAATGCCATTACTATTTTTTGTTTGTTTTCTAGTTATCATTTTTAAATTTTGGCGCCAGTTTTCTGTTCCTTTAAAATTTGCATAGAAACATTTCAAAAACTGTTTTTTTTAACTTCTTTTCCATCATATATAAAACTAATCAACCATATTAGTAACTAATCTTTTTCAACTAATTTTGTTTTTGTAAGCAAAGATGGATAGTGGCTAGCAGTGGAATCCAGGACGCGCGTTTCACCCTTTTTGGGACTCGTCATCTGAATGTACCTGCATCTCAGAGTTGAAGTGTACTTTGGGACTCTAACCCAGTACCTTTCGTTTTAAACGTCATCGCGTTATCCACTGAGACCGACCAGTTGAAGTCCTAACACATCGATGGAAAGATTCAAACTATACTAAATGAATTTAATTTTGTTTTTGTTTTCTGTTATTGCTCTGTTATTAATGTGAATAAAGTATGTCCAGTTATATAATAAACCTTTGTGGGTCAGGGTAATTTTGCATTGATTTTCAGGAGAATTAGACATCATCCAGACTTTCACGTGACAGCCTAAACAGTACAGCTCAATCTTGTTTAACAGGAGAGCCAGGCAACGCCCAGGCTTAACCTGAGAAGTAAAGCTCAATCCCACTTGCAGGAAAGCCAGACACTACTCAGGGTTAAGCTTTATAACCCGAACGTTTTGGCTCAATACCGCCTCACAGGAGAAACAAACACTATATAGGCTTTAACGCTACTATCTGAATAGTACAGATCAATCCTATGGCGCAACCACACAGGTACCAAGCACCCTGGTGGACAGTTCGCACCATTCATATACATATTCACATCAAATGTATAATTATTTCGACTATTGATCGCGTAAATCAATTATGTACGGCGTGAACAGACCAAAGTCGACATATTCTGCTTACACGACAGTCAAAGTCATTATTGTTAGCAATGGCGATATGCGTTACATTACTGCATTGACAATGGCCCTTGAGAACACTGAAAAGCAACCACCACTATTAATGAAATCGGTCAACCAGCAAACCGATTTTGCGTATGAACAGTCAGTAAAACTTGCTAAAGTAATCCCGAACCATTCACAATATCAACGGAGAACCTCCAGTCATATATGTGACCTTCAGCTCTATATAGTAATATAGCTTATGCTGCATACAACACATATACAGGATAATAAACGAAATAGCCCAGCCTGAAGCGTTAGGCTTAAAGAACGCTTAAAACCTGTTGTCTTGTGTCGGAATACAATTATCAGACTACCAAGATCATTTTCATTGCATTTGCGAAATTTTCATTTTTCCGGCTTTTCAGGACTTCAGTTAGGGTAGCGATAGTATCTCTTTACCAGTTACAACTCCTCATTAAAAGTCATAAATAAGCTTATTATCTATGCTAACTAAACTCTATCAATTAAATTAACCTCTAAATGATTTCTTAAACAAAACCATTAAATATTTTATGTAGTTAAAAATCATGAGTTAATTGAAGCTAGACCACCATGGAAAATCTGAAAGCACTGGATGGCCGTTTCGTCCCATTGTGGGACTCCTCAGCATCAAATGACTCATGATTTCAGCTATATAAAATTACTAAAATCTCCATAAAACCTCCTTCCATTAAATATTTATTGAAATTACTTACTTGAGCTGGACTCATCTCAGCCATAACAAACGTGTTGAAAACATTTGGACATTCAAGGGCTAACAAATGTTCAAAATATTGACAGGATTTTATATAAAATAAATTATGATATTTAACCTAAAAGAAAAGATTTAAGGATAAAAAAAGAGAACGCAATGAAACATAAAATAAATCCATTTTTGATGTGTAATTCCCATTTAAACATTAAAAAACGAGGAGTTCCGTGATGGAATTACTTTTCAATGAATTAATTATCAAGCTGTAAAGTCGTACTTATTTATAAACGCCTGTTACCCCTCGTGGAGGAGCATAGACAAAACATCAGAATTTTCCATCCCTCAAATGCCCTGGTACGGCGGAGAGTGAGAAGAGTTCGCTCTGTCAGGGAAGTCCTACTCACTACCTTCTTGAGCCACCGGTTCTGTTAGAGAAACTGAAAGGACGAAGAGTGAATGGCCGGCGCTTTAACCGGATTGGTGGACATGGTGAGTTCACCTGAGGCAGTTGAAAAACCCTTATTTTAAACCAATAGCGCACATGGACTCCAGTATGCTGAGGGAAGAAATGACGTATGAATCAATCGTTTGTCACTGGCTACCATGGAACTGCATCTCCTGACGTTGCTCCACTGCTTTATGGCTCAGATCTTTGGGTCAAAGGCTTCGGGTGTGACCCCCTAAGAAGACCACCTGCTTCGGTTCGGGCACCCGAGAATTATCACAGCCTTCACACAAATCAAATGAGATTTGTATTGCGCACATATATATCTGGTGCCTCCTTGTACCAATATCTATGCGTTCAAATAAATAAATAAACTCTGTCCTGGAAAATCCTTTCCAGTTGTTTCTAGTTGCTATTCATTCTTTACATGTCAACTTCCAGTTCCCGACACTGTGTTCCTTGGTCTTCTTCTTTCTCCTACCTCTTCAGGATTCCAAGTTATATATATAATTTTGTTAATGTAATAGTTGCGTGAGGAATTGTAAACAAGGAATAGACGTGATGATGTAATGTAAAGAATATAACACTAGATTGCGTAATAATAATAATAATAAAATAGTAAAACATTGTGTATGCAAATACCAAACCTTATAAAATTAATAAATTGACAACGAATTATAATGATTAAAGTGTTTTGGTTACAGTGATTAAAGGTAATAAGGCGGTTAAATGAAATAAAGTGACATCAGAAACATGAGGATATGAGACATAAATAAAGACAGGGAGGTATTTTCAAATACGAAATATAATACTAATGACAATAATAATAATAACGTTTCATGGCAAAGTAACGATAAGGAAAAACTGTACCTATTTGGTACACATAATTCTAGCTTCAACTCTTATGGATGACAAGAGGTTTTGTTGTTTTATTCATACACATCCGTTCCAAAATATTTTGTTATAGATTATTCTTAATATTTGAGATCATGAGTCAATTGAAGCTAGACCATCATCGAAAACCTGGAAGCACTGGATGGTCGTTTCGTCCTTTTGTGGGGCTCTTCAGCAGTGCGCATCCATGATCCCACCTCGCGAGATTCGAACCCAGAACCTATCAGTCTCGCGCGCGAGCGTTTAACCTCTAGACAACTGAGCTGGCATCTAGCTCCAATTGACTCATGATCTCAACTGTTAAGATTACTATAGTATCCACAAAAACCCTTTCTGATATCGTAGATTATTATTGAATAACACTATTATTCTATTTCTTAATGATTCTTACCTGGATAAGGTAGTGGTGAAAAGTTTTTGAATTAATTTTTATTGAAATTAGGACAAACTACTATTATGGTTATTTGTTATAACTGCAATCACAACTAATCATTGAATGCTTGTTTTTATAACTGAATATAACAATAATGTGTCATAATGTAGGTACGAAGCAAAGACTATGAACCGAAAACTATATTAATCAATTTATATCTTTGGTCAGTAGTCGAATTACAATTAACTGAATTGTACAGAATGTATCCTGAATCTACTGATAACTTAATGCTTGTATAAAATTGATTATATCAACAGATCAAACTAAGGTGGTGGTTGATTCACAGTTATAAACGTTGCGTCTGAACTATTTGGTCCGTCATTGACCTCGTGGGTGAAACGGAATCGAATCCGTCAGATAGCATCACTTCCTTTAAAATGGCATATATATCTTGTTCACGAGTGTTAAATGGCACGAAAGCTAAGTCCATGGTTTCCTGTCAACTACATCTAATCACTACTTACATCCCAACATAATGCATACTGATGACTCCACCGCAACTTGACCAACTGAATTCGATCAATTTTAAGAAGGACTTAACACACATGGCACGGATCATTACGCAGTGATTAATTAAAAGTAAATAGACTAAACTACTTTAATTAACAATTAATAACTAAATCATAGAGTTATTTATTTGCTTCTTCCTAATAGATTTTATGCAATAGATCACTATTTTAGATGCTTTTTCTAGTGATAAGTGGTAGAAATGAGATGTAACTACCAAAAATAAAATTTCTTTACATTGCTTGTGCGCTCAAGACTGATAGGTTCTGGATTTGAATTCTGTGAGCGGGATCGTGGATAAGCACTGCTGAGGAGCCCCATGCTGGGCCGAAACGGTCATCCAGTGTTTTCAGGTTTTCCATAATGGTCTAGATTCCGTTGATTCATGAATTTAACTTTAAAACTACTAAAATGTCCACAAAACCCCTTTTGATAACTTTTTATGCCTTTGAATAATAATAAAGAGAATTCAGCGAAGAAAAATTTTCTTTTTGACGAAATTATTTCCTTACACCGTGCATTCGTATTTATAGTTGTATGGTAAATACATGTCTATCGAAGGATAGAAAAGATTGCATTATAAAGATATTCGAGACTCCTAATATCAAATGAGGTTGATTAATAATAAAGGGGGGGGGTAGAGAAGAATATAACGATAAAAATTAATTTACGGGTCAAAATTATGAAAAATAACTGTCCGCTTGACAGATATAAAGAGAAAAAAAAGTAAACAAAGGTCATAATAACAAGAACTGAAAAAATAATTATGAAAAATTGCTGATAACTGATTACGGTTTAAAAGTACAAAACAACAACTTAAAATAAGCAAGACTAAAATATTCTACAAAAGGGAAATAGGGTCAAGGAAGGATGAGAGATTGGACGTATCGTTTTTGCACGCAAAGTTCAAGCTTGATTTAGAGGATTGTCGACGCCTCAGCAGTGTATAAGTTTCTGATTGCGCCTCCCTTCAATACAATTCCTTTGATTTCGTAGATTAGTTTGATGGGATACTCCTTTGAAACGACATGCCCAGAGATGATTCAGTGCTCATGTATCGAACTAGTGACTACTTTTACATTTTCCTTTCCAAAGCATCGTAAGATAACGTTCTGTAATGCGTTTGAAAAGTGATCGATTTGTGCGTCTAATGTAATCTGTCACACAAGAGCAAGTACATTTATAGATGCACATTGATATGGCCCAAAATGCTTATATTATTTCAATTTGTCATATTACTAATTAATCACTCAAATCTTACATTTTGATAAAATATAATTTTCTAGTTGAAATCATGAGTCTATTGAAGCTAGATCACCATGAAAAACCTGGAAGCACTAGACAGCCGTTTCATCATATTGTGTGACTTCTCATCAGTGCACATCCACAGTTCTATGTTCATTTTTATTCTATTAAGCGTAGTTGATTGATTTTGATGCCAAAATAACATTATCCGGTACTTATGATTAACATCAGAATGATGGATATGTTGCTCATCTTGGTTGATGATTTGGATACCAGCCGGCTCAGTTGTCTAAAGGTTAAGCACAAACGTGCAAGATTGATAGGTCCTGGGTTCGAACCTCGCGAGGCGGAATCTTGAGTGCACACTGCTGAGGAGTCCCATACTAGGACGAAACGGCGATTCAGTGCTTCCAGGTTTTCATGATGGTCTAGCTTCAATTAACTCATGATCTCAACGTTTAGATCAAGGGTAGAATATAGAAAAAAATAAACAGGAAACTTAATTTCAGTTCTCAATCATCATTATTATTTATATCCTTAATTCTAACTGTCTGCATAAATTATACAATAGAATTTTTCTATTCTAAACATGAATTTTATACCCTGGATATTATGTAACGTAAAAAAGTCAAATTATATTTTCTTATTGACTAATGGGAAATCTCTCTGTCTTAGATTAAAATCCGGATAAAATCTATTCATAGTTTTAGAAGTTTATTTATTTATTTATTGGCTTTGGATATAAAATGTATCATTGATAAGCCAATCAAAGAAAGAGTATATCGTGAATGAAAGTAAATGATGTATGTACAATATACAAAGATGGAGTTATCAGTCATATGGTTAGGTATAAGATACTAGGCAAAGATGGTTAATCAGTTGATGTATTAGGGAATTTTTGTTGAATGAAATGTATTAAGTATACCTAACTAAAATGCTTATTTCGAAAAGAGATGTTACCTGTTGTAAGAGAAGACTGGAAGAAAGCTAGTAGTGGTGAAATCAAAATGTGATAGCAGTTCATTTATTTATTTATTTATTTATTATATATTTGAACACATAAATATTGGTAAAAAGGGGCACCACATATATATGAGCCACACAAATCTCATTCGATTTGTGTTAGGGAGGTGATACTTCCCGGGTACCCAGACCGAAGCAGGCGGTTTACTTAGGGGGCCAAACCCAGAGCCTACGACCTAAAGATCTGATCCATAAGGCAGTGGAGCATCGTAAGGAGATGCAGTCCCATGGTAGTCGGTGACCAACGATTGATCCATACACCATTTGTTCCCTTAGGATATTGGGGCCCGTGTTCACTATTGGTTTGGAATCAAGGTTTTCAACTTCCCTAGATGGACTTTCCACGTCCATCAACCCGGTTAAAGCGCTGTGCATTCGCTTTGGTCCTCTCAATTTCGTAAACAACAACCCCGTCACGAGAAGGCAGTGAGTGGTACTTCCCTGTCAGTGGCTGTATTCGCGTGGCCATGTGAGAGCATTCCGAGAGAGAGGGCAGACTCTCTCCACTCTTGACCGTACCATTAAATTTGGGGGCAGTTCAGAAAGTCCATAACAAATGGACTGGATCAGACAAATAGATTCAGATTACCTAGTTTGGATTTGAGTAAGAAATACGAAACATGTTTGATAAGGTTGTGTTATATTATCTAAAGTTGTTTATAACGACTCAGTTTTACTCAGTCTTTATTTTCAACTAGATCAAAAGTTCCACATGTTTCTTTTTTGTATAGTTTACAATTCGAGACCAACATTTAACTACATTTGTAGGTGAATGTCTCACTACTGGCATGATTGAACTCAACAGATCCCAGTTTCTTAAATAAACTTCTAGTTTTAAAACTTCTAGTCTCTGGCTACAGTCAACTGATAAAGTGAAATTAAAAATAAAAGAAAATATTATATTTACCATTAATAATAACAACTTACTAGATTTCTACATCTATTTGGCCATAAGTATAATGAATGTAAAAATGATGAATATTTGCAAAGAAAATTCCATGCATGATCATTATTTCCTTGATAGATAAGAAATATTGTAGCTACAAACCAATCAAATGGTTCGTCTGTAATAGAAATTAATGAAAAGTAACCAGGAATTAGGTGAATTATGTCTTTATTCGGTTATAAAACATTGAATTAACGTGTTTCACTTTAGATTTCACGAAACAGGGACGTTCGAATTCGATTACGGTAGGGAGTCTCTTATCTACCATCCGACTAAACGGGGCAGAAAAAACTAGTGAGTGTAAAAACACTAACGTTGGATATTTTTTATCCTCAGTTCGCACAATCAACAAACCGTTAGCACTACTACTAATGATAATCATATCCGTACTAATGATTAAACACAATAAAGAGTTACCGGAGTTTTCCTTCTAATAAAAAGCTAAATTCGGTGAGATCGGGGCTTCAGACAAGTTTGGCGATAGATAATGATCGTGAAATATCATAAATTAACTGAAATTATACATAAGAACCATCTCATACTAAGTTGTTTATAAGTTATGGGCTCGCTATGGGACCTGAAGGCCACGTGAAGTCCTGGATGCATACTACCAATACGTTTCTCACTAGAAAGAAACAGTCATTCCGTGTTCTAATATTTCCCACATCTATTTATCTAATGTCAACCAATTATGAAAATTTAAAACATGCGACAAATGATCTCACTATAATATTTATTTGGTGATGTAACCTGAGAAAATGTTTTAAATCATGAAGCAATGAAAAAACCTTGATAAGAGCTAAAATTTCTCTGTGAAACCGATTTTTAGTGAGATGGTTTATAGAACTGAGCTAGGGTACTACTAAGAATCACTTGACAACTATACGTGTTTCTCGACGGATATTACTGTCAATATATGTTGTTATGAACTAGATTTGCTTTCACATTACACTGTTGAGCTTCAAGTGTCTAAGCTTATGTGATTTAGTTCAACACCAAGTCTTAATATTTATATAACTCATCCTAATTAAACCTTTCTCTTTATTTTCAATATTACTTAGGAGATCTGTCTTAAAATTAGTCATTAACAGTTCATCAAATTGATTATTATGATTGGCTTTATTGAATTATCGTAACTTGTCTACGTTTGATAATGCGAATCAATCAATTCTTCCTTAACAGTTTAAAGTTCAACCCTTCTGAAAGGATGAAATAAATGTATTACGTCCAATTCTGTGCCCTGAGTTGAAAGTGTGAACTGATTCTTCAACTAGCCAATATAGGTCTGTGTCGAGATTGTAGTATTTTCACAGTTGAATTCATCAATTCGAGTACCGCGTGCGGGATCGTGAGCGTGCATTACTGAAGAGTTCCATACTAAGGCGAAACGGTCGTCTAGTTCTTCCAGGTTTTTAATGGTGATCTAGTTTAGATTGGATCCTGAATTTAACTGTGAAAATGTTAAATATTAAATAATTATTCAGTGTCTCATGCTTTTACACCTTTCTGACATTAGTTTATGGTGATAATTATCTTCAAATAGGCTAATTAGAATAAAAAATTGTGGCAAGCTGTGGAATGCAGGATGCACATCTCATCATATTTAGTACTCATCAACTACACGTACATATTCCCGGTGTTGCTAATCATAATGAAACTCAAGTTCAGTACCACTTCAATCCACATGTCAATGCATTACATAATGATGTTCAAAAATAGATGTTGTCACAAGTTAAACAGATTCCTACTTTCACTTAATATTGTTTGTTTGAATCCCCCCATTGATGTTTAGGACTGCATCTGTCAATCTCTAATTGGCATATGCGCATACTGTACGTATTGCCTCGATATAGCCTAAATTCACAAGCATGGTAAGCAAAGATGGATAATGGCTAGCAGTAGAATCCTGGACGCGCGTTTCATCCTATTCGGGACTCATCAGCTGGATGTACCTGCATCTCTAAGTTGATGTTCCCTCTGAGACTCGAACCCAGTACCTTTCGCTTCAAACGCCATCGCGTTATTCACTCCGCCACTGAGTCCTTATAGCCACTTGCTTGTGCAATGGGAGTGAACATAAACTCTGAGATGCAGGTACACCCAGCTGACGAGTCCCAAATAGGACGAAACGCGCGTCCTGGATTCCATTGTTAGATTCCTACTTTGTTCAATTCTTATCCATTTTGTATTTAAGATGAAAAATTCCATTTGTTAACTGATGAAATACTAATAATAATCAGAAATCATTAACTAAGCATGATTTGCTTTTTATTGTGTAGTAGAATGAGCATCAAAGAAATCGTATTCAACTGACCTGTTGAGAGTTTTTGATTATTGTTTGTTGATTGTCTCTCTATATTAAAAGCTAGTCGAATTGTACACAACAGTTTACGAAATTGTTCCGAATAAAATTTATATTGTTCTGAATAGGTTACTTCATTTGAATCGAATATAGGAGGCAGTGAACCGATACGTAGACCGTAACTAAGGGTATATATATAAAGCCATAAAGAAGCGTATTAAATTTCATACTTAGCTTATTCCCATCATCATTTGAATGAATAAAATATACACTTGCTAATGGGATAAAAGGGACATGTGGGTAGATGATGAAAAGTAATAAAATGTCATTTATATGATATATTTTCAACCATAACTGGCTGTTACCTATGTCCGATGGTCAGGTTTACGGATCGTGATGACCTACTGCAACTGTACTGTTTGTAACACTCACTCTTCTATGTTCTACTATGCCAAAAAGGTTAGCTAGAGAACTGTATGACTAAAAGTAGCAAACTTAATATCAGAGAGAGAGATTAGAAAAAGTTGGTCTTAGAAATAAAACACTCTATGTTCCTTGATGTATTCCATTGTCAGCGGAAAGGCCTCTAAAGTAAACAAAAACAATACGGTAAGAACAATTTACTAGAAACTATCTAGTATGATTGATCGCATCCGGTTGTTCCTTAAGTTGTGCGGCGATGCTGCTAGATTTTCATGACCACCTCTAGTACAGTTTCTTTTTCAGGTACTTCAAAGAGATGTAAGCATAGCGGACTGAATTATTATTTAATGACATGGTTATTGATATTGTGATTGGTGTTAGTCAGTCAATTAGCGGATACTTTTTAATGAATTTTTTGCTTACCAAACATTCCATTACATAAAGAACGTTGTTAATATTTAATTATAGAGTTTCAAGATAGTCAGCCATTATCTATACAGGTCAGCACGACTAGAGAAATATTAACCGAATGACAAGAAAAAAAAAGGAATTTATTGTAGTTAGCAGAAAGCTGAACATAACGTATACACCTCAAAAGACTCAAACGTTATTCAAAGAATTGAATATAAAGAATGATACTTAACTTCAGATTTAGGAGACAAAGGATGAATGTTTCTACCAAAATCTGATTAATTTTTAGTTACATTAGTTAATATCAGCTTTGAATCCTGAGCATGAATCATTATCAGCACTGAGATGATTGGGACATGTATGTACGTATGTCCAACCACCGTCTACTTTGATATGCGATGTTTGCCTGTATAAAGTGGGTTAAAATAAAGTTAGGGCCAGTTAAAGCAAATTATAGTGTCATTTCACCAAGTTACTGATAGTTGAATTAAGTCATGCACATTAGCTCAGACAACCTAGTTTGAACCCGAAAGATTATTGTTACTACTGGTCGACATGATGTTGTGTAGTATTGCTCAAAATCAATCAATCAGATATGGAGTTTTAAAATTATCCAATAACTTTCTAAATCTACGAATTCATTGTTTTCGAATTATATCATCTATGTTCAATATTTTCTATTGTCACTACTTCTACTACTCTAAGATTTGTTTTTATAAATTAATTTCTATTTTTTATTGGCATGATATGTGACATTTAGAACCGATGCACATATATGTCTGGTTCTACGTTGTCTATGACTCAATGATTGACAAGTATGTCAAAATAAATACGACATTTTAAAAAATACCGTCTGATCTAGTCTTAATCTATGAGTAATCATACGCTGTTTTCAAAGTATGTGCAATGTGACAGCGTGAATCAATACATGTTCAAGTTAGGTCATACTGTGGTGTGGTCTACTTATAACCACACAAGTAGTATATGGTGATAGTCAAACATAGAATGTATTTTGGCAGAAGATCCATAAGGAACGAACAGGAATGAAGCGCAATCGGTACGAAAATGCAAAAAAGAAAAAGAAATCAGCAAAGACGGACTGATATGTGGAGAACGAACAGTTAAGATTGAGACAATTAATTGTTATTTTGCAAATTAACTTTTCACTGTATAAGAAAAAGAGAATTCAGCGACATTATGAGTTGTTTTAGTTTTCACTGTATGGTTATCAGAATTTAGTCAGATTGTCTGTAATTTTGTACTTAAATACATTCGATTGTCCCCAACCTGTGTTTTGTTCACAACAATACGTTGTCGGTGCTTAATTGACCAACTTGTGACGTATTGCATTTTTTACCATAGAAACTGTGACAAATTAAAATTGAGGTTTTAAAAAAAAGTGTCAACGCTATGATACTAAAATACTTTTTTTCTTTTAATTACCGTATTGTCCAATCGACGGCGATTTCATCCATTTTCGAAAGCGTGAAACCATTTATTTCTTCAGTGTTAGCTATCAAATGAAAGTCGGATAGAAAGAAGGAGGATTAGGCATACTCTGTGAAGGAATTTTTTAAAAACTTAATCACATAGTATTTATGTGTAGCTGTTATTGTACTGCATAAATTTTTGTAATCCCACCTCATTAGATTATTATTAATGGAAGGGAGGCAGTTACTATTTTATTGATCGTTCTGCAAGATATTTCTAATCGGCACTAAATGTTGTTGCTAGTGAAAACGCCTTTAATATGAGCCTACAAACGAAACTTCTCGTTATTCAATACAAACTACATACATTAGTCTAGTTCAACAATTTCAGAAGTCAAGATATTCCCTTTTAACTTTATACACTAGATAGTGTTTTGGAAGAATGGTGAAGATTTGTAATTAAGATGCATATTTTAATTTGTTCTTAATTTTGTTCTTTGAGTGGTTTACTTGTAAAGGTTTCATTGAATTTTTAGATAACTTCAAGATGAACGCTTAATTTACACAAAATTAGGTTGTTTCGTTGGTTCATAAGCTTTTAGTCAATCTGTCCTAGTGTCCTTGCTGATGAATAGTTGTTTATGAAGGTTTACCTAATTAAGCATGTTACCTCTTATAAAGAAGCATAGGCCACCCACAAGAATTATCCATCCAATTCTGTTATGAGCAGTCCTTTCTATTTGTTTCCAATTGCTATTCGTCCTTCTCATATCTGCTCCCAATTATCGTCACAGTGAGTTCTTTGGCCTTCCTCTTTTCCGTCTCCCTCTACGATTCCAAGTTAGCGCTTGCCCCGTGTTGCAGTTTGATGATTTCCGTAATGTATGTTCTATCCACGTCTAACATATTTTCCTAATTTCCTTTTCAGCTGGAATCTGGTTTATTCTCTCCAACAGTAGGCTGCTGTTTCGAAGGTTTGGTCAGTTCTAATTGTTTTTGTACTCTTATAGAAGTTTTTTTTTCATCGATCTCTGAACATGTGATTTCTTAGCATTTCCGTATAAATTAGTGAATGGAGTCTACATCAATAAGATTACTGATTGCAGATTGATCTAAACTGTTTACTTCTATGTTAATTAAGAACTGATGAGGTTGATGATGAGCAAAATTAAAGAATATCAATTAAATCTTTCAGTTCAGAGAATATACTTTAATCGAAATAGCCCTAATCTTATCAGAGATTGAAAAGTTTTTACAACTTCATTAAATCATGGTGAATATGCATCACTATTCATACTTTTCACGATAATGAAGCCATTGGATCATTAGAAAAAAGGTACAATTATATATACTAAGATCAATACAGAATTATAAGAGATAATTATAATTTCAAAATATGTATAGAACTTTCGATGACAAATGAAATCGTACAAAGTTTGTAGTATATAAAAACACAATAATAGTTGCCAGGATACAAATGGCTTTCACATTTAATGATGGGAAGAAATATTTAATGGCAAAAGCTTTATTACAGTAAAAATAGTAACGTTTAATGTGAGTATGACATAATTATAGGTAATGATAATGGTTGCGGACAAACTCGGGTTATAAACACAGGCCCTTGGATTCCAAGTTAGCCGTCAAAAGATTAAGCGATAATTAAGAAGTCTAATGTTTTTACATTCAATATTTTATGTGATTATAAAACCACACTGTTTCGAACTATAAGGGAAATGTTGTTTATTACTGTAAATTGTCGACATGAGATGCTGACCACATCAGTTTTAATGGACTCACCCAGCTGAAAGGCGCTCGGTCATACAACCATACCAGACCACGAGTGATAACGCCATGCTCAACATCTCCTACAATTACTAGCCAGCCTAGATCAGTCGATTCTCAATATATTGATAACCTATCAAATGTATCTTCGAACCTCCTCGATTCTGAATTTTGATTTCACTAGGTTGGTACAATTCATAGTAGAAGGTGTTACTGGTTAAAGAGTTGCCAAACACCGAATAACTATGGCATCTTCAATATTAATCGATCACTTTAGATGAAATGTGTTTGTCTATTATCTTCCATAGGTAAATTGTATTTTATTAGTTGAATAAACTAAAATATTTTATAATTAAATTATACATATATTTATGTAGTTGAAATCATGAGTCAATTGAAGCTAGACCACCACTGAAAACCTAGAAGCGCTGGACGGTCGTTTCGTTCTATTATGTGAGCATCCACGAGCGCATCTCGCGAGATTCAAATCCAGGACCTATCAGTCTCGCGCGCGAACGCTTAACCACTAGACCGCTGAGCTGGTTGGCATCCAACTGTGCTAATGTTTAATTTTGACCAATCCACAAAATTGAGCGGGATCGTAGATGCGCACTGCTGAGGAGTCCCTCAATAGGACGAAACGGCCGTCCGATGTTTCCAGGTTTTCCATGGTGGTCTAGCTTCAATTGACTCATGATTTCAACTATATAAAAATTACTAAAATTTTCACAAAACCCCTTTCTGAAAATTAAACATAATTAAATATAATAATGAGAATTTCATTTGACATTCTCACAAAATAACTTAATAAACTATTCACCTTTTACCAATGATTGAAGACATGAATTCGATTCATCCATATAATTCATTGTTAGTAAACATTGATCCAAAAAATTTCCAATAACTATGTTTGTTTAAGAAATAAAAAAAGAGATTAGTTGTAGGCTTTACAATTAGTTTTATCTTTTTTTCTGTTGTGATTAAAAAAAGTACATGATTCACTTGGTATTGTTTATTTGAATCTTCACATTGATGTTTAGGACTGCAACTAGTCAGTCTCTTATCGGCATATGCTCACAGTATGCGCATATGCCGATAAGAGACTGACTAGTTGCAGTCCTAAACATCAAACAAACAATACCAAGTGAATTCAAACTTCACCCAATTGCACAGGCAACTGGCTATCAGGACTCAGTAGCTAGGTCGATAACGCAATGGTGTTTGAAGGGAAAGATACTGGGTTCGAGTCCCAGAGTGAACATCAACTCGGAGATGCAGGTATATCCAGCAGACGAGTCTCAAATGAGCGGAAATGCGCATCGTGGACTTTACTGCTAGTCAATGTCCATCTTTGCTTATAAAGATTATGATTTCTTTGAATATAGTCACGTTACCTTCCGTTTTATTGAGAAAAGTGACGATTTCTAAAGTTATTTGGTTTGATGTTACAACTTTCAATTCAGTTCTTGCAGTGTTGTATTCAATTTAGAATAAAACAGATTTCATTAAGGCATAAAAATCTGTCTGTGTTATTATTACTAGTGATTGTGAACAACTGATGGTTTAAGCGTTGAATTACGAGGCTCTCTATAATTGAATACGAACCATGTTCTTACATCTTCAATTTGGATATCACCATAATAATTTTAATTAGGACCAAACAAACCAAGACAAAGCTTCGACCAGTGAAGTCAATAAATGTTGTACTGAGCCGTTTAGGTATGTGCATTGTTTATTCCTTATGATTCATCTTTTCTAGTAAAGTTGATAATATTACTGGTTTTACCATTCTGCCACTTATCTTGATAATTTCACCTAGCTCTGCTTAGTGGGTTGGGCAACTTGAACTGATGCATATTTGTGCTAGGTTTTGCTATACTTACGACTGACTATACATATGTTGACAAGTAAAGGTTTATGTACTCGCTTCTCGGCTATCTGAGATAAGATGATGAGTAGTGTCTGTCCTTTACAGTGTATTTTATACAAAGACCTCTACACTGAGAACAGTGGAATTGTCTGTATTTTCCGCCTCCAGATGGGTGCTGTGATCGTTCTCAAACCCTTCTAGGGGTTAGTTTCGTATTTTATTTTCTCGAGGATCGGCTTATAGCCCCCAAATTCAATGCTTCGGCCGAGGGCGGAAAGAATCCGCCCCCCAACTTGAGATGGTCTCATATGGGCATGTGTATTTATCCATTGCCAACGAAGTCCCAAACACTGGCTTCTCGTGGTAGGGGTGTTGTTTGAGACTGAGAAAACGAAGAGAGAATGTTCGGTGCATGAAATGAGTTGGTGAGTAGGGAATATTCAATGGTACATATGGGCTCCAGGCTCCTGAGGGAAAAAATGGTATACGAACTTATTTTTGGTCACAGGCCATCATGAGACCGCATCCCCCGATGTAAACCTACAGTTTTGTGGATTAGATCTATGAGTCAAAGGCTTGGGGAAGTGGCCCCACAAAAACTACCCTCTTTGGCTTGAACACGCGAACAGCATTAGACCTCGGTTAGCTAAAACTCGCCACGAATTATAATCGGGCACGTTCGGATCTGCACTTTTTATCGCTGAAGAGCCTTCATAGTCCTCTCCTCGAATATAACTCCTACTGGACTCCCTCTTGAATTACAGTCGATCTCAAACCCGGAGAAGGTTGTGGTATGACAACCTCTCTAAAAATGCCAATTAAAAAACAAACAATAAAATTATAAAATAACCGATAGTATGAAACATTCCTACAAACTCCTCAACACCTGCATTTTGTCTCATTAGTAGTAAGGGTCGGCATTACTCCTTTATGAATATTCTGAACTGAAATTTGACCAGTATTCGTGAGCAGACGTGCATCCTAAGCGCATCACCTGGATAATTCAGAAGTTTTACAATAATAATGCTAAAAATATACACATTGCGTAAGCTATTCTTTATTTGGACTCGGTAACTAAGTAAGTTAAGAGTTTGAATTGAAAGCAAAAGATGCCATGTTCAAGTCTTAGTACGAACATCAACATTGAAATGTAGGTACGTCCACAGTCCCAAATAGAACGAATACAACATAATAGAGTTTACTGTTAGCTACAATCCACCTATTATCTGGAATCTGTTTTTACAAATACACATATACTGTAATATACAGTTTGCACAATTTAAAGTTGTTTAAATTAACAGATTTACTACATAAATTGAATAATGGAAGAAACAGCTGTCTAGTCCTCCTTGGTTTTTAATGATTATCTCAATAAAGTTATTCATTGATAGGTGACCTCAGATTTATCATTTTTTACAAAACTCAATAATAGTAATCATGTTTTGATCAGTGATTGACTGCGAGAAGTAGGTTCCGAAGTTTTAGTGGGAAATCATGACCATTAAAATTCCATCATGTCACGTGTGAAACAAATGTCACCAGCAGCGATGAATGTCCGTCGTCTCAGATTAGCTGAATTTAGAGGTATAAACTACTGAATAAAAAATTAGTGATCCGCATATAAAACACTCGTCGCAAGACCTGAAATTTTTAAGTTCAACCAATGATGAGGTTATATATGTGTATAATTAACTAATCAAATAAACAACGAAGAAAAAGTTATCCAATACTTCATGTCTTTGAATAGGACCCAAAATAATATAACCTTTACCGAATTCCTTAATCTGACATACTAAGAAATGATCAAAATGAATGTATATGCAAAAACTACTAATAAATCAATTATAGTAGTTTTGTATTTCATCTCAAAGTTTCATCAAATTAGTTTTTAACACACATACGTGTATTTTTCTTTTCCAAATTGAATTCTCCACGTTTCATAATTCCATTATAATTCTTTAAAATTGTTTGGCATTGATTAGTCCATTCCATTGCTGCTTTAAACGATGTGATTGGTTGATTGATTAATTCAATTTGTAATAAGTTAGTTAAGAGTTGAGATTTAATCGATGCTGTAGGAAACATTTCATTGTACCAATTAATACATGGATATTGTTTACATTTATTATCAATTCTGGTACTACCTTCCGGTGTAGTACAGTAATAGTAATTATCATAGACGGGTTTACTTTGTATCATTATAAATGGATATATATTATTAGTATGCTGTAGAAAATATAAATAAATGGGTATTATAAAAAGCTTCTACGAATATTCGTCAAGATTAGAATGAATAGCTTGACAAACATTGGGTGCCGAGTATAGAGAAGTCATCATATGTGAAAATTATAGTTTGAAATAATCTCAACGGTTGAAAATTAAATAATTCCAATGTTTCGTCCAGATAACTTGTCTGGGCTTCTTCGGGGTAATCATCAAAATCATCACAATCATATAAAATCTATACTATGTTGAGCCAATCATTTTTGGACATTGAGTTTAGTAAATGGGATGACATGATTCTCATTTAACTGACTAGTATTATCCTGTTTACAAAAATAGTATTAACATTAGAAAGTGTCATTTCATGTATTTGTGGGAGGGCTATGATGCTGTCCTGGTGCCCAAACCGAAGCAGGTGGTTTTCTTAAGAAGCCACATTCCGAACCTCAGAACTAAGGGTCTGATCCATAAGGCAGTGGAGCATCGTGAGGAGATGCAGTCCCATGGTAGTCGGTGACCAACAATTGATTCATATGCCATTTGTTCCCTCTGGATACTGGATCCCATGTGCACCATTGGTTTGGAATCAGTGTTTTCCAACTCCCTTAAGTGGAATTTCCGTATCCACCAACCCGGTTAAAGCTCCGGACATTCGCTTTCGTTCTCTGAATTTCGTAAACAACAGTAATGCGACGAGAAGGTAGTGAGTAGGACTTCTCTGGCAAAGGCTATATAAGCGTGACCATGTGAGAGCATTTGGAGAAGGAGAGCAGACTCTCCTCACTCTCGGCCGTATTAAGGCACTTGGGGGCATTATATGTGACGCATATATATTTTGTGTCCCCTTGTACTAATATTGATGTGTTTAAATAAAATAAAATAAAAAGTTTACAAAAATTCAACATCCAAATATGATTGGTTTAACACACAATAGGCTTGATATGATTTTTTTTTAAAAACTGTTATATAAATCTTCGATGATTTCGATTTTGATGATTACCCTGCAGTAGTCCAGACAAGTTAGGTGGACGAAACGTTGGAATTATTTAGATTTTAATCTCTGAGATTATTTCAAATATAATTTTCACATATAATGATTATAAAAAAGCTGTTTTAATAAGGTGGTATTCATCACACATCCATCCTTTTAAAACAAAACAGTACTGTTACGTATTAGTTGAGAATAAGTACAAATTTACAGCGATACCTTGTAATTTGAGATTTATATAGTTTGAAGATGATTTTCGCTACAAATTGAAACCACTAGGAGAATTATCAAGGACTAGATTGGCATTTTTTTCTAAAGTGAATGGTGGTCAGCAGTGGAATTCTGTTTGTTCTTACTTGATACTCATCAGCTGGATATACTTATACTAACGTGTTGATATTCATGCTGAAACTTGAACACAGTACCTGTTACTTCAGACTCTCAATAAGTTATCCACTTAGTTCAGATAGCCACTAAGTTGTGAAATATTATAGCTACCCATGTGAATTTCATGTTCAAACATTAACCAAAGAAGGATGGAGTTTAAGACTTTCAGAATTCAAGACAATTCACATATAAATTTAATTGTAAGTACGCACTGCTGATCCCCAATGATTATTAGAGCTCCGTTAATTGATGTCTTCTTGGATCAAGAACAAATAATCTTAGATGTTTGGAAGTGATCAGCAGTACACAATATTTCACCTAGGTTTCATACTAATTAGCATTCGACGCCAGGGTATATTTGAAGTTCTAATGGAATTGCTGTGTTAAGTATAATTCGAATCTGAGTCAACCATATTCAGTATCTAAGATGTCATGACTGAGCTATTCTGACCACAGTAATGATTGTTAATAAGTTGATAATAAATGGCATATTTCTTGAATAATTTTTTAGAACATCATTAGTGAAGTTGGGGTAGATATGCTAAATTCACAAATTACGTGATTATGAAAAGTTAGACCCCAGAGTTTTAACTGAATAATCTGAAGGTCTAGTGTTTGTCTTGAAATATAAAGATCCCATACCTGATAGCGTTTGATAACATTGATATATACAAATACAGAGAAATACATTACAACAAATTATTCATCTAGTATGTTTTTGGCATTCAGTGATTTTTTTTAGTTGATTGAGGAAGGAAGAACCATTTTAAAATGACTTGTGAGACAAACAGGGATTAAATCAAAATTATTTATCTCTATCATAAGTGACGTATAATGATCGAAACAAGACAGATCAACTGATTTATCAAAGCTATATATGTTCTCTGCTTACTTCCTTTTACCTAGATTGATTCGATAGTCGTTAAATACACAAGAGTTTTAAGGAACATTATTCAACATTTTGGTAATTCAGTTTTATACATAGTCACTATTTTGTCTCTTTTTCCCTTTCATAATTTGGTTTATCAATTGAAGCTATACAACCATGGAAAACCTGGATGCACTGGATGGTCGTTTCGTCGTATTGTGGGGCTCCTCAGCGGTTAGCATCCACGATCTTGCTTGCCGGACCCGAACTTAGAACCTATTGGTTGCGCGCGCGAGTGCTTAGCCTTTAGACCACTGAGCCGGAATCCAACGGTGTTAATGTCTAACTTTAACAGATTCATTCACATTATTGTTTATTCATATCTATACGATTATGCTTTCGTTGTTTTGTACAACAAGATCTATGGAATTAAATTTAAAAAACTCCAGACCACCATGGAAAACCTAGGAGCACTGGATGGCCATTTAGTCCTATTGGGGGACTCCTCAGCGGTGAGCATCCACGATTTTGCTTGCGTGATTCGAACCCAGGACCTATCACTCTGGCGCTGATTCATGAATTCAACTATTAAGTTTCTATAACATCTACGAAATCCCTCTCATTCTAAATATCACAACTATCCATCTTTATAACAAACAAACAAAAATCGGACAATAGATATTGACTAAAACGCACTCTAAATGATACTATTTTTATTCATAAAAGACACTTTTGATAACCAATAGTTCATTTTAAAATGATAGAAAAATGGTACCTTTGTAGTGAAGAAAACAAAACATATTCTTTATTCCAACTTGGGTTGATTAACTGAATTACTTTATGTCTTAGTACGCGTTAAGACTCGAAACCAGTAATCAGTCTGGTAAATACCCTTAAACTACTCAGATGTATTTAATTACCTACTGTTCATCAGAAAGTTATTTTTTTGAATAGTTGAATTAATGAGTCGAGCTAAGCTAGATCATCATTGAAAACCTGAAAGCATTGGACAGCCGATTCGTTTCTACTATGTGACTCCTCAGCAGTATCAACGATGCAGCACGCAGGACTCGAACTCAGGACATTCGGTCTCGCTCGCGAACGCTAAACCTATAGACTATTGGCCGTCAATCAATGGTGTTAATGACTAACTCCAATCGATCCATGATCTTGCTCAACCCTTTATCCATTGTCTGAGGTGGACAACTATCTCACACTTGACACATATTCGACTCCACTGGTCACAGCTTTTCACTAGAATTCCTAGAATTGCCTCTCGAAGCCAGTTGCTAGTGAACACATGTCTAGTATCAGTAAAGGGGTTTGTGGAGATTTTAGTATTTTTAACAGTTGAATGTACGAGTTGATACTAGGATGAAACGGTCGTCCAGTGCTTCCACGTTTTCAATAGTGATCCAGCTTGGATCGACTCATGAATTCAACTGTTCGATCTTATTTTCTACATACCTCATAAATTCTTATTAAGATGAAACAAACTGAAAGTTTCTTATCATTACTATTCAGTTGATTCGAATTGTAATAAACGTACACTCAAACGGGAACAATCAATATGTGTTTTCATGCAAAATTGCAGAATCTCTTGGTTAAATATGAAAACTATACACTGAATACTTTATTTGCAAATTTCCATCATTTGTCATTCGTATTCTGTATGATTCTTCCAGTCCACAATTCGTTCCGTTTAACTCGATCTTCTTAGCCTTCTGCTGCCAGGTTTTCTATTTCCGATAGGTGTTACATACTATTTATGTATGTCGAAATAGGTAGCATACACCACAGCATCAGTTAGGTCAATATCTGTAGAGGATGACTGAAGACTTTGAATGATACGGCTCAAAATCATTTGCAATCGAGCAAGTGCATCTATTCTTTGTCTTTCATCAAATACTGAGCTATTGAACTATCCATAGCTGTTTGTTCTTATTTCGCTAATTTATATTTTTTTAGAGTTGTATCTTCGATCCCTACTCTGTCCTTTTACCACTAGTACCGTTACTATCTCTACTGTTTTGGGATTCGACCTGACAATCTCATCTCCCTGTGCTAATGGGGTATAGGAAATTTAACCGATGTATTTACGTACATTATCTATGTTTTAACTGACTGGCCTGCTGTGATTTGTTTCATTGTGAACATTAATATTGAGAGATTGTCCATCTGCGTGTATCAGTTTGGACTTTATAGAGTTTGCAATTGATTCACCTCGTATTAGAATAATCTCCATCATTCATAAGTAGTCAGTTTAACATAAGTTTAACTGATATAACAGAAAACCAAATACATAACTGAAATTAATTTTTCTCACCAATTACCTGACAAAGTATTCTTGGTGGTAATTCACGTTCAGTTGGTCCACCAATGAAAAATATTTTCATAAGTAGATAATTACGTTCAATCGTCAATGTATCATACATAACATTTACATTTGTTGGTAGATATTCTTCCATATTTTGGCAGTTTAACAAATAATCGGATAGATTGAGATATGCTTCAAACCACAAAAGTGAATCCAAACAAGATATTATACACGATAATAATCTGTAAACAGATATAAAAAGATCATGATGTTCAACATTCATTTCTCAATAGTAAATACAATAATAATAATAATAGTTTGAAGGATTTGTGGAGCATGTAGTACTTTCACAGTTTAAACCACGAGTCGATTCAAGCTAGACCATCATTGAGAACCTAGATGTACTAGATGACAGTTTCGTCATAGAATGGGACTCCTCAACAGTACACGAGTTTGAACGTCCTTGGTTCAAGTCCCACACACAGGGCCGTGGATGCACACTGTTGAGGAAAAAATAGCCGTCAAATGCTGACAAACTTTCAAAGGTGGTCTAGCCTAGATCAACTCGTGATTTCAACTGCGAAAACAATAATTAATGTGTCTGTCATGAACTGATATCAACCGTAGGGATAATTAAAATCAGAGAGCAATGTTATCACTTTGTAGTGAAATCTGTCAATCATTAGCAAAGTAGAAGTTGACACTTGTATGCATCCGTTCACGTTTTCACAGGGCATCAGTCAAGTGAAATAAAGGAATAAAACATACCTCAGTAGTAGTAACAGCCACAATATTAACGATAATAAATCAAATTTGTTATGAGCAATACGATTCTGAGCCAACAATCACCGTCTCAAACTATTAGTTGAGATAACTGCACAGACCCTAACTACCAATACAGATTAGTTCAGTAGTTAGTGACTTTATGAACTGATGTCAATCCTTGATTTGGCTGTCCCCAATTTCGTTTGAACCCACTTCTACCCCAGTAAGCATTGCACATCAAGATAGCTAGGGGCTAAACATGAGTAATATCCGTCTTAGCCTCTTCAGTTGATGAGGGTTATTTACCTTATCAACTGTTTCTAACTATTACCTAGTACAATACTCTTTACGTCAACATCGCTCACTAATTGGTCTCAATACACTCGAGCGAAGCCTGGAAGGCATCTATGATCGGATGATAGTGACCTACAAATATTTTAAAGGATGAACTCAAACCCAATGCAATATAATTTTGAAAAACCTCTGAAATAATTAATAATCACATATTTAGTGAAGACTATTTTCTAGATAACTATTCCCGAAAATCCAGAGTTGTAACTAGTGGAATTCGACCATATCAAAAAGGAAACATTTAAGACCGTTGATACTAGATTATCATCGCACTATATCACTAACTGATTAAAGCCGAAAATCTAGATCATACGGTAAGAACTCAGCGGTCTAAATGTGACATGTTTTCTACAAAGTCACAGACCTTGGATTTAATCACTAATGAGGTAAAGGATGTTCATCGCCTGTAGCGTCCGATTCTAAAATGAAACTAATGTCCAAGGCTCTCCAATTTATAAATATAACTTAGTCGATAACGATCTTTGACCTCCGAACCATATAATAACAATACCATATATAGAATAGATTTTTTGGAACTTATGAAAAGACAACACTATGGAAACAGTCGCCACAGTACGCATATACGCCATTGTATTCCTTCCGAAATTTAGTCCTGAATAAAAATTAATGAAATAACTCATAGCATTACTAATAAGGGTATATTTAAACGAGTTCATCTGTAGTGGGATCGGTCAATACACTACGAATAACTTCAATCCAAACTCCAAGTAGTATAACAGTAGGATGATAAATTTTAACATGTAACAATCTCTGTAATAAATAAGTTACTGACTGACTGATTATTAACTCATTAAATAAATATTGGATTATAGTTGAGGTCATGAGTCAATTGAAGCTAGACCACCATGGAAAATCTAGAAGCACTGGACGGCCGTTTCGTCCCACTGTATGTGGATAATAATAACAAACGCTCTCATTCACTCACCCACTAACACATACATGTACAAAGCCAGTGGATATGCAACAACAGCAACCCTAAAAAATAGACCAAGCTATGTACACTAACCTTAAACCAAATACTTGACATTGGTCAGGATTGAACAATGAGTTCAGTTTAGCCATATTATTGTTGACAAATATTACACGATCAAAAAATTCCTAACCGTATAGAAATAAAACAATATAAGTTAACTAATATAAACATTATAAAAAAAACGAAGTGCAGTAGACAGCTGATTTAACCTAGTATGACACTCCTCAACAGTATACATATACACAACATTCCGCGGCGGCGAATCCGGAACCTCTAGGTTTCAGCTTGACTACTAAATCATCAAGTATATAGTCGATAGTTCAAAGTCTCAAGTTTAATCTATTTTTAATATAACATCACATTATCTAATGTCATTAATGATAGTGTTTCCAACCTCGACATGCTGGAAACCCACTGAGTGTAAATTTTAACTCGAGCTTCAAGAACTTATTCCAAAATAAGTCACTAGTGATAGTACATTTTGTGTAGATTAGTTTAGTTTATTCATGGTATTCTGAACAGAATGATTTTATTTAGAGTATCACTGAGAATTCGAGAGCCACGGACGTGCCTTCTGTTCTGATGTCTGCCTCCTTACCAGCACCTACCGAAATTAAGAACAATTTTGTTTTTAAAGTTCCAAGTTATCCGTAGGTTTCCTATTAAATTTATATATGTATCTGGTATATTACTTACTGTGATTAAAGATGGAGAAAATTAGATATTTCTGTTAATGGTAATGTTTTAGCTACACTAGAACTTAACAAGAATGAAACAGTCATCATTAATAACATTGGTTGGTCGTTGAAATCTTACACCAACCAATTGGTGGTGAAAATGTAGACAACTGGCCGCTAATCCAGTGGTCTGAATATAAAACGCCTTGTTGTGAAACCCTGAATTATTGAGTTTAGAGAATCAGAAGTTCTGTTTACTTAATAGGCAAACAGTTTTATATGCATTAAATCATAAACCCAGTCTCAATTTTTATAGCGATAGACTTGTGTTCTTTTTTTGCACTGTATAGATAAATCATCATTCGTTATAGAGCTGATGAAATAGATATACTGGGCATGTGATTAGTGAAATATACCTAGGTGACTTACATATGCCGTGAAACAAAGTATCAGTGGCTATGAAGCAGTGAACTGAGGACCATTTGCTATAAAAGATCAAACCCATAGTATAAAAGTCAACGCCATTAGGAAACAGGCATATTTTTCTCTAATATATTATCCATTAATTTACTAAACTGCATAAAATCACAGCACCTACTTCGAGGAAACACATATAAACTTGATCGCTATCACCAACTATATGAAATGTATATTTTGATAAACCCTCTTCATTAATGTTGATAAAAAGAAAATAAGAATTATGTTAAGGATGGACAACCACCACTGAAACAGGTTGTAGAATTCCATTACCTATTCCGTCTGGCAATTATGCTGAACAACGGTTATTTCTATTTTAATTTGCTATTGTGGAATGTGACCTTAAAAAATGCCAAAGCATTTCTTGCATATGCCGGGATCATCAAATGAAAGGTTATGAGATTTGGAATAGAGTACTCAGTACCAACCAAGGTGGTTTGAACACAGAAAATAACATACACCACCTAAGACATGCAGGTTGTTGGTGTAGGGGTGGGTCGGAGGAAAGGCGATCATGATCTAATCGAGATATGATTTCAGTCGAAGGAGTTATCGACTATTTCATCAAACTCTATTTTTATAAATTAAGACAAGAAGGTTAAGGAGACATTCGGAGACTGAGTTCACAATCCCTTGTAATGGTGAAGGTGTATTCACTCTTTGTCTTCTGTCTGATCTCAAATCTCTAGATTCCCCCAATAAGCTTTTCTTATATCACAACAATTCATGTTTTCTTCTTGAATCTCATCTTTAATCCTGAATCTTCTCTATTGCTCTTACTATCTCTTCTACTCTGAGATTCTCTCTGACAATTTCATCTCCCTGTGATAGATAAGTGCTGCAACTTGAGCCGATCTACACATGTCCCAGGTTCTACGTTGTGCATGACTAAATGAATGAGGTATTGCCATATAAGGAAATTATATTAAGAATCGTAACTTTGAATGTTAACCCATAATACTGTGGCTGTCAGTCTTGATTGACCTACATACTGAATTTAACGACGGTTCTTAATATCAACAACGGTTTGTGTATACGAAGTAGTATGACTAGTCACTTTTAAGACGAAAAAACTCAATGTACGCCAACAAAATGAAGGGAAAAAATCAGGAAAGCTGTGTAACGTTATATATACTACTTACAGGTAAATTAGTAGGTATATCTAGTCGAAAATCATAATATTCTTTATTTGTTAATAAATCCATAGGGTTGAGTAAATTTTCTACGCATTCATATGAAGTTGTAACTCTGACCAAATTGACAAACGGCTATTCAAACAAAGAAGGGGATAGATATAGGAAATAAGAACAATAACATAATTTGTGTATGTGAACGACCATAGAACATAAACTGTCACTATTATCTTATTCTGATTACTAAATAGTGTTAGTTGTTTGTTTTATTGTTTTTAATTAAAAACGCAGAACTGATAAAGTCGATGATATCTTCGGCAGTTAAAGACAGGTGACATAGAGACCCATTTTATTTTATTTTCGTTCTGGTTGGAACTTATCACCAAGGTATACCTAGAGTTTTGAGTGGACTTGTACACCTTGGTGGATTCGAATTCAGATACTCAAGTTTAGCATTGAGTGCATCAGGAAGTATATGTCCCGTCAAAATTAGAAAAGCAACAAGCACTAAAACAGATGAACACGATATTCCCCACAACCCAATGTCCAATCAATGTAGATAAAACACTGAAATCAATTACGTTTAAAAATTAGAAGATATTAAGTCACTGACAACAATTATTCAAACTATTTATTTAACTAATGTAGTTGAAATCTGACTCAAATTAATTTTCCTTTGAACATTTAAACAGTATGCCACAGGAAGCTTATTTACAGACCTTGTTGAGGAGCTCCATCTCGCACAAAACCTATGTCCAGGAATTCCTGTTAACTACCTCCAAATATCTAACATTAAAACAAAGCGAACACAATGTGGAATTACTTAAACTAATAATTTAATTACAGCTTAGTCGCTAGAATTGGATTAGCAGTAAAGGACTAGATAAACATGACACTTCCTTCTTCCTTATCCTCCTCATGTGATCTAAAAATTGACGATTTAAGCCAGTACACAGTTATGCTACTTTGTCAGTGACCGACTGTGTTTGACAACATTACAAACCTTTAACAAGAAATTAACGGTTATCTTCTAGATTCCCCTGATTAGAGATTAGATATTTAAATTCTTTTCTGTGACTATTGTTAATTGATCTAGCTCCAAGCTACTTGTGAGCAGATAAGCAAGGGTTATACTCTCGAAATCTCAACTATATATTACCTATTACTACTGACGCTTGTTAGGCGGAATTTTGTGAGCAGTTCTCCGAAGAAGTCTATATATAAACAATGTCTACTCACAGAATAATTGGGCTCAGATATGTATATATTACCTTAATTGTAAACCTTCGTTTACCTCATTAACTGTTGATGTATGTTCTACCATTCACAAATTACAACTAGTTAATTATGCCCTTGTTATTCAGTTTGTAAGCCGATTGTATTTCCTTGTGTCCTGACCAAGACATTTTGCATAAAGTAGTCTGAGATGACTTATCACTGTTATCATAGGTGTGTTTCGGGTATTAGCATCAATGGCTTAAAGCAAACTCATCAAAATGGGGAACCATCATTATTAGTTATCCATATCTTCGAAGTCAGTCAGTCAGTTACAACATAGAACTTCGTACATACGTACATCAGTTCGAGTTGCCATACCACATTAGCACAGAGATGAAGTTGTCGATTCAAATCCCATATTGGTAGAAGTAGTAAGAGTATAAGTATTATGTGAAAGATAAAGGTTTGAAGATGTTATTGAAGGAGTATAATACGGTGGAATAAATTTGGAAAGAGAAAAGGATACGGATCGAATGAAGGACAGAAAACAAACAAGATTCTTCTATAAACACTGAACTCACCTTATATGCTATTTTGTCAATGGGATCAATAGACCAAATTGGTGGATTATATGTTTTAACCGTAGAATAATTCCCTGTTAAATTAACATGACCTGTACTATCAAAGTATTCAATTGACTGCCAAGCATGTTTAACTAATAAACTAATTATACCTGATTGAGATAAAGCCAAGAGACTGGATTTATTTAATGCTAATTGACTAAATAAAAAACCACATGTATGTGGTCGACGAAAAGATATCTGGAAGAGAGAGAGGGGGGGAAGAGGGAGATAAAAGGAAATGAAAAAAAATGAAGTTATATGTGGTAGGTAAGAAATGACTTTGGAAGAATACATGTAAAATATTGTAACATACACAATGGGGTAATTAAAATAGGCAAAGTTTGGCTAGCATTATAATCTGGTGAATTCATGTTTCAACTTAATGTACCTGCATCGCAATGCTCATTTTATTTTAAACAAAATAGATATATCAGATTTGATGTTCACCCCGTATCTTTCGCTTCAAACGCCATGGCGTTATCCACTCAGCCACTGAGTCCTGAGTCCCAGAGTGAAGATCAACACTGAGATGCAGGTACATCCAGCTGACGAGTCCCAAATAAGACGAAACGCACGCTCTGGATTCCACATATCAGGACTCAGTGGCCGAGTGGATAACGCGATGGCGTTTGAAGCGAAAGGTACTGGGTCCGAGTCTTAGAGGGAACATCAACAAGTCTGAGATGCAGGTACATCTAGCTGATTAGTCCCAAATAGGATGAAACGCGCGTCCTTGATTATACTGCCAGCCATTATCCATCTTCGCTTACCATGCTTGTGAATTTAGGCTATATCGAGGCAATACGTACAGTATGCACATATGCCAATTAGAGACTGACCAGATGCAGTCCTAAACATCAATAGGAAGATTCAAACAAACAATACTAAGTGAAAGCAAAATTGATATATCTAATGAATTCACAAAGGATATACATACATTAACACTGATTGATGAAAATCTGTTCTTGAATATAAGAAACGGGATAACTGTAATCTTTACTACTAATAATATAAAGGATGGTACAAAATTGCATGATTGACTCTATGCCTATTAGTTACATGAAAATTGATAATCTGTGTCATTTAGAACAAAAGATGGTGAGTTCGAGCTGCTGTGTAAACACATTAACACTGGGATATGGATACATCCAATTGACGAGTCTCAAACAAATAGAAGAACATATCTTTTGTTCATTTGATGTTTACTACCAAACTTTATTAACACACTTGTGACATCATTAAAATATCAAAAAACACATACTACGAAACAGATTGCTTAGAATACAACCCTTAACATCCCTTTGAACGATTGAGATGAGTCATTCCCTTATTTGTGCTAATTCAAAGATTTTTACATAGTAGGTATAACTTGAAGTTTAATGTAAATACACAGATTTCATAGTTCGAATCCCCAATTAACTAAATGAAAAACTAAGGAATTTTTTTAGATTGATCATAGTTAAACAACTAGTGAAAACTAGAAAGCATCGAATAGATGTTTCATTCTAGTGTAGGATTTCTCAGCAGTGCGAACTTAGGACATTTAGTTTTCGAAACATAAACTACAGACTTTAACAGGTATTAGTTCATATGTCTAACTTCAATCAATTTGCCATATTATTCAATTATCTTCTTGTTCTAATGATGTGTAGTTGTTTCCACTAATCTCACTAAGATTCTAGGAATTACCTCTAATAATTTGAAAGGCTAAGGGTACTTCGTGATGTAGATTATGAAATTCAACAATCTCAACAAAATCTCTTTTCTAATAATCATTATTATTAAAAATAATCAATTGATCAGAATGATAACAAGAAATAGCCAGAACTCTATTTTGAGATAATACAATTTAAAACAAACGGATATCATTCATTTTGTATTGTTTGTTTGAATCTTCACATTGATGTTTAGGACCACAACTGGTCAGTCTGTTATTGGCATACGAGCATCTAGTGTAGTTTGCCTCAGTATTGTCTTAAGTCACAAGCATTATAAGCAAAGATAGATAGTGGGTACCAGTGGAATCCAACATACGCGTTACGTTCTATATGTGACTCGTCATCTAGATGTACCTGAATCCCAGAGTTGATGTTCACTTCAAGACTCGAATCCGATACCCTTCGCTTCGAACGTAATCGTGTTATCTACTTAGTTACTGAGTTCTAATAGCCAATAGGTTGTGCAATATTAATATAATACAAACGTATATCCAACCATAATATATTTTTTGTACAATACTGTTTAAAACATATTAGGTCGGAAATTGGAAGCAAACATCAAAAGAGTGAATAACAATTAGAAACAACTGGAAAGGATTTCACAGAACAGAGTTCTATGGAGAATCCTGGTAGGCAGTCTATGCTCCTTCCCGGGGAGTACAAACCTTAAATAAGTAAGTAAGTAAATAAGTAGTATTTAAAATAAATCAAATCATTGTTTTGTTTTTACTTAAATTTTGAACTTACATTATGTTCATTCACAAGATATTTTTGTAAAAATTTTGTAAAGTTGATTAACAAATTTGATTTAGTGAATAATTCAACTCCGATTGGACTACCAAGTGAATAAATTAAACAGTTTTGAAAATCTTTTAAGAAGTTTTCTTGAATCCTATTGAAGCTATAAGTTATTTGAAGTAATAACAATAAGGATAATGAAAATGAAAGTGGATCTACTTACAGATAGGTGATGAGTGAGAAAACGAAAATGATAGTAACTGAATGATTGGTAACTTCGGTGGAACTATAATTTATGGAAGACCTTTACTTACTTACTTACTTACTTACTTACTTACTTACTTACTTACGCCTGTTACTCCCAATGGAGCATAGGCTGCCGACCAGCATTCTCCAACCCACTCTGTCCTGGGCCTTCTTTTCTAGTTATATCCAGTTTTTTGTTCATTCTTCTCATATCTATCTCCATTTCTCGGCTTAATATGATCTTTGGTATTCCCCTTCTCCTTCGGTCTTCAGGATTCCATGTAAGGGCTTGTCTTGTGACGCAATTGGGTGATTTCCTCAAAGTGTGCTATAACCAATTCCAGCGCTTCTTCCTGATTTCTTCCTCCGCTGGAATCTGGTTTGTTCTCTCCAACAGTAGGTTGTTGTTGATAGTGTCTGGCCATCGGATCCGAAGTATTTTGCATAGACAACTGTTAATAAACACCTGTAACATCTGGATAATGGCTTTCGTAGTTCTCCACGTCTCCATCCCATATAGCAGAACTATCTTGACATTTGAATTCACTTAGTATTGTTTGTTTGGATCTTCCCATCGATGTGTTTAGGACTGCAACTGGTCAGTCTCTAATTGGCATATGTGCATACTGTGCGTATTGCCTCGATATACCTTAATTCACAAGCATGGTAAGCAGAGATGGATAGTGGCTAGCAGTGGAATCCAGGACGCACGTTTCGTCCTATTTGGGACTCGTCAGCTGGATGTACCTGCATCTCAGAGTTGATGTTCACTCTGGGACTCGAACCCAGTACACTCGCTTCAAACGCCATCGCGTTATCCACTCGGCCACTGAGTCCAGCTGACGAGTCCCAAATAGGACGAAACGTGCGTCCTGGATTCCACTGCTAGCCACTATCCATCTCTGCTTACCATGCTTGTGAATTAAGGTATATCGAGGCAATACGCACAGCATGCACATATGCCAATTAGAGACTGACCAGTTGCAGTCCTAAACACATCGATGGGAAGATCCAAACAAACAATACTAAGTGAATTCAAACTTCACCCCATCGCACAAGCAAGTGGCTATCAGGACTCAGTGGCCGAGTGGATAACACGATGGCGTTTGAAGCGAGTGTACTGGGTTCGAGTCCCAGAGTGAACATCAACTCTGAGATGCAGGTACATCCAGCTGACGAGTCCCAAATAGGACGAAACGTGCGTCCTGGATTCCACTGCTAGCCACTATCCATCTCTGCTTATCTTGATATTTGTATTCAAAATTCTAACCTTGGTGTTGGTTGACAATTGTTTTGAGTTCCAGATGTTTTTCAGTTGTAAATATGCTGCTCTTGCTTTGTTGATCCGCGCCCACCACCACCGTGTTCATCAATGATGCTGCCCAGATATGTTAGTGTTTCCATGACGACCTTTAAGCAATGCCATATAAACTTTGAGAGTACCACCTCTTAACGACAGTAAAATGAGGGTTTTTAAATTGTGTAAGGAATTATGATCAGGATTTAAAGCTGGACATTAGGGTTAGAAGTTAGATTTAGGATTTTTATCAGCAAAACTATGAAGAAACATAGAAACAAGCTGTGAATCACATGTGGAGAAATTCAAACACTTCACTTCTACTTGAAGTTTGTGCTGATGATGTCGTTCAGAAGGACGATGAAAGCTCCACGACCAAACCATCCAGCTCAGAGAACAAAACTCCATCAAAATTACCCACCTGAGCTACAAATCTTCTCCACCATATCAGCTGTGATGTTAAAATGTTATTTAGTCAATATGGTTGAATGAATTTCGCTCCAAAATTTAAGACATTTCTTCTTTACTTGATTCGTCCATAAATCATAGTCTTGCCAATCTTAGTTTATTATTTATCCATTATTGACAGTTTCCTTTGTTCTTAGACACTTTACCTTAATCCTCTATAAATGCTATTTTGCATTTTATGATGTGATGCGGTATGATCTACTTGTATGTAAACAACGGATATCCGTAATAAATGATCTTGAACTTGTGATCAGTAGCCTTGTGTTCTTCCTCTTTGTTCGGAGATAGTTCATATTAGGTCAACCGTCAAGTGTTTAACATCAGTCTTTTGATCCGTGTTGCGTATTTTTGCTTAAGGTCGTCTATCCGTATTAGTCGGTGCTAGGATATAACAAAATTCAACTAGACTTTACTGTTAGCATCAATGATTTAGCTTGACATTGTGAAGATTTCATATTATGTTTGACAGTAAGTTTAGTGGTAAACTGATAATGGTTGAAAAATTTTGAAATTCTAAAAACATTGAACAATTGTTTCATTCAAGTTCAGGGAATCCAGTAGAAAATGATCGTTTGAAGAGCATGCCCAACGAGTTTATAATTATTCTGTGACATTATATGATGAATACTTCAAGACCTGCCGTCCTTATATTTGACAATATATAATATTATAGGTCGGCATTAAAGGAAGAAGAAACAGCTGTTCACTGTTCCTGTCTTCTCGATCATTCTCGAGGTACGATTTGTAGTTCATGATATGAATCAACTTCAGCTGGAGAGCTAGTTTCTGTCAATTAGCAACAATGTGGAAGCTAAAAGTGTGAATTGAAAATGTTGGCAATACTAATCAGGTTTTATATACTTTAGATCATGAGAAAATTGAAGCTAGACCACCATGAAAAACCTGGGAGCACTGGACAGCCGTTTCGTCCTATTGTGGGGCTCCTCAGCAGTGCGCATCCACAGGGGTCTAGCTTCAATCGACTCATGATCTCAACAATATAAAATTACTAAAATCTCCACAAAACTCCTTTCTGATAACACTAATCAAGGTTGAAAGTTAAGTAATTAGAAATCTGCTCCGAAAGGATGAATACAATCGAGTTATCACTGATTAGTGTCCAATGTCATGTTTATTTAGTCTTCTAGCGTTGATCGAATTGGATTTCAGTTGCTATCAAAATACCTTGGAGGTTAAATGATTCACGAGCATCACTTTCCTTAAGACTGACGGTTGGACTAGCTAGAAGGTCCAAACTAGAGTGAAAGTTCAAGTTGAGAGTTTCATACTCACAACCACCTAACAATGTTTTCGAAAAGACTTGAAACAACATTTGAAATTCAACGAATTAATACCAGCCGATTATTCACCTTCATTTAGCTTTCTTTCAAGTGAAGCTTGTACTAGCCAACATAAATAATTTATATTTAAATTCCAAGAATCATCGTATAAATACACATACCAGTTAATGATTTATTTTCTATGTGATTCAAATACATAAAAGATATTCATCCATTTAACAAATGACAAACATACTTTATTTCAGACATCAGTTTAGTTTCCTAAATATGAAGAAAGAATAAAGACAACTGAAAGTTACTAAAGAATGATGATGAATGTTTTAATTCACTATAGATAACTATAAACTCATTCTTTATAGTGTATTAAAACATAGGCTATACGTTGATGACATCATAATTATAGGGGATAAATGTAAAGACGAGAACCGATTGTTAAAAGAACTCAATACAAGTCAGAAGCATATTTCTCATACGTGCGAAGAAAAGAAGAACAACCAACTTCCTTTTCTAGATATACTGATCAGTAGGAGAGAAGATGGTTCCATCCAACGTTCTATATATAGAAAGCTGACATGGACAGGTTCAATATCTTAATTACCATAGTGACTGCCCAATTCATTACAAATGTGGTTTAATAAAGGGCTTATTCAATAGAATCAATCGTATTTGTACTAGAGATACTATTGAAGTAGACACGAAGCTCTAAACTGATACTTTAATGAATAATGTATATTCATTAGACTTTATCAGTTTCTGGAAGGGTTGCAATACGGTTAGACCTATTGTAGTGAACAGAACACTGGTTGGGGACAATCGAATGTACTTTAGCAAAAATTACAGACTATCTCAGTAAATTCTAAAAACCATACAATGGACAATTAATTTGCAAATTAACAACCAATAGTCTCAATCTTCACTGTTTCTTCTCTAATTCCATTGTTCGTGCATTTTCCTACCGATTGCGCTTCGTTTCAGTTCTTTCCTCATCGGTCTTCTGCCAAAATACGTTCTATGTCTGACCAACACCATATACTACTTATATGGATATAAGTAGACCACACCACACTCGTTCCCCTTTTACAGCATTCGTTCATGCGGTGGTTCTGCTCGCCATGTCACTTTCTTCTTTCACTGCAATCTGTGCCAAACTCTCCGTCAGAATGTCGAGTCTGCGGCGCGCTGACCTCCATAGCTCCGTCGACCTACCGGGGCACCAACATCCGCATCCACCCGGCACCTGGGACATTCAACATCCGTACTCCACCGGCCTGATGAGCCATCTACATCCGATGTCCGCCCAAGAACCGCACGTACCACTGCTCCTCTCCGTCGACAGCACCCGCTCCAGCCAACGCCGCTCCGCCAGAACACTCCACTCGACGCCAACTCTCCTCACCAGACTGCCCCAACTAGCACCTCAGCTCCTGACCAACACCATATACTACTTATATGGATATAAGTGGACCACACCACTATTACTCTTCTGATACCCAAAAAGCGAGTTTATATTACGTTACCATTTAGGAGTGACTCAAACAGTCTCATGGTGAAACGGAGACTGAAATTAGCCATAAACAAGACATTTTTTGCAGCTCAACTTGTCATCATTGAAAAGACAAGATCAATGTTTCACCAAAAGCGATTGCGTCACATCCCATTATGTATATCACTTTACATGTATGTAAAGAAACACGTACATAGGGAGGAGCAATAGTGGTCTGCAATTAAGGGTGGCGGAACACATACCTAAATGGCTGCAGAACCAAATAAATTCCAATGGTCAAATAAGATCACAGGATAGACAAACATCTTCCTCCATTGCGAAACATTTGGTTGAAATTAGTCATAAGGTTGACATTAAGTTAGCGTTTGTAGTGTTGTACAAAAGCCTTCAAGGATGTATACTAAGGTTTATTGAAGCCTTGGCTATACGGAAATTGAAACCCCCTTTATTTGTTCAAAAACAATTTGTTCTTACCCTTAACCTACCCTGGTAATGGTGATTTAATATCCAGAGAAGTTATCACATTGTTTTTGTGTACTTTATATATTTTCTTCCTTTGTAACGGCTTACCTTAAGCTGTCTAGTCAACCTTTTAATTTTCTTTTAAAAACGTCTTAACAAGTATATATGAGATCAGATTGCTCGAAATGTATTGCACAACATAATTCTGATAAACTTCGTCTTCTCATTGGATTATCGAAATAAGTTTCAACACATAACATGTTAATCATTACATCCAGAAAAACATGTCTAGTTTGTACATTGTATCCAATCCATTGAAAAAATACTAGTTACGATGCATTCCACAATTTTGCTACTTATTATTTGTTAAGTAGCTCAAGTTGCATGTAATCATTTACACTAAAAAGAATGATCAATTTTGAACATCTTATTTTATCAATATATCTTATGATCCGATCTGTTGATTCATTCATTTGCCTAGAGCTTGTACAATATCTCTTCCCATGAATAAAATGTGTTCTTCTGTCAAACCCTGTATTTCAACTCAACAAAGAAAAACATAAGGAGCTGCAGTTGCTTGGAGGAGGACATCTTGCCTACATTATGAACAGTATAAGTTTTTAAAAGTCAAAGGAGATTTTCCAATAAATCTGTCGCTTCTTCATACATCAAAGAAACAATTCTGAAGAAACCATTCTTAATCGCTGATTTTAGACGATTTAAACAAAAGATCTTTATTTGTAATTATAAAATTAGATTTTAAAATAGTGGGCGACAACACATATTTGCTTTATTCATTCACTTTAGTTGCATCAAATGAGCTATCACTTCACCAGGTCATCAGTTGAAAAATGTGAAAATCAAACTAACCAAAAAATATAACTTTGGAAGTGAATGTTAATCAGAAAAGTAATACTTTCACTTGAAAAACAGAAATTCTTTTCTTATATTACGCAAACTACTTAATAATTTCAAAGTAGTTCAAGATAGTTAAATGATTAAGTGCAATAGAACAGTTGCATTAAACTCACTGTAATCTGATACCACATTTTAATCAGTACAGAATTGAAATCATGTATATCTTCAAAATGTGAGCTTGTTCCACGTTTGGTTAAATGCTGACCACAATGAATAATTTTGATTAATATATTCAACAAAAGAACATAATATTCATCAACTGATGAAGACAAGTTTTTCATTTCCATTGATTGATACAAAAGTTTCATTGTGAAATCTAGCAAATTACTGATCAAATTTAGTGGCTTACTAAAAGTAGGAACAGAAAAAATAAAACAAACACACAACATTTGATACATAAAAATAAATAAATAAAAAACATTTCTTCATTACAGTTATGTGGTATAACTGAGAATTAGTTGCAACACCCTATATTCAATCAACTCCTTGTATTCACTCAGATTGAGTGTCAAAACTATCTTAAACTCCCTATTCTGTAAATTCTTTTTTCCGTCTTGAACTATTTTACCCTTACTTAACCTTTTCTAGTACCACTTTTACTGTTGCTACTCCTATTGTTGTGAATGAGAACAAAGGTGGGGACAACTGATTTTATTTCTATACAAAATTCCAGAGTCCCTTCATCAAATATGAAAACCAAACCTTTAATACTTCATTTGCACATCCTGCATCAAATCGTCGCACACTTCATCATCCCTTTATCGCAATAACAAATACTCTCTGTTAGCGTCATCTTCGATCCGATATTCTTAATCTTTTGCTGCAAGGTATTTCACTTCTGACTGGTGATATATACTACTTATGTCTGTGTACATAAGTAACATACACCACATTATTATTATGATAAATATTGTTATAAAACAGTTGAGCTGTTTTTCCAAGTCATATCATCAACATGTTTCTATTTCCAGAGATTATAATGAATGATCGAAACTAAAAAAACACTGATTTCCTAAATAATACGTACCTTATTAGATTCTGTAAAATTATTTGACCAGTTTTATGAGATAAGATGTTCTGGAAGACTTCCACAAATATTTCAAATTTATGCAAATCCATTAATTCTATTTTCATTGTATCCTGTGAAAGGGGGAAAATTATTCAGAACACTAGAAATTTAATTAAAACAATCATCAAAGCCACTTGTGCATAATTTTTTTTATATGAAATGCATGAGTTTCGACTTGTGTACTTAATGTATGTAGGTTGTGTGCAAAGAGAACATGCCAGGCTGCCTCCACTTGAATGAGCTAGGAGTAGACAGTATGGCCTATTAAAACACTGAGCATTGATTATCTGTCCCTCTAAGAGTGCTGGTACATTTGTGCATTAGATGTAACAAATATGACTGAGGGAAGAGATGATCAACAACCCTTACAACTAGGCGAGCATGCGTACGTATATGCGGGGATTCATAAAAGTAAATCTTTGTTAATAGTGTGCCTATAACGTATACTAATCCTATGTGAATACGACACCCAAGCACTGCACCAGGGGATTTAACGATTTCTCGATGAAAAAATACACATATGATGCATATATGTCCCTAGAAATTTGACAGCATTCCTGCCAGAAGAGCTATTCAGGTTCTCCAACAAGGTTGGATTGACCTTATGGCTTTTACACCCCAAGATGTAATAAAATGTAATTGAAGAAATGAAAAAGATTAACCTGTAATATTTAGACTGTTTTACCCCACTTGAAACAGGTAGGTAACACAACGATATAGCTGAACTAGCCTACAGTAACTGATCATGCCATATAATTATGATCAGATTTCTTGTATTATCTGTGGACCACGTTATGGTTTTCTTTCTGAACGAAATTCGATGAAATCGCAACCACTAAATTTTTAAATCTTTAAGTTGTTGATATCCTTGACTGAATTTTTGTAAACCTTAGATGGCATTTGTGCATCCTGTGTAAATTACCACAATATAACCAATTTGTTCCACGTTTATAGAAAATACAGACTGCCGCTTACCCTCATTAATTATAGTATACACAAGAAATCTAATGAACGAATTGGTGGCTATCTGAATACATTTGCGCTGTAGATGACATAGTGTTTGAAGAGAAAGGTACTGGGTCAGACTTTCAATGTAAACATCAAAACTAGGATCTAAGAATGTCCAGTCAACCAGTTGCAAATAGGACGAACCTACGTCCTAGACTTTATTACCGAACATACTCTATCTGCTCTCTAAAACCCAGCAACCTTTTAAAACAAGATTGGGTGACTGATTTGCGAATTCTCAACAATAATACATCGTTTCAAACCAATTGTTGATTCATAGAACTGTTGTTCGTTGATACCTCTAGATGGCATACAATCCTTTGATTTATGCAACTTTTACTTCATCAAGTGGCATCTTAACTATTTGACAAGTTCAATGGTTGAGTTCATGAGTCAATTAAAGCTAGACCACCATGGAAAACCTAGAACCACTGGATAGCCAATTCTTCTTAGTGTCGGACTCCTCATCAGTGGGCATCCACTATTTCGCCTCACGGAATTCGAACCCAGGACCTATCGGTCTCGCGCTCGAACGCTTAACCCCTAGACCAATGAACCGACTGGCATCCAACAGTGTTAATGTTTAACTTCAAAAAGTACAGTCCAATCGGTTCTGTTGTGAGATAGTAACTCACTGAAGACAATGGTAGATGTGTCGCTCAATTTCATAGATTAGTTGAAGTTAGACATTAACACTGTTGGAAGAACTGACTATCCAGTGCTTCCAGGTTTTCTATGGTGGTCTACCTTCAGTTGACTCATAATCTCAACTATTAAAATTGATAATCATTGATTGTGAAAATGATTACCTTATTCAGGCTAAATTCTATTAGATACTTTATCAATAGTGATATAAATGATGAAGAATCTCCTTTGGAATTAAGTAAATTGATGTAATCATCTTCTTCCACAGTTGTAGACGATGATGAAGACTGTAGACATAGTGGTTGTTGAACATGGATAATATTGAAATTAGATAAATTGCTTTTATTTGACAAATTATCACTTGTAAAACAATTTCTAGAAACTGCTTCATATAAAGTTAATTTAGTTAAACAATTTTTGATTACCATAAAAGGATGATAAGCTGAAAGAAAGTTACGGAAGTAGTTATACATCAATTAAATCTACGTAATAAAACAAGAACTAATTCATGAGTAGATCTTAGCTAGATAATCACTGAAAATCTTGTAACACTGGATGGTCATTTAGTCTCAGTATGGGATTCCTCAGCAATGCGCATCCACGATCCCACACACAGGACTCAAACTCAAGATCTTCAGTCTCATGAATTTAACTTTGAAACATACTTCAATCTAAACAAACCCATATTCTGAAGAAACTTTTCCACCACTCACTTCGATAAGATGCTACTACAATGTATGATCTAAATAGAATTATATCATTTATGCATTTTGATTAAATAAAGGAATTTTTAATATGGGATCAATTTCTGAACACAAACCAACAGTTTATGTTTCTCTATGACAAACACTGACATTACACCTGTCCATACTAATAGAATTGAATGCTACCTTAGGGTTAAGAAATATCACTATTATCGAGAGTCGGCAAATAAATATTCCTGTGATCTAAAGTCTGATGAAGAGTGAACATTCGATCAATACATTCATATTAAGGTCTGAAACCAGCCCGGTATCCAATAATTTGCTGGTTATGAACCCTAGATAAATGTTCAAGGGTTATTGAAGCTAATATTTCAAACAGTATAAGGCGATTCTAGCTCCTTTTTATGAACTGAGATGATGAAATGGTGCAAGAAACTGTTTTAATAACTACATGATATTATTCCAGGAATTTACATGATGCAAATGTAAACATCCTATAGTGCTTCTTAATCTAATAATGATCAATTGAAGTAAAACTAGTATAGCGAAGAACCTGAGCGACCTATCAATTGATCAGATAGTAATATGTTGACGAAGCGATTTCTAATAAAAAATAATAAAATTATGATGAACAAGTAGTTCCAACATGATACATTATGCAATAAAAGTTAGGGCTAAGGATTAGGACTTCGCCTAGAGTCGAGAGATACAAATAAGCTTTAGGAATGTTAAAGGTAAGAAGTTAGATTTAAGAGTGATATGGTCAAATTCATTTTTGTATTGGTTGTTTCAATCTTCGCATTGATGTTTAGGATTGTAGTTGATCAATCTCTTATTGGCTTATGTGCATACTGTATGGATTGCCTCGACACTGTCTTAAGTCACATCCAGGTACACTCAGCTGACGAGCTCCATAGTAGGATGAAACTCGTCCGGGATTACACTGCTGACCACCACCCATCTCAGCTTATAATGTTAGATTTAAATATTAGATTTGTGAGCGTTAATGTTAAGTGGTAAGGTTAGGATGTAGAGAATACTTTTCAATCACAAAAACACTCTTGATCGTTTTTTTGATTGAATCATACACGGTCAAATAAAATCTGTATAAGAAGCATGTATTTATGGTAACTTAACTTTGACACTATGTTAAATTCGTTGTGTAGTTGCATAAAAAAAAGTTATCTTTAACACTTTTAAGAACCTAACAAATCAATTATAGGCATGTTTCACTACGTTCCTTCATGAGATACATGCTATTCTTCATTGGGTTTTGAATATTGAGCAAAATATTATGGTCTCTACCTCGAACCTGACTGATCACCTGAAGGTCATCACTATAATATGGCTTCTCACTTAGTTATTACACATATACTATGCATCATTTTACAAATGTATCAATTATATATTAAATAAAATGATAGTAATTCACGATATTTTATCCATAAAGAAAGAATTTAAATCTTTAAACCAATGTACCAAGAGGGGTGTTTGTGGAGACTTTTAGTAATTTTTTATATATAGTTGAAATCATTAGTCACTTGAAGTTAAACCAACATGTAAAATGTGGAAGCACTGGACAGCCGTTTCGTCCCATCGTGGGACTTCTCAGTAGTGCGCATCCACGATTCCGCCCCACGGGATTCGAACCCAGCACCTACCAGTCTCTCGCGCGAGCACTTAACCGATAAACCACTGAGCCGACATACAACGGTGTTAATGCCTAACTTCAACCAATCCACAAAATTGAGCAACCATTTCACTAATGTCTTTAGTGAGTTGATATCTCCCAACAGACCTGGTAGAACTCCATTGGTTACTGCTTCTCACTCATGGAGCCTCATGGACGAAACGTCCAGTGCTTCCAGGTTTTCCATGGTGGTCTAGCTTCAACTGACTCATGATTTCAACTATATATAATGTATCAAGAATAATAAACTTACTTTGATGGATTTCTTCTACAGCGAATATGGTTCTGTGCAAAAATTGTAACATTGTACACAAAAATAAATTGACCGTGATTGGTTGATTTACTATAAAAAATGAAAAAGATCCAAACTTTATGATGAATGCGAAAGAATATAATGTCTGTGTACATGTTAAAATCGTTTATTTAGCAAGGTTTTCTTCTATAGGAAATATGAGACAAATATATGAGCCCACGATAGAATAGGTTGGCTGTCGATGCTCCACTATGGGTAACAAGCATAATCAGTGGTAGTAATAGTACTTGTTAAACTTTTTGTTCCATGTTCTGAGGCAGATCAGGTGGATCATTTACCATTACACCACAGACTATCGGGCCATTACAATTCACATACGCAGCTCCTCACATGATAATAACAATTCATCAGCCAAACACCTGAATTAAGTAACAAACTGACTAGATTCAAACATGATAGAAGTGTCATAACGCGACAAGTAGTGGAAAAGTATTTCTATATTCTTATTATTACGAGCTTTCAGCAGACTTATTAACTACTGTTATGCGTTTTACTATTCCTTACGTATCACTAATTATCTATGTTCTCTTTGCTTTGCTTTCTACCACTTATGGTATGATTATGTTTAAACTATGATTTTTCTAGAAAATTAGTCGATTATCCGAATTATGAAACTCCTCCTGTAGCTCTTCTAGAGTTACTGCCAGTCCCAAGCCCAGGTAAAGGAGGAGGGTTGGGCATGGAGTTAGCGACTCTATCCCGTAGAAAACTAACTCGCTAAAAAAACGCTAACCGGAAAATCAAAATTATAAATTTTCACTTAAAACTTCAACTGTCATGTAAATTATTCTGATGTGGAACAAGAAAGGTAATATCGAATGTGTACAAAATGATTAGAACATTTTAACCTGAATCCTAGAAGGTAAAATCAAAACCAAAAAAACTTTTTTTTTGGCAGTCTTACAATTTTTAGCTAAATGCATTAAATCGATGAATTATAGTTAGACAGTGTTGAATGTATCTGAAATAGATTCCCTATGAACTGTGTTTAAACAAATACACTAACTGATCAACTGTAATGACATTAAATAAATGGATCTATATCCTTGTTCTAGATTTTTAGTGGCCCATGATCTAACTCCAGTGAGATTAGACAAATGAGTAGTATTGAAATATATATCCTGACTATTCTCATATATAATTATCGAATTAATCTGCGTTAGTGAATAACGCTATCAAATATGTCGAATACGAGAATGGATTTTTTGAATATATATATTTTGTATAATCACTGAACTGGACAGGAAATCAGAGGGATGAAGCGAATAGAAGAGAGTGAAGCGAAATGATGAGCGGTAGTGGTGTGTGAGCCAACTCTCATTTGATTAATCGTTAATCAATATTTATAGTCACACAAAAGTAAGTTACAGACATATGATGAATAGGTGAAGAAGTGCACACACATACACTCATATAGAAACAGTCAGGGTTGATAAGTTAATACTTAACAAAGTCAAAACACGACTCAAGAAGAATGGATTAATTAGTCTATCCAGAAGCTAGAATAAGGTATATGTGCTCACCATAGCAACCGACACTACAGATAATATGATAGGTGGTATTCATTGTAACATATATTTACAATCATAGAACTAATGCACAGTATAGCATAACTGACTTTAGATCATGGATAACATTAAAACATGAAAAAAGGGAAAGAAAAAGCTTCATACAATACAAATCCTTACCATTTATCAATGTTATTGTCTTTGATTGTTTTAATTTAAGCGGGAATAAATTTCTTCCATGTGAAAAGCATAGAACACGGCATATTATATGGATAGCATGAAGGAATGATGTATAGATTAATTCTTTATAAGTATAATAGTATTTATTATTTGGATCATTTGTACACGCTTGATATTTCACTAAGAGAGAGAACAGTAAGAACAGTAAGTGAAAATTTCTAATAATGTCCAAGATTTACTAATCCAACGAGTAGTATCATTAAGATAATTAGCATAAGGAGTGTTCGTAGAAGAATTAGAATTAGTAGAGTAGGTATTATGAGTAGTGTGAGTGATATATATGCAGTATTGTTCGTACAACAACTATAAGTTGTTTCGTTATTGACTAGTATCAGAAGCATAAGTAGCAATTGTATTGTAAATTGTATGTCGTATAGGTAGCATAGGTATTTTGAGTAGTATGAGAAGCACTAACATCATGTGTAGTATCAGTTTCATAAGTGGTATAAGTAGCATATGTACTGTGGGTAGTAGTAATAATACCACAAGTAGAATAAGTTGTATTAGTATTAAAAGTAGCTTCAGTAGTATGGGTGGGTATTATCATTAGACAAGTAACATTGGTAGTATTCGTAGCAGAAGTAGAATTAGCAGTGCAAGTACTATGAGTAGTATGAGTAATATATGCAGCACTGTTAGTACAAGAAGTATAGGTCGTTTCGCGAATGGACCGAGGTTAGAAATTTGAAACGATGAATGCCAATTCAATGATGTGAAGTTTATTGCATTGTTGAGAGGTTAAATCTCCTGTCTGATCCCTAGTTAAATTACAATGATGTACCGTTGAGAAGTTCCTAATCTATGACAGCATAGCATTTGAATGCTTGAATGATTTTCAATAATTGTTTGATTAGGATGTAGTGAACAATGACTTGGTGGGGATAAACAATTTATTGTTTAATGTAAATTTATAGAGTGCCTTTGTAAAATATGAAAACCATACGTTAAATACATAAGTTGCACATCTTTCATCAGATGTCCTGCTTCATAATTCTTTCAGTTCTGTTGTTAATACAACTCTTTTCTATTTCCCTTTCTGTTCTTTTTAATCTTCTACTGGCATGCATTCCACTTCTGATTGGTATTACATTCTACTTATATTTGTTTAACGTAAGTAGGGGTAAGATCAACAGTTTAACTTACTATTCAATCACTCTACATATGGTATTCTACCATAAAAAGGACTATTCATAAAGTTTAAACCTGATACCGCGCGTAATGCTGACTAATGTTGGAGACGGATAGAAGAAACTTAGGGGTGGTCAAACCCGAACGTGGCATCAGTCCATCAAGTCACTGACGTTTGGTCTGAGTCATGTTGATAGATGCAGACTACTTGATTGGGGTCCGTGCGACTATCGTAACCAATGGTTGAAGACTCTGGGTGACATTGCTCAGAATCGATCACAATGGCGTAGGTGTACACACTCGTTATCTTCCCTTAAACCATGAGATTAAAATTACTTTATACCTTCTTACCTTCGAAGTAATTGCTCCTATGAATTTGATGTTCATCATGTTGTGCTAATGAGGTATGGTAACTTGGATCGATACATATATATGCTTGGTCTTACGTTGTAGCTGACTGATACCGTAACAATTAAGGTAATCCTACATTTCTCTATTAAACACTTACCAAATCCATCGAAGAAGTATGGTAGCTTTCTTTCAACTATATGAACTTTTATACTAAATGTCAATCACATTAGAAAAAACACACATAATTAGTGAATGATCAATAAAGTAACAGAAACGTTCTTATAGTTACATCACTTACATGAAACTACATTGTTAGCATTATTTTTATTCATATAAATTAGACATATTAAGACACTAAATTCAAACTGAAAAATAAAGCATACAGAAAATAATAAATTTGAGTATTAATGGTTAACAGTAATTTCAAGAAAACTGAGGGAATTGTTATATCTCGAACTTAGACTCTTAGTATGTCACGTATAACTTGAGCACGTGAACGCTAGAACCCCCCCCCCTGAGACAGAAGACTAGTGGAAGGAATGTATTTCCAAACACAATGTCAATTATGGTACAAACCTGTCAGGTATTTATAGTTTTTAGTAGAAACAAAATCATCAATATAGTTTCCAATCCGCACATAGGGGATTATTAGCATTGTTCAATAGGGAAGCTACACGTAATGATTCTGGAATATTCTTCCAAGAGCTGATTGGATGGAATATGTTTGAATCCTTCTGAGCTTCATAGAGCTTCCTCAACTTCACCTGTGGATCGTCTTCACAGGAAAATCAATAGGCAACAACTAAAAAACATCTTCATCACTACTGTTAAAGAAGTGTGTGTAGTCGGTTACTAGTTCCCATCTTCTCATATCGTGAGAAGATACTTTTTTCTTGAAGGATATGAGAAGGAAACCGAAATGATACTGGTCTAGACGATCGTATTACACAAGGCATAACTGTTTGACCCCAGTCATTCATGATCTTTATTTCTAAAGGTTTTTAATGATTTAACGTTATTAGTTCAAAGATCCTACACAGTCAGGAATTCAAATCTCTAGAATAAACTGAAGTGTCCTATTTATTTTCTATAGAGTGAAACAATTTTTCATAAACGAATTGATTAAATTTTCATTACAATCAATAAAATTTATCATTGAACTTACTAATTCATAGTTATTCTTTAATTGAACAATCAAGGCATTACAACAATAGGTTCCATGCTATAAAGAAAAGACAGATTAATAGAGACGTTATATACCATTAAAAAGGTTACTATTAGATAAATTTAATTTCTGATCCTGACTACATGTATAACACAAGCTGTTATAACGTGTAGCGGAGTCAATGCATTATTAACGTATGACGTGATAAGACCGCCAATCATAGAGCAGCGGTTGGACCAATGACACACGAAAACAGTACGAGCAGTCTAGATTACTTATCGGTCCTGTTTTCTGTCTAGCCTAGCCAATGGAGTCCTGAATAGCCTCTGCGATATGAATCATTTATTTCAAACATACAGGGTTTATATACTAAACAAACAGTCCACATCGTACCAATAAAATAGCAAATAACATTTGTACAAGATTCAGCCAAATGTGGTTGTGAATAAGAGAGATAGTAAATAATAGACAGGGCATAATTCAGGAATGGTAAATTATATAACAATAGTTTATAGTTCAAAATAAAGCTTATAATAAGAGGGACACGAATATGAATAGTTTAGTTATTCAGGGATTAAACGATAAAAAATATATGCATAGTATTGGTCCGAAATTACCATTCACTATTGTTATCGGGACATAACACAAGCAGACTCTTCTATGTCCAATTTTGCTTTCAAATCAGTTTAACTGGAATTATAGTGACAGTGTAACTTGATACCTTATCTTAATTTTATGAATTCAATACTAATTAAATGCAGAAGAAGAAAAGTGATATGATTTCTCCTAATTGAATGCTTTTCTTATTCTATAGGCCAAAAAACAGTGATATTTACGATGAATTAAAAACATAATGAGTAACAGCATTAGGACGAACAGGTCTAATAATGAGGGAAATATTGATTCATGAGTCAATGTAAGTTAGACCACCATTGAAAACCTGAAAACACTGAACAATCGTTTCGTCTTAGTGTGGGACTCCTCAGAAATGCGTATCCACGATTCCGAATGCGGTACACGAATCCAGGACCTGTAAGTCTCGCGCGCGAACGCTTAACTTCAAACTCAATGAGTCTAGTGCTTCCGGCTTCTCCTTTAGTACGCCATTTTGCAACGTTTTTCAAGAACATTTTTTTATTGTATTTATACTCATGAGTTGTGTGCTTGTTCTTTCGTTCTTCCAGGCTATATATATTCTCTATATATATATATATATTCTCTCTGTTGAATCTGGTCTTCTTCCTTTAGTTAGCAAGATTGGAGCACATCGGAATAGTCTAGCTTGTCCTATTATTGTGTAGCGGACTTTCGTTCCGTTCGCCAGTCTTAGGTGATATTATAATCCCTCAAACATAGTACATATAACCCTTTTCTTAATTTTTCATCAAATTCACTGCCAACAACTGTGAAGTCACCAAGAAATAATTTATAATACACTTTATAGCTGCATGAATGATGGATGAAACAATCTATTTGAGCTACGGCAAATAAAGTTAAAATCAGGATATCGATCATAAACCAACAGAAATCTACAAATTCTTACAAAAACCTCTACATTCATTAAAAATTAATTATTTTTCTAAAAATAACAATCTTGATTTACCAGTACTATTCGTCTGCTAGGTAAAATTGTGGCTTTAAACGCGGTTATTTGTAATGTAGCTGAAGACGGTTGCCACTTATTTTGTATGTTTAACAACTTTAGATCATGTTCGTCACAGACTTATGTTAACGTTGGAACTATTGACTAACAAGGAACATTGTACAGCTGTCTTGTTTTAGTACAAGACTCCTAATCACTGTATACGCATAATCCCTCCAGGGGTCAAAACCGCGAATTTTAGTTATCATTGTGTGAGTTTAACCAACAGAACCGTTGGGTCAGCATCATGTAGCACAATTTTAACATCAATCAATTAGTGATACAGACTAACAATCATTCAATGCCATTACTGTGTATTAATTATGTAACTTACAGAAGATTGTATAAACCATTTAGCTTCACAATCCACAAGACTAAATAAATGAAATGGAGTTAAACGAAGTTGATGATAGTTTTGTTCATGATTAAATTGTTCACAACCAATAGATAAAATATTCAAACATTTTCCAATAATTTCGTTAACGAATCTAAAAAAAAATTAATTTTTCAAAAAACAGTTTTCATCATTTCAAGTTGTAAACTGGATCACGAAGAAGTACTGTGTAAAGAGGAAGTACTCAAAGTTATATTTCACTAAACAATCAATTTGTACTAATTTGACACTTATTAACAGTAAGCACAGACCTTGAAGGTCTTGTCATGTGTATGGGATGTAATTGAGTTAACAGCCTTTTAAAACTTATCAAAGCTGAACATTCATAAGAGGCTAGATGAATCTATACATAATATGTGACTATGTTCATTTGCATTATCAAGCCCAAGCCTTAATTGTCAGATCAGTAACAAGGTACATTATTGGATGAAGCCAATTTTGCACCTAGTCAAGGTTTAGTCCATATATCTCAGTTATGTGAATAGATCTGTACATACCAGTGATCTGCAAACACATTACAACTTCTTAATATTTTTTAATCTTTTCACCCTCATAGCAGATTTGCTAGCGTGTAGAAAACATGTTCATATTCATATAGATTAAACGACACCTGAATGTAGCAGTTCAACAGTCAAAACAGAATTGCAGCATTAGGACAATCAGGTCTAGTGATGAGGAAAATATTGGTTCAATAATGAATTTGTATTGAATTGAGTTTTGACAAGATTTGTTTATCAAGTGACCAAACGTGATTACCATCAAATATCATTGGTCAATAATTACTTCACTCCTGACTTCAACAACCTTGCCGATAATAACTTTTTGTCATAGAACTAAAGGATATACATTGTGAAACAACTAAGTAAATTGTTAGTGTACTTTAGACAATTTGTTAAAATTACAATTTTGTTATGATAATGTAACTTAGATTGCGTAAGAACATATTTGCGGAATTATGTGCAAGTCATAAGTTTTTGTATAAAAGATATTGATATCACCCGATTTCCCAAACTGAAGTGTGTGGACCAGAATTTGAACCCATTAGACAGTGATCAGAAAATAAATTAGCTCGACTACTAGATAGCTGATTCTTATACTTGTATGAAAAAGAAAGAGATTCATTCTCAAGTGTCGTCTAAACACATAATTAGAGATCAAAATTTATAGATTGCAGAGGTTGTTGGGATGATCCTGAAAATTTCTCGCAATAGACATGACAAGCTCAGGAAACATTAAGAAGCTTTTTATCCAATCAAAGTTCACTAGAAGTTTTGCCAGAGACATCACGAAAGTGAAAAGTCACATGTAAAGTTTCTGATTGACTGATTACTATATTGCTACAATGTTTAGTAGCATTACAGAATTTTCAGGAAAACCCAAGGACTTCTAAAATACTATAAAAACCCTATATTTTCTATACATAAATGAACCTTTGGAGTAAAGTGCTTCTCGTATGTTTTGCGCCTTTTCTCTCGCGTTCAAGTTGCTACGTATTTCCAGCTTGGGAGTTACGAAACTAGCTTAGGATACGAGTATAGCGTTCAATCAGCAAGAGTTATCACGTAATCTAACTTTAGTTTTAAATCATGGACTGATGTAAGTCAAACAAATGTTGAAATAAAGTTACTCAAGGATTTCGCTTTCTTATAGTTTAAATATTTGCCAATGTGTACGCTGTATTCGTCAAGGATTGATCTCAGTTGTAGTTTTAATTGGTACCGGGAAGAACTGAACATCCGTTTTGTTCTAGTATAAAACTCCAAAGATTTACACAACCACAACCTCACAAGGTATCGAACCCAGAGCCTTCACGACTCATAACGAACGTGATATCGTTAGATCATATTGCAAACTGATTAAAAACAAAAATTTAAACTCGTTACATGATGGTCAAATTCCAACTATAAGACCTGAACGTCACAGATCCAATTCTCATTTGGGATCTTGAACACATGTTATTTAAGAATCCTACATTAAAGTGAAACAATTGTCAAGTGTTTCATGGTTTCCAAAGATTCTCCAGCTAAAATCAACTCATGATGTTAAACTATAAAAAAATATTGAAACGTTTTCTAAAAATGAAAAAAAACACATTTACTCTACATTAAATATATAATAATATATACCAGCTTACTGTTCCGAATAACGAATCCAATAAAAAGGGATTGTTTGATGAAATTTATTCATTAAATAACACTAGGATACAAAAAATGAGAAATATTTATCAAATTTAAAAAAGATTATTACTAGTTATGACAACTATTGTGAGATAACAAAAATTTTAATATTTCAACTTTATATGATACCAATTTGCTTTAAAATGTATCAGAAGGGGTTTTGTGGAGATTTCAGTAATTTTCATAATTGAAATCATGAGTCAATTGAAGCTAGACCATCATGGAAAACCTGGAAATTAAAGTTATACATTAACACCGTTGGATACCTGCTCAGTGGTCTATCGATTAAGTGCTCTGGCGCGAAACTGGTAGGTCCTAGGTTCGAATCTCGCGAAACGGGAACGTGGATGCGCACTGCTGCTGTCCAGTGCTTCCAGGTTTTCCATGGTGGTCTAGCTTCAACTGACTCATGATTTCAACTATTAAAATGTATAATCAATACGATGAATTATATCCTTTTGAAATTCTATTTTTATCAGATATGGGATGAAATTTTTGTGACGTAAAGTGTCTAAAATCTGATACTGATACATGGTATGCTATGCCTCAAACCTCCAACTGACTACTTAGGCGAGAGCACAAGAGTGAGCGAGAAAGTGTAATAGACTACCGAATCAAATACTCATTAATATAGATACTACTCTATCCTTCGGAAATTGACCAATTGACTGCATTACTGTATTACTCATGAGTAACTTATTTAGACTATATACTCATTTTTCACCAGGTAATCATTGACTAGCTGTTTTTCTATTTGTTAATACATATGGGAAAGATCAATTTGTACTTGCCTTTTACAAAGAGTAGAATGTTGTAATTATTGTCATAGTTATCATTTTGAATTTGGGTTCTTTATGTAAGCCAATTATTATTTGTTGTAAAAACATTCATATTATTTATGGGGTAGCGTTAAAATATACGAAAGATAGCTACTACCATAATTATCTACTGCCTTAATTGAAAATCTTAAATATTGAAATCGTGTCTTTCATACTGTCCTCCTTGTCTAATACTTTCTGACAACTTCGCTTAATCAAAGCCAGAAGTACAATAGCTTGGTCCCTAAAGAATCAGAACAATAACGTACAGAAATGAAAACACTAAAGATAACATGAAAAACTTTCAGTATCTTTTAGACTCATTCTTTAAAATGGATTAGTAAAAATAGACAAGTCAATGTACATGAAGTTAGTCATGTACTAAGAATGTTATCGTTACGAATCTATCCCCCTAAAAATGTTTGGGTACGTAATAAACCACGAAAAGCATCAATCAGGGCTCGAACACCTCATTTGTAACATCATAAAAAGTGCAAGTAAATGACCCAAGTTCGAATCCACTATCAGCTCTCACAAAGTTAAAGAAGATACGCCTTTCCGATAAGCATCAACTAATAATGAAATCTAACCTCAGGGCATAGTTCCAATTGATTAACATCAACTGACACTAATAATAAACATTTGAAATAAGATGAAATGCTTAAGTATTCTCTCAGTTGTACTCTAGATCTGGTCAATTTTTCTAACTGTTCACTTCCTTACTTACGCCTGTTACTCCCAATGGAGCATAGGCCGCCGATCATCATTCTCCAACCCTCTCTGTCCTGGGCCTTCCTTCTAGTTCTATCCAGTTTTTGTTCATTCTGCTCATATCTGTTTCCATTTCTCGGCGTAATGTGTCTTGTGACGCAGTTGGGTGATTTCCTCAAAGTGTGTCCTATCCACTCACAGCGCTTCTTCCTGATTTCTTCCTCCGTTGAAATCTGGTTTGTTCTCTCCCACAGTAGGTTGTTGTTGATAGTGTCTGACCAAAGGATCCGAAGTATTTTGCGTAGACAACTGTTAATAAACACCTGTATCTTCTGGATGATGGCTTTCGTAGTTCTCCACGTCTCTGTCCCATAGAGTAGAACTGTCTTGACATTTGTATTGAAAATTCTGATCTTGGTGTCCGTTGAAGTTGTTTTGAGTTCCAGATGTTCTTCAGTTGTAAATATGCTGCTCTTGATTTGCCGATCCTCGCCCTTACATCTCCATCAGATAATCAATGATGCTACAACTGTACACTAAACTACTTTAATTCAATTTTGGTTAAATGTTCTTGTCCTCTTGAAATTGTAATCAAATATAATCAGGTAATAAATTCTTCCGAATTGTTAACAAATCCTACTTCTCATAAATAGACAAAATCTAGAACAAACATATTTACTACAATACAACTTACTGCTCTTAAAACTCTCTTGTTATGATTTTGTTGAAAATCAACACCGTCTTTCAGAAATGGGTAGTGATGAGCATTTTTAGTGAATTGTAGTTGAAGATATTCAACTAAAAAAAACATTAGAAAACACGGCATATTATTATAACACAGTGCAGTTTTAGTAGCTGAATTTATGAGTCCATGTAATTTAGATCGCCATTGAAAACCTGGAACCACTGGACGGTCGTTTTATCCTAGTATGAGACTCCTCAGCAACGCGCATCCGAGATCCCGCAAGCGCGGCTCGTACCCAGGACCTTCGACCTCGCGCGCGAGCGCTTAACCTGTATACCACAAACCCCCATTCTAATACCAATTCAGTTTGTTAGCTATTTTAAAGTAAACTATTTACACATATCATTCTATTACTCAATTAATGTTCGATAATGAGAATTGATAGACAGACAGTGTTTAATTGACCGCTTCGATCTAATAGTCACATAATTAGTTGAGTCGATAGAATGGAGTTAATCGTGACGGCTAATTATCCGCTTACATGTTATTTGAATATTCCTGAGTGAATTAGCGATTCTTATACAATATTTTAAGGAAATATCAAATACATTTTAGGGTTTCCACTTTTCTAAAGACAGTTTTTATCACCAACTGAAATCAGCCAGAAAGCAAGTGAAAACCAAGAAGCACTGAAATACTATTTAGGTCAGATTTGGTATTCTTCAGAAGTGAATTAATACGATCTCATACATAATTGAACTCAGAACTTTCCCTTATTGTAGTAAGCATGGTAATATTGAGCCAATTAGCCGTAATCTAATAGTCTAAAGTTAGCAGACTCTCAATATACTACAGATACAACCAGTGAAATGTGTCCCTCATTCTTGGTATAGTTACACTACAGCAGTTATTTCTTTACATTAAAACTTCAAGATCTTTTATGGGAGCCAACTGTAGTGATTTTGTTGATAGATCAGAGGGGGTTTTGTGGAGAATTTAGTACTTTCACAGTTGAAATCATGAGTCAATTGAAGCCAGACCACCATCGAAAACCTGGAAGCACTGGACGGCCGTTTCGTCCTATTATAGGACTCCTCAGCGGTGCGCATCCACGATCCCGCACTCGCGGGACTCGAACCCAGGACCTACCAGTATCAAGCCGAAGCCCTTAACCGATAGACCACTGGGCCGGCATCCAACGGTGTTAATGTCTAACTTCAACCAATCCACGATTTTGAGCGACCGTTCACCAATTGTCTTCAGTGAGCTGATATCTCTACAACAGACTTGGTAGAACTCCACTGGGCTTCGGCTTGATACTGGTAGGTCCTGGGTTCGAGTCTCGCGAGTGCGGGATCGTGGATGCGCACTGCTGAGGAGTCCCATAATAGGACGAAACGGCTGTCCAGTGCTTCCCGGTTTTCGATGGTGGTCTAGCTTCAATTGACTCATGATTTTGTTAATACATTATTATGTGAAGTAGAGAAAGTAAACTCAGCTTATTAACTAATAAACATAGGGTTAACTTTTATCTTACTGACTTCCATTACAGACCCACTGAGAGTAATCGCTTGTAATTGTGTGGAATAAAATTCTCTATCTTTAATTGCAAATCGTGTATTTGGTATAGCGTAGTCTAACATGTGAGTGGTGGATCGTCCGAGTATCTAATCTAGCGGTATTTTTTAACTCAGTTATCAATCTTATTATCGTAGTATAGTAATACCTCGTGCAAGAAAGAAAAAATATTTTAATTCATCCTTTCTTTCACTGCAGTGAACGAGAAGTCAGTGAGGAAAACTAATTTAGTACAAAATTACAAAGTTCTTTCGTAAAATGGGAACACTATACATCAAATACTTCATTTACAAATCCTCTATCAATTCTCTTAAGCTTTATTGTCCTTCATTGTTATTAAAATTACTCCCTGTTTACAATGCCGTTCTTTTTTATTCGATCTTCTCAAACTTCCGCTGCCAAGCATTCCACTTTTGATCGGTGTTACATAATACTTATGTCGGCAGACATTAATAGCATACATCACATCACTTTGTAACTCCACAGCTGCTATCATTTATTGCTGAATGATAGCTTTCAGTTGAACAATCACCACGAATCATCTGACTAAAACTTTGAAGCATTTGCACTATTATAATTACTCATATCATTAGTGTTATGAAAGCAAACTACTACGTAATATAAGTAGTGATATTTTGATTAATTTTGAAAATGAAAGGCAAGTGATCACTCAATTTATTACTAAAATATTGAACGAAGTAGTTCTACAAATCTGAAATACTACTTATTTACTTATTAGAATATACTAAAATCTAATACAAAAACAGCTGGTGCACATACAATAAGTGTAATCAATCTTAACATACAAACTAAACTTTCAACTTACTTAATAAACTGTAAGTTTCTCGAATATTTGGCGGAGTAGTTGAAAGTCCTTTGCTTATATACCGTAATGAAAGACTCTAAACAAAATGTGTTAAGAAAAAGAAAACCAATCATGATGTAATCAGTTTTTTTTCTATGAACAAAACTAAGATAAATAAAATGTGAGATGATATCATTTCAATGTTATAATCATGGTGATCCCGTTTTTATTGTGATTACTAGCCCCCCAAAATGCACTGCTACGGCCGAGGATGGAGAGAGTTAGCTCTCCCTCTCGAAATGCTCTCACATGGCCACGTGCAAACAACCAACGCCAGGGAAGTCCTACTCAATACCTTCTCGTGACAGGGGTGTTGTTTACGAAATTAAGAGGACAAAAAGCGAATGTCCGGCGCTCTAACCGGGTTGGCAGACACGCAGAGTCCACCTGAAGAAGTCGGAAAATTCTGATTCCAAACCAATGATGCACATGGGCTCCAGAATCCTGATGAAACAAAAGGCGTATGAACCTATTGTCGGTCACCGGCTATCATGGGACTGGATCTCCTAACGTTGCTCCACTGACTTGTGAATTAGACCTCTAGGTTAAAGACTCAGAGAGTGGTCCCCTAAGTAACCACCTGCTTCGGTATGGGCGCCCGACCCGTATTCCACCCCTCACACAAATCGTTTGATTTACATGGTACATATATATTTCGTGCCTCCTTGTACCTATGGTTATTTGTTTAAATAAATAAAATGACTATCTATTCTATTATAGATGACTGGAAGAAGCTAAGAAAAGTAATATATCACGTATATGATGATATATCTCCCGCCAGTAAAATATCTTACATTTGCTAGTCATTATGCTGCTAACGAAAAGAATTTGATATCATCTGAGAAAGAATGGGAAGAGAATAGGGAGCATTGGACAACTATTTAGCACGGGCATTTAACTCCTTACAAATGCACACTCGTGACTCCACCAGAGAAAAAAATCTCAGCACTTACTAACCTCATAACTAGAGATATATAACTATGAAGTTTAACTGCGTTCAATTAATCTATATGTAAGGCGACGAGTTATATCGCATTATGTCGAGAACTGATACAAGTTAAAATTATAGGCAACTGGATTCCAACTATATAGTCAAAGCGTACTGTACCAGCTGCTAAACTAGAAAACCATTGGTTTGGTTATATATCTGTAGGGTTATAAATATGATTTGTTGAAGAGTTCCATAATATTAAGAAAAGATATTTGTTCTGAATACCTTGAGTTTTTAGTTATCCCCCTATTCTTTGATAGTTGAAATCAATCAATGATGAAAAACTGACATAAAATTTAAACTAGTCTCCACAAATCTTTACTGATATTCTTAATTGGATTTTTAGCAGTCTTAGTTGGGATATATACACCCTGTCGAGATTACCTTAATAAAACAACTTTGTCTCAAATTTCATAGAAAATATAGATTGTGAGTAGCACTATAATATAGGACCCTTGTTTCGATCCATTTGAGACTAGTCGGCTGGATGTACCTGCCAAGAATATCAACTACGAGATAACTCACACTTTTACGATTTAAATAAATTTCATATCCCTTGCACAAATATAAAGCTCCATCGAATCAGTAGCTAAGTGGACAATGAGTTCATCGTCTTCAGTAGAAGGTACTGAGTTCAATTCCCGGCGTTACTATCAAAATTGAGATCCAAGGACATTTCATAGACGATTGGAGGTAATTAGTTTTACACGTCACTATCACTTTCCAATAACCAAGACCTTGCCTACCGTATAAATTTAACTTCGGAAATATTATATACCATTCTAAGCAGAGATCAATGGTGGCTAACAGTAGAATTCAAAACGAGTGTTTCATCTTGATACCTGAACCCATTACTTTTCGCTTCAAACACTATCGAGTTACCAGAGTGAATATCAACTCTGAGATACAGGTACATCCAGCTGACGAGCGCCAAATAAGACGAAATGTACATTCTGGATTCTACTGTTAGCCACCATTCATCTCTGCTTAGAATGCTTGTGATTAAAGACAATATCGATGCAATCCGCACAGGATACACATATGCCAATAAGTGACCGATCGATTGCAGTCCTAAATAAGAATGGGAAGATAAAAGTAAACAACACTAAGTGAATTCATACAAATGAATGTTGTGGAAGTCTTCAGACCGTTTTTAATGTGACCCAAAAACAATAACAGTGCAATAGATCCATCTTTCTTTAGTCCTAATATAGATTTTCTTAATCGTTGGTAATTATCGACCCTGCTACAGACAGAACCCAAAACCTTTTAGTCTTACTATGGTGGCTGTTATGACTCGTAAGTTGAACGCTTTATTCGGATCCTAGCTATTCAGATAACCCCAGGCTAGCACTACTCAGCGACTTGGAAGACCAGAGAGAAGACACGAGTATCAGAGAAGCACTTTACTATAAGGTTCAATTATGTACAGAAAAACAGGGGTTTTATAGTAGCTAAAAGACCTTGAGATCCCATAGTAATAGTATGTTAACAGCCAATCAGGACCTTGTTATTTAAGTAGCATTTTAGTAGCATAGCTTCTAACTAATCGCTGATTGGTTGGTCTCTTTATGAGCCTCTCTGGAGGCTCTGATAGAGTTTATTGTAAGCCGATCTAACAGTGGCTTAATCATCCGATATACCAGGTTAGAGTTCAATTCTACACATTCTCAACTTCAATAAAGTCCCAATATGGGGTGATGATCATTCATTCTCATCGGTGAGAACTGTTTCACCATAAGCACATCTGAATAACAAAGTTTGCGATTTACAAAAAATTTATAGTTTTGATGTAACCCACGAGGATGAAATAAACTTGATAAATTAACATTTGTTGTGTTGAATGCTTGACTGTTATTGATATAAATATAATTTTTATGAATTCCTTATACTCTAGTGAAATGACATGTGTTTAATACAAACTTGTGCCATATCCTACCTTATTTTATAACTAACTGATTAACTCCTTTTTATTCATTATTGACAATATAAACAACATAACTTTTCAGTCGATTGACCACTAAACGGTGATCAATATGATGTTTGTCTAGTCCTTTAGTGTTAATACAAGTCTGTAGACGAAACTGCACTGTAAACATTAGTTTTAATGACTTGACGTCGTACGCAATGTGATGAAATATTAGGTGGGTTAAAAATTGCTACTTGCCAGATAACTCCTGGATTTGAATTTCATGTTAGTTGGTACTGTATCCACCACTAGTCAGTCAGCTACAACGTAGGACCAGACACATTTATGCATCGGTCCAAGTTGCCATACCTCGTTAGCACAACAAGATGAACACCGGATCCATAGAAGTAGTTAATTTAGTGGTGGTAGTGTATAAAAGATAGGTTGTATATAAGGATATAGTACAGGAAGGAAGAGAGATATGAAGCAATGTTAATCTCAAAATTTAAGGGAAGACAATGAGTATATACAACTGCGCCATTGTGATCGATTCTGAGCCATGTCACCTAGAGTCTCCAACCATTGGTTATGATGATCACGCGGACCCCAACCAGGTAGTCTGCATCTACCAACATGGCTCAGGCTAGAAGTTAGTGACTTCCTGCTCTGATGCCATGTTTTGGTTTGGCCGCCCCTAACTCTCTTCCAATCATCCCCTACATTAGTCAGTATAGCGCGTCGTGGTAATCAGTGTTCAGGCATACGTAATACGTGGCCCAACCACTAACCATGAAACAAAATAGTTTTATCAATAGTAGACAAAATAACTGTATGAACTGTTTGTTAAATTTACTTACCCATAAAATATCATCTTCATCATTTAACGCATCGGCTAAACCACGTCTTAAACCACCAGTTGTAATCATTTTCATATTATTAGTTATATGACTATTACTATCATTATTATTTTTACTGGTAGTACGGATTGATATATTTTTATTATTTTCATGATTATCATCAGTTGAAAGGTTTTCTTCAGTTGGCATACTATGTTGAACAACGCTGAATGTTTTTGACTTCAGTGATGATGATAAGGGTAATGATGAGGCTGATGATGGTAATTTACGAGGAGTTTTATTTTCAACCTTAATCTGATCTACTATATCAGGAGTATTTGTTACTGAATATAACTTGGGTAAATTATTATTATTATTATTATTATTATTATTATTTGTCGTGGATCGATCTTGACTGACCAATGAGAATGAAGATGACGATGATGATGATACAGTTTTTCTTGTTGTTTGCTTCTGTGTTGTGAACGAAGTTGTTTTCATCAAAGGTGGAGACTGAGATGCTATATTCTGATTTAAATATATCCAAACTTCACAAGCTTGTACATCGATGATTGGTAAATGAACTAATTGTTTTAAAGCTTTTTGACGACAATCTAATCGACTAGAACGACTGTCTAAAGCACTGGCCAAACTAATTAATTGATCTTGATTCATTACTGTAAATTCAACCTAAATAAGAGAAAATGAAAGGAAAAAAACAGAGATTTGTAAAAGAAGGATAAAAATATAAGATAAGTGTAAAGAAGCACTCAACAAACATATCGGATGTTTGTAGTAATTACCCACCAGTAGATCGCTGAGTAACATTCCGAGTTGAATGAAGCTAGTTATGTAAACCGAAAAATGTTGACACAGAGGTCTAGAGATTGAAGGCTCTCTGGTATTGGATTCAGTTTCTGGTAGGGTTGTGAATGTACACGGCTCAGGAGTTCAGTACAAAATGAAACAGTTATCCAGTGTTTCTTAGTTTGTTATGGTTGTCTGATCAAGGTCGATTCGTGATAGAAACTATGACATGCGATAGCTATTCACTTAGTGGTTAAAACTAATTTCAATTAAAGTAACTGTCAATTTAAAAATATAACTGTTAAAAGTGACTACCGTCAAAAGATAAGTTAACAAGATATCTACGTACAGTCTGTCGTTTCTGTCTATTATTTACTAGTTTTGAAAAGTTAGTAATTTTTGGATGGAAAATTATTGTTCCCTACACAAACACACCCACAACCGTAGATGCTTTCTTAATGTGGCGAGCCGGCTTTTTTATAGTTACGACTCAACTGGACGGTTAGAAAACGTATGTCAATAAATTCTGACAATTTAGATAGGTCAACTTAAAAGCGGTGAGACTAAAAACAAAAACTTAAGTTGTGCTGCTAACTTTACATCGCTGTAACAGCAGTAAAGTATTTATCTCACATAATCACAGTTTTCTACTCACAACAGAAGGAAGGAAGTTACAAATAGTAGGCTCCAAAGTACCACACCTCGGCTCATTCCATAGGTTTTTATCCTCAAAAGTAAGGCCTTGAAAGTGCAAACATAACGCATCAAACAATTCTTGCAAAAACCTTATGTGTAACCGACCTTAATTAGTAATTTCTTGGGCTTTGAGGTAACTCTTCAAGGTCTTTTAGACCACTAATAATACAGTTTTCTTTTCAGTTCCGTCAAAAATAATTATCCTTTCATGAGGCTTAGCAACCATCAAAAGGTGCCAATCGCTCATATACTCGAGATACACGAACGACATTCATAAATTACTACAGTTTAAGACTGTACATCTTTTAGGTGGTCTATAGTTTTCAGTTGCTCTCTATTTTAATTATTAGCTAACGATGGGAATTATCTATAAAATGAACTAATCACTACAAATTCACATAAGTAAAAAAAACTACCAGTAGGAATAAAATATATTATAATATTACAAACAAACAGCAAACATTTGAAGTTAGTGATATAATTATCTTATATTATACTAGTATAAATGAAAAAAAAAGTGAATTTATTTATAAGATCCGAAGGGCTTTTTGTGGATATTATAGTAAATTTAACAGCTGAGATCATGAGTCACTTGAAGCTAGACCACCATGGAAAACATGGAAGCACTGGATAGCCATTCCGTTCTATCGTGGGACTCCTCAGCAGATGCACACTGCCGAGCAGTCCCACAATAGAACGGAATGGCTAACCAGTGCTTCCAGGTTTTCCATGGTGGTCTAGCTTCAAGTGACTCATGATCTCAACTATAAAAATTATTTATAAGAGTTTGTGCATATTTTACAATATTTTTTAGCTAAAATACCCTTCTTTCAACTAACACTATTAGAAACTGATAAAAAAATTTAACTACGAAATACACTGTAGTGAACTAGAACATAAGTGGGGACAATCGAATGTATGTGAACACAAAATTACCATATAGTAAATACTTCATTTGCAAAATGTTAGTCAATTGTGTCAGAGTCCATTGTTCTTTTGTTTCCGCACCAATCATTTTCTGTTCTCGTTCTCTTTTCTTCGTTCTTTTTAACCTTCTGCTGTCAGGCATTTCACTTCCGATTGGTGATATATACTACTTATATCTATCGACATCAGTAGCACACATTACAACACAACTACGTCATTTTGTCCCTTATAAATGACTACTGCACTTCTAAAATATTTGCTACATTTTCAGGCTTTAATTATCCCTAACCGTCTTCTATGATTATATACAGTGTGGTGTAGATGAACATAAATACAATTAAATCTGTGATTTGAAATGATTTTGTTAATAAAAATTACATTGTAATATACGGCATACATTCAATAAATGAGTCAGTCACCATTAATACAGAGCCTACCACAAATATGAGTCGGCATAATCTGCTATATCACATTAGCACGATCAGATCAAATTTAAAATGTGAACACTAAAGTCATCGAAATAATTTAGTAACAATGATCATGAGATAGTTTAAACATTAAGAATATGGTACAAAAAGACATCATGAAAAGGTATGTATGAGGGAATAATGGAATTCAAGATCTAGTTTAAGAAATGAATATATCTGCACAACTGTGACCAACATTGAGCTATGTCACCCAAAGTTTTCAGTTACTAACTGCGTTTATTGCATGAATCCAAAATTAAGTAGTTGGCACTGATCAACATAACTCAAACCTACAGTCGTGAATTTATAGACAAATCCTATATCATGACCTGGTAGCACCAAACTTTCCTCAATCCTGCTCCTACAACCCCAATCAATGTACACCAAGGTATGTGGCAGTTAGGCACACGTAAATCATATCGCCATCACGTCAGTTGAAGACCAATTACCTTATCTTTTTCCAATATCCTATACTTAACCTCAAACAACAAAAGGTAAACACTAAAAATATCAACATTCCAAGTCCTAATCACAAATAATCAACCAATCAAAACATAAAACTACATACACTGTAAAGTACATTATATTATCTAAATTAAAACTACCAAACATTTTTAACTTTCAACTCTTACATTATTAAGACAACTGGAAAATGTAGAATCAGCATCACTAAATGAATAAATTGCATTATGAATATTTGAAGGACTATCCAATGATGGACGTTGAAATAGATCTTTACTAGAATTTTGTTCAGATAAATCATTATGGATTTCATGTCTATGTGATTTCTTAACATCTTTATGTTTATTTTTTTGATGATGAGGAATTTTATTGATTTGTTGTTTTAATGTATTGGACATTATCTTCGGTTGTAATGATGGTGAAGATATTGGGCATAGAGTTAATGAACTACCTTCAGTTGATGATGAGGACGACGATGATGATGATAAACAGAATGATGTAAAGGAAGATGATGAATTTGATGGTATACAAACAGATGAAGAATTAGAAAATGTTGAGTAGCGACGTGAAGATTTCGTCTTCAATTTGGTTTCATCAGATGAAAAATGATTATTCTCACTAACATTATCATTATGATCACTAATTGATTGTTTTGTGTATTGATTAGATGAAGAGGATGGCATTAATTGTAAAAGATCATTTGGATGTTTATTACTTTCATTATTATCATTGCACTCCAACTGATTATATAATGTTGTCATTAAATCCTCATAATCATTTGGTTGACAGGAATTTATTATATTTAGTAGTTTTTCTTTGAAATTGATCAACAGGTTTTCATAACTAAAATAAATTAATTAATCATCATAGTAAGCAAAGATGGATAGTGGCTAGCAGTGGAATTAAGGACAATGCGCGTTTCGTCCTATCTGGGACTCGTCAGCTGGATGTACCTGCATCTCAGAGTTGATGTTCACTCTGGGACTCGAACCCAGTACCATCGCTTCAAACGCCATCACGTTATCCACTCGGCCACTGAGTCGTGATAGCCACTTGCTTGTGCGATGGTGTGAAGTTTAAATTCATTTAGTATTGTTTGTTTAAATCTTCCCATCGATGTGTTAGGACTGCGAATAGGACGAAACGCGCGTCAAACTGGATTCCACTGCTAGCCACTATCCATCTCTGCTTACCGTGCTTGTGAATTAAGGCAATATCGAGGCAATACGCACAGTATGCACATATGCCAACTACAGACTGACCAGTTACAGTCCTAACACATCGATGGGAAGATCCAAACAAACAATACTAAGTGAATTCAATCATCATTGTGTTTTCATGGGTTTTTTTTCTAGTTGTTGATGTTAATAAGGATTTCATAAACTAGTATCTAAATAGACTCAGTATCTTAGTGGATAATGTGTTGGGTGATTAAAACGAAAGGTACTTAGTTCATGTCTTATTGAGAATATCAACATTGAAGGGAAGGTTCATGTAGTAGACAATTCTTAAACAGGATGAAATATTCATTCTGTATAAGATTACTGGACTTAATCCATCTATTAGTAAGAAATGTCACGACAAGTGGATTCAATAATACATTGGTTACTTCCAAATTTTCATTTTCACCTTTGATAACTCGTTTGTAGCCAGTTTTGAACAATTTGTAAAGAATTTAATAGTTGAATTCATGAGTCGATAAAATCTAAACAACCATTGAAAACCTCGAAGCAATGGACTATGGTTTCGTGAATAACTGATTATTTTAATTGGATAATATGCAGTCACTTAATCAATTAGTCAATGTTTTACTGTTTGAAGTCGAATTTTTCTTGAGGTTTGTGGATTATTTTCACGCAAAAAAGTATTACTCGTTTCCGTATACTCGTCAAAATAACAAATTTTTCAAAACACTGGTTTCTAGTTTCAGTATAAACCTTATCGACTTATAGTTCTGAAATAATACCAAATTCACGTTCTCTTCTCTGTCATTACTTACGAAATAAAAGTTGAAAAAAATACTCATAATGTTAGACAGCATTTTACTTAACGATCTCTAATCAAATCATTTTTCTACAAGTAATCGCCGTACTTAAATTAGTCTATTCACTTAAAAACAATAATGAGGTGGCCTGTAAACCTGAAACTGATTCTTATATCAAGGAAAGTGTCTTGTCGTTTATGTGAGCGACAATAATAATTAAATTCGACAACATCAACAAAGTAAATGGGGAAATGTTCACTGTGAAAGATCTAAAGGAATGACATACACCAGAAGTTGAAGAATAAGATAGCTACAATTTACGCTATATAGATATTCATACACAATAATGTTGTCTAACAGAGAAGGCTCGTCTGTTAGGAATTTGATTTGATTGATGAAAGACGTTGATCGGATCAGAGTGTTGGACAATAACACAATCCCAAGCGGAAAGTGACATTATATTATCATAATGTGAAACAAATAAAAAAGCCTTGTAAATATAGCAGATAAATCCGCACGGTCCCCTGACACAAATCGATTGATGCCCTTAATAGATTAGAATAGACAAATCGATTTGTCTTAAGGGTATTAATCGACCGGAAAGTTCCATTAACCTGTCGACTAATCAGTCAGTAAAACGCAACGGAGATTTTCATATAAGCATAAATCATTCCAAATTACAATACCACATTAGCACACATGGATGGCATGGTATTATAGGTGGTAACAGTATTAGTAGTAATATCAAAGATTAGTGGTAGGAGATATGATATGTCAAAATATTGGACTCGTGGAATCAAAAAGTTTTTTAAGGTGAATATGAAACTTAGAGCACAAAAAGGAAGAACTGTGAATGTACATGCTCTACTGCGAACAACTATAGGCCGTATCATTTATAGTCTCAAATTTTTGGGCACGATAGTTGTATGCCCAACCCTCGTAGTCCCTACTTAAATACACTGCTCAGTCTGCTAATTAATGACTTCATAAAAGATACCATTTCTCGGTTTCCTTGCTCATAAGCTTTCTTTTAAATTGCTTTTCCACCTGCAAACGTTTAACACAAGGGAAGGTCGTGGTAAAGCATATGTAACATGAGTCCTGACGTCTTCAATCAATAAAGGTTCACTACCATCTTCATCTGACAACCTGCATCTAATATCATCATTGCTCGCTTGGTAGTTTCAACATACACGAGTAATGCTTCGAAAGAGCTTATGGACAAATACTGGTCTATTTTTAAAGTCCACGTTTTAAAGTCAAAAGGTTAAGCAAATCAGACTTCTATGTAGTATGCTTATTTTGTGATTAAACGACAGACACGCCGTCTATAATACAGGTCAGGTAGGTTGAAAAAGCCAACTTGTCTTTTTGAGTTGTTTAATCCGTATTTTATCAATATCTTTACCAAACTACCACTTCTATTTCAACTAGTATAATTTTTTATTCAGTGATTCCAGATTACTCATAAAAAGTTTAAGGATATAATCAATTAACGATGTGCTTCTCATAAAAATAAAGCAATAAATAAAATAGCAAACCTGGGTAACAGCCTGATCATTGACAAGGTGTTAAGATTATTTCGTTTATCAAAACTGGAATCAAAAGACGGAGTTTTCAGGATATCATTAGCAACTCTGTTCCATATTTTGTCATGAATCAAGGTATCAAAAATTGAAAGTCTGTGATGACAGTAATGAGGAAATGAAGTGGGACTTACTTTAATTCAACTAGAGCTTTCGAAATTTCATGTTTCTGTGAAAATGATTCATTCATGTTCTCGTAATAAGAATCCTTTAAACAATAATTATACTTGATTTCAAAATCATAAGGAATTTAACTTGACAGATTTCGACCATCTACTATCATAATTCAATCACAAAATGTAGTGACATATTGTTACTTCTAGGAATTGTATAAAAAACATGCATTATATCACTCATTTGACTTTTACACACAAACTTTAAGATCAATGTGAAGCCAACCAGCTATCTACGATTTAAAACCTCTTAATAGTGACGTCACCATTATTCGGAATAAACAATAAAATCTAAATAGTATTATCATCTATCAAACCATGTCAACTATTTAAGCAACAATAAAACTTAAACTTATTGAATGTCTACAGAAAACAGACTAAAACGTGGAGTGACAACAGTGTTTGAAGTCATCAGCATATGATCTCTCCAATGGCTAGCTAAGTTCAATACATGCTAAAAAGTCAATACCCTAATCGGTCTTGATTTATTTCTTTAGATAACTAACAGACTGTCCCAGAAACAAAGGTTCGAGAGTCATTGTAACTTATTTGAACGATATGATACTAACATTAAGACCGAATGTAGAGTTATAAATTCAAAGGGTTTACCACCATGAAACCCCCTAAAGATTCGATAAATTAATATTTCATGCTACATATATATTTATAATGCCTAAACGCAGATCAGTAGCCTTAACTCAGTTAACAAATGGATGTTCAAAAACATAAAGCAGATATCGAGCAAATTTGAGGAATGAAAACTAAAATCATGAAGAAATGTACTGCATTCTACAAAGAAGAAAAACAGTTCACCAATAAGGAGTATTCACTTCTACGAATTAGGACGCCCCGTACAGACACGAAAAAGCAAGTACTGAAGTAACACGAGACATATTTTTAGATTTTAAAGTACTAACTGTGGTAGGAATTAAAGCACAATAAATGGGGTTTGAAAAATAAGTGAAATCTAAGAATAAATAGTACAAAAAGGAGTTGAAATTGAAAACCAAAGGAAAATAATCTATTCATTTTGTTTCTGATTCTGAAACTTTAACTTTAACATACCTTTAGACATTAAGAAACAGTAGATAAGACAACTCAAAAGAGTGAACTACATTCATGTAGCGCGCTTCAACACCATGTGTACTATGTAAACTACTCTTGTTGTTGATCTAATAAAACTAAAATATTCACAGTTTGACTCCACTATATAAAACGTAGTAAATCGATATTGCAAGGTTTTAGAAACGTACATAAGTTTATTTTCTTCAAATTACACTGTACGAAGCATGTAAATTGATTCTATATATTCTGAAACAGAAAGTTGAAATCTGTGGATGGACGTCTTATTCAGATAACTATGGTAGTTAGCTTTATTGTTAACATCTCAAAAATCGTGACTAGTCTATGATTATCTCCACATATACTGTTGGTATGATCAGCGCGTGAAATATTTTAGATAATTTTGACCAACTCAAGTGAAGTTGAACAAAAAGTAGAGGGGTACAATACAAGTCGTCACGTGAACACAGTGCGTCATATACTGCATTCTTCTGTCCATTCAGTGGTTATATAAGTCATTTCTAAAAGGGAAATTTAATGTGGCGTACGATTCAACTTATAGGGTTTCATTATTTCTTAGTTCTTTGTGTTATATGTTCACCCGTTGTACTTCTCATCCCTGAAGCTAGTTTGTGCTATGTTGGATTAACTGCTGATATTTAACAAAGTTGATCACAACGGATTTTAAATACGTTTCGTATTTTAAAAGTCATTTAAAAGTTTTTCAAGCTGTATATTATTTGTTTAACTCTATGTTGCTTATATGTCAAACCAAATCATCCATCAGTGCAGATAATCTCAAGTCAAATACACCTCGCTGGTGTGTACTCTATAATAATGGGTAAATGATAATTCCAAACATACAACATTAAGAACATAATGATGCTAAATAGCCCTACGCGTCATTGCTCTTCTAAGGTCTGTAAGACGACGCAAATAAACTCATTTTACTTTGTGTATAAAGAGTTTATACCGATATTTAGCAGCTCCTTAGCTAATTGCGTAATTATGTGGTAGAAAAACTGATGATCAACATGTAACCAATGCATAAAGATCAAAGAACGTGATGAATATATTTGTATTTAGTAGTCGATTACTTATCTTTCATTCCTCCACACGTTTTGATACGCTTTTAGGTCAATCAATAGTTTCAACATGGGTAGAAGCACTGCTGTAGTACATAAAATGTGAAGTAAAGCATATGAAACTTTGTGTTACGGGAGAACTGATGACATTTGGCTGATTAAAACTTTTTTACTGTACATCAATTTTACTGTGTTTTTGGATGTGTTTGTTTTACTCAACCTTTGGACTTGTTTGTTTATATCATTCTTTTCGGACATTTTGGTTTCTTTGTCATTGGTTTGGTATTTGGGAGTTTTTGCTCCGAGAACCTACAAAATTGAAGGTTTGTTTTGTAACTGCTATAATTGTTGTTGTTAAAACGACTTTGGAAGATTATTTGTGAATTGCGAATAAACTTGGTATCTAATTTTGAGTTTTGGTTCTCTTGCCTACTTGGGTTCGTGATTTGCGAATATCGACGGCCAGTACTTCAATAGTTGGAACGGGCAAAAAGTCATAATTGGACGTAACATAAGGTTCTTCAATTATTGGTTCTGTGTTCACACTTTGGATTAGTATGGACAGTAATTTGGGTCCAAATTCTGGTTCTACTGAACGAAGGTGTACTATAGAAACTTGAAGCAAAAGACAGAGGGAAAACGACGAATAGGACGGTAAAATTTCCAGAGCTGTTTGTGGTATGTATGACCTTAATGATGATAAATGTGATGATGTTAGTCTTAATAGTATGTCCTCTAGCCAGCTAAGCACTTCTAGATTAAAGTTAGATAAAGCATTACTGAGGAAAAGGAATTTAGAAAAGAGACTTGAATTGGAACGGCAACTTAAGAAGTTAGATCTTCAAGAAGAGGTTGATATCGCCGAATTAGAATGTAACTTCATCAAGGACGATGAACGATCACCTGTAGATAAATGTAGAATAAATGATAAAGTGGAAAATTATTGGGATTGTGAAACTGGGTGTAATAATCACTCAGGAGAGGTATGTAACATCTCAAAAATCGATTGAGCTGGGGAACTAAAGGACACTTTGCATACATTGGTCGGTAACATGGTTTTACCTAAGATCGATATGATGTACTTTGATGAACAACCGGGTCAGTATTACCGTTTCATTAGTCAGTTCAATAGCCTTATAGAGAGTAAACTGTCAGATAAGGGCCAGTTGCTGTCGTATTTGTTATATTATTGCAAAGGAAAGGCAAGAACGGCGATTGAACCTTGCATTTCTTTGCCCAGTCATTTAGGCTATGATAGGGCTGAACGAATTTTATATGATTTATTTGGTAAAGAGCACCTTGTTGCGCGGGAACTAATTGCTGAGTTATTAAACCATAAATCTGTCGGAGGGTGAGCTGACGTATTAACTAACTTTGCTATTAAGTTACGTAGTGTATGTATAACGTTGAAGGAAATAGGATACATGTCTGACGTTAATTCTACGGCTAATTTGGAGGTAATAGTTTCATGTCTGCCACTAGAGTTGCAAAATAAGCGGGCGGAAGTCGCTGATAAGATCATGATGCACGAAAAGGAGCCGAGCTTTGAAGAATTTGTGGTCTTTGTAGAAGAGAGGGCCAGAACTGCCCGAACCCGTTATGGTAGATTAGTACAGCGTAACTCAAAATTCGGTAAAGGGAATTCTGAAGGCCAAGCTGATAGGAGATCACGCTTTCATGCAATTAGACGAGACCCAAATAACTCAGTCAAGGTATCAGGTTGTGCAATCTGTTTAGGTGATCATGAGGCGACAGATTGTCCAAGGTTAACAAAAATGAAAGAGAAAGGAGGCAGGAGATAAGAAGACGTGGTCTATGTTACTTATGTTTGAGGAAAAATCACATAGCTATGTCATGCAACTCAGGCTTCAAGTGCGACGTTGAGAACTGCAAGGTTAGGCATAATTCGTTATTGCATATTGATGGTATTGATAACCATGTGATGAACCTAGCTAAGGATTGGAACTCCTCAAGGGTTTTTTTGGGTATCGTTCCAGTCAGACTATATGGTCCCAAAGGGTGTTTGGAAACATATGCACTTCTAGATAGTGGTTCAGACACTTCTCTTGTATGTGAAGAATTAGTTAATCAGTTGGGTATCAAAAGTAAAGAGACTTCGATAAGGGTGGCGACTGTGAACGGAACTACCAATTGTGAATGTTTGGAGGTAAATTTAGAGGTATTTTCATTAGATGAACGGGGTTCTATAAGGATCAACAAAGTTTACACGACCAAGAATTTTCCGACGGATCATGCAGCACCTTTAACCGAACTCCAACTGAAAAGGTGGAAACATTTAAAGGACATAACCCTTCCAAGGTTTCAAAGTAATGTTGTAGGGATATTGATTGAGTGTGATGCTCCGGATGCACATTGGGTCTTGGAACAACGTCTGGGGGACAGGAAGCATCCATTTGCTGTGCGAACCCATCTCAGTTGGATGATTATAGGTCCTAAGGGGGCATCAAGGTCTGTACATCAAGTTCAGTGGTGCCATTGTTCTAATGATATTTTGCGAGATATAGAAAGATTATATAATCATGAGTTTGAGGATACAGATACGTTTCGTAATGGATATTCTGTCGAAGATAAAAGAGCTCTAGAAATAGTTAGTAGTTCCTTTAAACTGGAAGGCGGCCATTTTCAAGTTGGTCTACCGTGTAAGTATGATAGGCCAAGTCTACCGAATAATTTGGAACTGGCTGAACGCAGACTAGAGTGTTTAAGGAAAAGGTTTATGAAAGATAATAGTCTTCTACAGAAATATCAAGCTGGGATGAATAAACATTTAAGTAAGGGCTACATCATTGAAGCTAGCAAGGAGGGATTTGACCGTGATGCTGTTTGTTGGTATATTCCTCATCATCCCGTTATCAACCCTAAAAAGCCTGTAAAACTCAGATTCATTTTTGATTGTGCAGCTGTCTATGAAGGTTTTTCTCTTAATGATCAGCTTTTAAGAGGACCAAATACCGTAAATAGTTTATTTGGTGTACTTCTACGATTCAGATTAGGTAACGTAGCATTAGCCGCTGATATCGAAGAGATGTTTCTTCAAGTAAGGATCCCGAGACAAGATAGGGGAGCGTTTCGTCTATTGTGGTGGGGAGACGGTGATATAAAACGAACGGCTAAGCAATATTGTTTAACAGTTCATCCGTTTGGAGCTGTGTCCTCCCACTTTTGCGTTAATTTTGCTCTTAAGAACACGGTGGATATATTCGGTAACGAACTTAATAGAGATATCCAGGAAGTCGTAGATAAGAGTTTCCATGTTGACGACTATTTAGCCTCCATTGATAATGTACAGGATGCAATTGATCTGGCGAAAGCCCTTGGTTTGCTCCTCAGAAAAGGTGGGTTCAGACTTACGAAGTGGATAGGTAACTGCTTGCAGGTTCTCGAATCAATTCATCCAGAAGAGAGAGCGGAAGCCGTAAGAGAGATTGACTTTGAAAGACTTCCTACGGAACGCACGTCGGGATTATTTTGGAATACTATGGTTGATTCGTTTGAATTTAAAGTTCACATACCGAAACGTCCCCTCACTAGGCGAGGTATATTGCCGAGTGTAGCCTCACTTTACGACCCCTTTGGATTGTTAGCACCGTTTATACTTCCCATGAAGCAGTTACTTCAACGTTTGGGTAAATTGGGACTAGGATGGGACGAAGAGATTCCAAAGGAGGAGAGCAAACGCTGGTTAGAGATTTTAAGTGAATTTCAGAGGGTTGAGAACGTTAGTTTCCACGTTGCATATTGTTTCCGCAATCAGATCGTTCGCTCCTGGAACTTCATATTTTCAGTGATGCCTCGGAAAATGGATATGGCGCAGTGGCATACGTCCGCTCTTACATTTCTGACACTGAGGTATGTTCTCGTCTTGTTACGGCTAAGACAAGAGTAGCCCCGTTAAAGGTCCAAACTATACCGCGCTTGGAACTTACGGCAGCAGTTTTAGCAGCTCGCACGGTATCCCAGCTGCAGTCAGAATTAGA